AAACCCCCCGCAACCGGCTGAGATTTACCGATGCCGATCAAGGTTGCGTCACGATACGGGGACCAAAACATCGGGCACGGACACAAAAGTCCGGTATCTTTTAGTCGAGAAGAGCGAAATGCGGAGGTTGAATGATGCGGGGTGAGATAACCTAGAACACGATAGGAAATTGTAATACAAGTACCGCGGATGGCTTCAACCAGCTGATGCGTCGCTACCACGTTCGACCGATACAAGAGGGGAATGTGACCCGGGGTTGACGGCGTAGAACCGTTCAAGGGCGGAAGAAACTCCATGGTCCACTTGATCTGCACCCAATCCCGTCAATGACATTTGGCGCTGGAACTAGAGCTGATCTCCTTATCACCGATCACATGACCGGTTGCTTAGCGGGATGCCCGTTTATCTTGCAATCATTCTATCATTGTTTGGGTGAAAGTGGCGTTGACCATGGGAACAATATGTCGGCCGGTCTAGATCAATGACACTCGTAGTAAATATATAGATTGACATGTCCCCCCAAAAGTAGGGAAATCGATCGGTAATCCCACTACATCTATCACTCTAAGGTACTCTGACCTCTAACAACATGTTGACTCTTGGTGCACTCTTCTTCTTCGCCATAGCGGCTGCTATCGCTCTCATCGCAAAGAAGACGCTATCTAAACCACAAAAGGAAAACCTTATCTCAAGAGCCATCCCCGCCGCTGCACCCCTCACTCAACCCCTCCCTTCAACATGGTACAAGTCAGACGACATCTACGAACTTGAGCGAAGAGCCATCTTCTCAAAGAAATGGATCCTGCTCACTCACAAGATGCGATTCGACCAGACCGGCGCTTGGGTTCGATACGCTGAAGCTGGTTTCGACTTCTTCCTTATCCGAAATGCAGAGGGTACTATCAGGGGCTTTCACAACATCTGCCGGCACCGTGCTTTTCCCGTTGTTGTCAAGGATAATGGTCAGAACAACGTCCTGTCCTGCAAGTACCATGGTTGGTCCTACGGTATGAACGGTCAGCTTGCCAAGGCTCCTCTGTATCAGGATCTTCCCGGCTTTGATCGCTCCAAGAACGGTCTCTTCCCTCTTCACACTCATGTCGACGCCAAGGGTTTTGTCTGGATCAACATGGACGCCAAGGCCGTTCCTGAGAACCCATGGAGCGAGGACCTCAGCCAGTCAGCAAACCACGGATCTTTCAACTTTGACGACTACAAGTTTGATCACGTCAAGCAAGACTCAAGCAGCTTCAACTGGAAGACATTGGCCGACAAGTCCTGCACTGGTAGCAACATTGATAGCTTTGAAAACGCCGCTGAGAAGAAATCTGTTGTCAACGACTTCTTCTTCCCTAACGCCTCCATGACCATCTCGTAAGTTCCCCATCAACCAAATTGTGACGAGCAACAACTAATCAATTCAGTCCTCATTTCTTCTTCCTCTTGCGATGTGTTCCTACATCAGCCACCAAGTCCCAACTACAGTATGAAGTCTACCGACACAAGAGCGCCAGCGAGTCCGACTTCAAGAAGGTCGAAGACATTCTCCAGCAGAAAGCCAGCGAACAAGAAGCACCCGCCGAGAAGAACCTCCGTGCCGGTGTCCTCGTTGACCAAACCCCTCTTCAGTTCCAGAACCAAGTGTACCAACTAGTCGAGCACCACCGCAAGCTCGAGGGTGTTGCCGGACGAGAGATTCGTCCCGCTCAGCAGATCCTTGACAAGTCTGCTACCAAGACTGAGCAAGACGAAAGCCTCTTCTCTTCCTGCTCTGGTCTCTCATGTGGTAAAATAGCCAAGGATCTTTCTTGGTAATTGGGGAGTTTGTAAAATAGAATTGGCGTATAGATGGAGTGGCTCTAGCATATTAGGTTACAGACGGTATAGAGGGAAAGATCTATATGGAAAGCGTCTAGTGATTGGGATTTCAGTTTAATAGCCTACTTATGATGGCAATGCATAGCTCATTGGATGCTGAATGTTCTTCAAAATATTGTGTGGCGAGGAAATCTAATAAAGCCATAGATGAAGGTGGACTAAACGATCTATTTCTGTATTCAAACTCCGGCTGGTATCTAGACTAACTCACCGCCACCCCACACACCCCCTGTCCCCGCATACTTTAACACCATCAACGCGTCATCAATACAGGATTCTTCATTTTATTCTGTATTTATTAAATAAAATCCGTTTTTCTTTATTTCAATGGCAATAGAATCGCAGCTATTAGATTATAAAAAGAGGATATTATTAGCCATTAAGGACATAGAAATCATTGGTTTGCGGCCTTCGGCGGTAAAACACTTAGTCAAGCTCTTAATATTGCATAATTGATATGCTAGAGGCCAGGATATCTGCATGGTATATTAGAAAGATCAGTCGCTTACTGTAGAGCAGGAAGATAACCTAGTTAACTATATTATCAAATGAGAGCGCGCTTTTCAGCCTCTTACGAAGAAGGATATCTATAACTTCACATAGGCATTATTATCAGTCAACAGGCAAGTCTGTTATATCAGCAAGAACTAGGTTAATAGATTCTTTACCTGCCATTTAAGTATAGAATTAAAGCCATCGCGAGTTATAGAATCCGCAAGGAAGCGTTATATAATAAAGGAGTCACTTTCTAAGTATTATAATAGTCTTAACTAAGTAGTTAATATAAAGAAGATAACTAGGCCTTATATATATAACGTTAATAAGACCGGCATTTAAATCAGTAAGACTAATAGTAGCATAGTAGCCAGAATGGCAATAACTTCTTCCTTAGAGAGGATAAAGTCTGATAATACGACTTAGAGCTTAATAATCAAGTCTGTATTAGCAGATGGTCGGCGTCTTATGCCTTATATCGTTTTTACCGGCAAGAACCTCTAAGGATAGTGGTTTCTAGCTATTTTTCCTAATTAGAAGTATACTTGCAGTCTAACCGGTTAATCTAACAGCAACATCTTCATCTGTTAGTTTATAGGGGTATTTATACTGCAGACTAAGCCAAAGGATCCTAATTAATAAAGACTATTAGTCCTAGATTAGCATAAGTTATATATTACAGCAGAATTAATAAAAAAGGCATAGCTATATAAGATTTGGCTCTCTTGGTTACCTTTACACTTATCATATATCACTTAGCCGCTTGATATTGCCGTATTTAGGCCATTAAAAACATACTATCGCCAGTTTACCTGCTCTTAGGCCTTATATAAAGCAACCTCGCCATACTAATAATGACTCTTCCTAAAAGCTTATAAGAGGGCTTTATTAAAAGCCCTAAGCCGTAGGAATATAATAAGTAGTTTCTCGGCCTCTAGGCTTTTCCCGATTAATCTATAGAAGGCATTAGCGGCGTTAAAGCTAAGGGAGAAGAAATGCAAGTACTTTAATAGGCCTATAACACTAAGGAAGGCCTAAGTAATCGCTAATATGATCTGGAGTATGCCCTAAGGAAGTACCGATATTTAAAAATAACTAGAAGCCATATAAAGTTAAGGAAATACCTTTATTTGCGACTTTAATTATATTATAAAGAAGGCGATAAAATATATCGACTAGAAGAACAGTTAAATTCAATGCCTAGAGGAGGAAAAAGCAGTACTAAAGGCGTTAGTAGCAGCAAGAGAGCCCACTGGCTAAGTCGCCGTTTAATTTGACCTTAATAAGGCTTTCCCTAAGATTAAATAGATTATCTCGGCTCGTAATTAGGCTGAAAAGAACGTACTATATCAGATCGAGGGAAATAAGAGAAAATAATGTAAAAAGAATCCGCTAAAAACACAGACTGCAGATATAATATTCATAAATCAGTTTCCAAACTCTCAGTTAAATTAAATAAATACTCGTTATTATAGAATTAATTGAAGTCATCTACGGATTCGGTTGTGATGCTATCACGGGTGTGCGGGGACGGGGGGTGTGTGGGGTGGCGGTGAGTTAGTCTAGGATCAGGGTACGATATGCACAGAAGGGCGAGGATCTTCAACAACAACTTGATCATCAGTGCTTTCGACTTCTGATCCTTTTTTCTTTCTGGAGAAGGAACTATTCCACGGTTGGCATCTACTGTCGCTATTGTCTGGCTGGTCTGATCCAGCACTATCGTTAGATAGAGGCATTTTGACTTGGCATAAGTATAAGTAGTAGTCCCTTGCCAAGTATCTGCTTTGGAAACACGAACCGCTTTCTTGAGTGCTGTGTCGGGTAATGGATATACTAATGCGGGATTGTTAGGGCTGGACTCATATGTCACAGACTACGAAGATGTTGACCCTTGAAATACTCAGGGTCACGAAGACTGGATGCCCTGAAGCAGCAAGTCTGATTCATGGAAAAGAGGGATAAATTGAGAAATGGATGTATAAATTGTATGCGGACTTTCGTCTACGACGCCAGAGAGGTTTATAAAGAAAGGAAGAACATTTTCGGTTCGTCTAGTAGACAAACATCCGATGTAGCTTATATGCTGGCGGTTGTAGAAGAGAAACGAGGAAATTTTGAAAAGGCCAGGCGAGAAAGAATCCAGAAGAACTTGGGTTTATATGCTGGCACTCACGTTTCTGCTTGAACTCAGATTAAAAGGTCCAAATGCCTGGACTGAAGAAGCCATAGCGCGTACCAAGTGCAGACTGGGGTTCACCTTGCAGCAACTGGGACGAGAAAGTGAGGCTTCAGTAAAGATGAAGGAGGCAGAAGAAACCTTGGCAGTACTGGGGAGCCAATATGGGACGGGACAGATAAAGTCAGACAACTGGAACGATGCAAAGGCCTTTGATATGCTGGTCTCAATGACCGCTGAGTCTAAGTTCTGTGTGGTGATTATAAGCTCTCAGCCACAGGTCTCAACTGCAAATAACTCAATGACCGCTGATAGGTCAACTTTAGGCCAAACCACTAGAATCGAAGGCATAGCAACTTCGCCGCTGAGAAGACTGTGTAGAAGGCTGCTCGAGGAATTTCGGAAGGACGGATTATCTTTGTCAATTAAATGATGGATAGTTAGCGGACTGGCAAGTATTACGGAGCTGAATTGGTATGGAGTCATGGTATGTCCGAGAAGTTATGACGCGACGGAACCTTCGAGCAATCACGCCTTGCCGTCCAAGGTTCCACAGTGATATTTATCTAGGTGGTTTTGTCCAGTACAAAGCCCTTGCAAGCCCAGCATGCAACAACAAGATCTTTCTTCTCTGTTTGTATCTCTCCTGAAAACTCCAGCTTATCATCTTTCTCAACGGCAACAGTTCCATACTCATCAGTCCACTCTGCCACCTTGCCCGTGTTCTCCTGCACCGTCAACAAAAGCTTCTTCTTCCAATCATCAGAATCACGGTATCCACGCTTATGCATGAGGGCCTGCATCCTGTCCTCTTCCGCCTTTGTCAAGGCGCGCTTGATGGGAATCATGTGGTAGAACTTGCATGATCGGCCAGACTTCTCCATCACGATGCTTCCCTGGATAGTGCCTCTCTTTTGGCCCCTGATAACAATGAGCGGCGTGGGGCCGAGACCGGCGGCGAAACTGAAAGGAATGGTCATCTTTTCGCCAGAGTAAAGTGTCAAGTCGTCATCGTATCTGATAAAAGCATCGTTTCCTGTCGCTGCACCAAGGCGACGAACTTCGCTGGGCAGAAGGCGGCAGATTTGTAATTGCCACGGATTACCGGCTTGGGTATTGCGATTAGAGATGTGATAAGTTGGCGTGGCTGGGCTGGCTTCTGCTTCGTACACGTAGCGGCCCTGGATGTTGTATGATTGTTTAGTGGGAGGAATTGAGTCCTGGGGAACAAAAGGCGCCTCTAGTCGGAGTGACAATGCATTTCGGGGAGCTTCGCCAGAAGAACTAGATTCGACGAGACTGGTTTGACTCATTTTGCAGGAGCTTGTTTTATGCAATAATTTGAATAAGTTGCGAGATGGACAGATGAATAAAAAAGAGTTGGTTTTGATGAACAGATTTCGACGTTTTATAGCAACAAGAAGCCCAGGAATACCAAACGTTAGAGTGTTGCACTGCAGCCAGGCGTCGGAGATATCTTAACCATGCTGACTCGAGCCACTGAACAAATAGCTATCCGCTTTGGGGAAGATTGGTCCAGCTTGAGAAATGCCTCAAAAGCTGACAGCAATCGCACATAATTCGAAACAACGTGCGCCATTAAACAAGAAGGTTCAATTGGTCAGCGCGGATGCGACGGCAATAAAATCATCCTTCGTGACCTCGTACCTGCACAAACATCACCGCCTCTAGTCCAGACCTTGAATTGCCAAGACCTCGCCTCCATTCTCGGGACCGAAGGCAAGCCGTAGAACGCGAAAAGGAAGATGATATCAGGGCTTTGGTGCACCTCTTGGAGACTAAGGAGCGGACTTTTAGTATCTCAGTTAGACACTAATTGCAAGAGGATAGAAGAGCAAATGCATCGCACCTGCAGACGTCACTTAGCCTCAGGACCATAAGATAAGGTATTCCTCTAGAATGGAAATAACCTCCCTTCTAGGAGAGCTTCTGTGGCGCCAAAAGTCTAACGATGTTTTAGCCTTATTAAATAACCCTGATTTGGTCTAATTCACTAAAAGGCGTTAGCTCCAGGATATGACATAGAGTGTTCCAAATACCTCAGCGCCAGTGCGTGGTGGGATGTGCTTTGTTGACCTCGTCCCTCGCTGGGGCAGATGAATATTGTATGCCGTACTTACTTGCCTCGAGAAGAACAGAGCTGAAGATATTAATGATGTGATGAATCATAATACTAAGGGGACACGATGTTGCGTATAAACACTGGAAGATGGTTTTTTGTCCAAAGGCCTCACCATCTTCACTCCCTTTAGGCAACGTGGCAGACCAAATAGTGATTGCGAAATTTATGATGAGAACAGCAAGACATGCACTTGTACCGCCGATCACGGTCTTTTGCCAAGTGTCGGGCTTGGAGTCGCGATCGTTGCCGCCTGCTTGGGATCTTCTCATCCTGGTCTCAACCAAAATGTACTACCCCAGCAAAACAGCTGGAATGCACTTATTTAACTCCCTCACAAGAACCAAAGTAAGTGCTGCAATTATTCTCAAGTGGTATATAAAAATCTTAAACCTCATCTACTACGCTATAACGCTCAAGGGCGTATCCAGAACTAACTATTACTTCGTTTAAATCGCGAGAAGAATCCCTTCTTCTTCTCGTTGTCCTCTTTCTCATCTTCATGCCTCTCCATCTCCCTTTCGGTATCGAGTTGATTGGTGTTCTGGTTCATGACATCCTGTGCCAGGTTGACTGTATCCGATCTGCCTGGATGCATCGGTGGCTGCGTTCCTGGCTCTGCTCCAGGTTCCCCTCCTTGCTCAATCTGCTGCTGTTGCTGATCTTCTGGCTTTTCTTCACCCTCAAACAGGTCCTTGATCTTGCCTGGCCCAAAGACTCTCTCGTAGACAGCCAAGGTAGTGCCGAACTCTTTATTCACACCAACCTTGATGGCGTCGAGGAGCTGAAGGACGTACGTCTGGCAATTGTTCGTGATTAGGTTGTAAGTGGGCTGCCTCTCTCTGATGCTTTGGATCACTGATTCACCTGTTGTCGTAGCATCAGCATGTCATCCCTCAAGAGATGCCTGGGGTCAACCAAGAGACTGATACTTACCAGCTCGCCTGAGTGCATCGTCATTGAAGCGCGTCTCTCCGACTGAAAATGTCTGCCACTCGTCTCGTTCAATTTTTGCATTCGTGTAGATCACATCAAAGTTCTCATCCTAGAATTGTATAAGTCAATGCCACGATTCAAGTGGTTACTGAGACTCACCATCCATAGCTGATGAGCGTAGTCACCAACGAGAACAGCCCAATGCTGCGTCGGATCAGGATACTTGTTGATCCTCTCCGTGATCATCTTTCCCAGCCCAGTCTCTTCAGCAAACCATTTTCCGGCGAAGCCGCCGACAGGGTGCCATCCAACCTCCACCGGACGACGTGGCCCATCGACAACAGGCTGAGTTACAGGGACGACATTGGGCTGACTTCCGAGACCCACCGCGTGCTTCAATGCTATTTCACCTTTATTCAAGTTCTTTTTCCTATAAAAGAAACGTCAGCGCTTGAACTAGGGTCTAGCGGGAAGGATCGCGGAGCAGATTGAGCTGCTACTGACGAATAAATGACGCATACAGGAAGTCTCCCACTATATCCCTCTTGCGCTCCTTCTCTTCGTCCGAGCCACCCATGACTCCAGAATTGGTTAGTAACTGGCAAGCGAGAGTAGAGGATTGCCAAGAGAGCTGAGTTTTCAATGGTTTTGGAGTCTAGATAAGCAGAATTTGTGAGGCCTCGCGCGTCAGCAAGACCTGATTCACGTGAGGCTGTGCATTCACTTGGCTATTCTCCAGCGGCAGCCAATTTCCGATGCAGCCAATCACAGAGGAGAGACTGGCTCAGCAGCTCAGTAATTTTTGGCATTAGCTGCTTGTTGCACAGCGTTGATAGGTCAGTACTAAAATGGCTGGGTCAACAGATTAGCTTGGGGCATGCTTCTAAACAATTAATCATTTTTTATAAAACTAGTCATTTATGAGCTACGGATACGTTCACAATCACGAGTCTTAGACAGACTTGATCAAATTTATCATCTAGAGTATACAGAAAATTGCAGTTCCTTAGAATCTCCGAGATCTAGCGCAGTTTGTCAAGAACTGCTCAACTTCGTCCCAGTCGTTCGAGTCAAGCTCATGAAGCTTGAAGCTGCGAGATGCCGCGACGGACTGAAGAGCGTCCACTTCCTTCTCGTTACTTACCAGATTGACAGCAAAACCAGAACGCCCGGCTTTCCCCGCGCGACTCACTTGACGAACGTACCGGTCTGGGCCTAGGTCTGGCTCCTTTAGATAGCCTTTTGTTGGGATATCGTAGTTAATGACCATGGAGCTATAGGGAAGATCAAGGCCCCGGGTTTTATCGTCCATTGTGATAAGAACCTTGGCATGTCCGTTCTTGAACTCCTCCAGTAGTCCTTCCATCTCCCTCTTGTCATCTGCGTTGAACAAGTTCGTTACCACATGGCCTTCTGTTGCCATCATTTTATGTATCTGATGGGCAGAAGACCTCATCTGTAGGACGGTGAGTCATTTGTGTCTCATGATAAACAGAGCTGGCTACTTACCCCGACAAATATGATCAACATGCTTATCTGCACGAGACCAGGAAGCTTGCAAATGATGTCAAGCTTCTCTTGTTCGTGCTTACACCTGAAGAACAGGTGCACGACTTTGTTGACATTCAGCTCTGCTTCCTTCAACTCGAGCTTCTCCCAGGCCTTAGAAAGGGTTAGACTCCTCGCAAATGCTGATGCTCGCCGCAATAAATCAGAAGAAAGCAGAAACTGAAATGATTTGGGTAGCATTCTGGAGACTCGAATGCATTGGTCACTCAGTCCTTGACGATCTTCAACATAGTCGACATCATCAACGACAAGAAGTCGCACCTCAGACGTCTTGATCAGACGACGCTGAATTTTGTCGAGAAGTATACCAGGTGTGGCGACGATAACATTCGCCTCGAACTTTGCGGTTTTCTCGACTAATATATGAACAGTCTGCACAACCAGACCATCGCAGAAGCTGCCTATCTCTTTGATATGATTCCCCATCTGGTGGACCAGTAATCGATCCGGTACTATTACCAATACCTGGGGCTGAGTGGTCGAACTATAGTCTATGCGCGATAGCAGAGCGATTACCAGTGCAGTGGTTCTGCCAGTTCCCGGGGGATATTCCATGATCACGTTGTGAAGAGGATCTGATGCGAAGAGAGAAAGTAGTGCTTCCTGCACCTTGGTGGGCCGTGGATAATTGAGATATAGAAGACGTTGTAGAACAGGCTCTGGCCTTCGGGGACGTGGTGTTAGATGGCGTGAAAGCGTGACATTCGGTGCGTAACTTACAAGCCAAGGTCTTTAAAAAGCCTCTGGGAATAAAAGTTGTCTTTAGTCTCTGGCTCTATTACCTGTATGTCCGCGATTCGGAAGTCATCCACGGTTAAGCTTTCAAGACTGGGACCTTCCCTTGCTGTAGAATGGTCGAACGACCTAATCAAAGGGCCTTGAACAGTTACTTCGTCATCTTGTAGTAGACTTTCTCGACTCGGGGTCATGATCAGCTGCCTAGAATCATTACTGAGCTGACAGTTCAGCTATAGCGCGAAATATCAAGACTTACTCCGTCTCATTGGTCGTACTGAGTGTGACAATCTCCCTCTCTTGCACTCTGTCATGAAGTTCGTCCTGGCTATCGTCTTCTGAAGTGCAGGGTGTTTCGACGCCAGACGTATCCGGGAAGCAAACACCTTGTGACTCGAACTTCTCGATCGCTAATCTGTAAAGACCCTTGATGTTCTCAACCACGATCTTCAAGTTGTACTGGTCTTTCTCGGTGCTGCCAAATTTGCAGAGTCCTCTGTGACTGGCGTCTAGTTCAACAATCTTCGCAACGTCACCCGGCAATCCAAGACTAACGCACTCGCGAGAGATCATCTGAAGCAAGAGCATGTAAGCATATACAAGGAAATCGGGCTAAGATAACCTACGGTATCGGATGTCCCCCAAAAGGTGACAATATCGTACTGGAGGACTTGATGTTTCCATGATTCGAGCTCGGGAAAGATGCTACCAGTCTGCAAAGAGTCGACCAAATCATCTCCGGTTTCATACCCAAAGTCTTTGGCAATCACTGCCGCTGTTTCACCAAGCTTCCGAGCGACGGCTTCATGCGGTGTTCCAAAGAAGGCCAAGCCGGTGGTAGCGTCCTTGATGGCGCTGTAGCCTGGGTTGCTATGGGCGTTAACTAGAGCTTGCTTGATCAACAAGCCTCCCATGCTATGACCAAGTAGTAAAATAGGTCTCTCAGGACAATCTCTCCTCTCGATGCTGATGACTTCAAACAAGTTGTTGGCCTTGCTGCGAAAGTTGTCGAGACCTTGACCGTACGTAGCAGTGACGTTGTATTGGTATAAAAAGATTCGTGAGTCTGGAATATGTGCTGGAAGGTCTTGCTGCAGCCATAGACGACCCTTCTGACCCGATGGCGTTCTCCACGTGTCGAAGGCGTGTTTCGTCTCGCCCTTCCCTCTGGGACCAAGGCCATGAACGGAAATAATGCTGACAGGATTAGTCTCGTTGACACTGCCGGGTTCATTGCTTACTCTATCCTAGCGGGAGGGGCATGACTTGGAGCCGATTTCGGGTCCGGGTACAGCTGTCGAAGTGGCTATTCGTCAACATGTTAGCAATGGAGCATCACTTCAGTAAACGATCGCACCATAACAAGATTTTCAGGAATTGAAGGATATAATGAAGTATTATGTTCTATTACAGACCATACTATGATCTTAAATTGAAGCTGAGAAATATCTTTGCTTGGTACGTGTTGCGTAAGCGCCAGCCTCATGCGGCTGATATTGCAAAAAATGCCCCAACCAATAATTCCGGTGGAATGAAAAACCATGTATAAATACCTGGCCACCCACCAATCGTCTAGCTTAGTCTCAGAAGTTAGCGCCTATATACACGTGAATGGAGTTATTATTAGCTACCTGCGCTTATGTATTATATCACGCAAGGACAGTGCTAAAATAGCTGCCTTAGGCATTATATTACAATCACGAGAGTGTAGCTGCTCTAGCATCGAGCTACCCAAAGCTGAAAAGCTCAGCCTACATTCAGATAGGGCTCTCAACATCTCACAAAGGTCAAAAGTCAGTAGGATGACGCAGAGGAAAGAACATGTGATCCTAGAGAAAGTGACAATTCTTAAAGATCGATACTGAAACCTGTCAGCCTCTGAGTGGCCGTCCACGTTAGGCTGTGAGTCTTGAGCGAAGAGGTTTTGGGGAATAGAGCACCTGTAAACCTTTCAGACCGACCAACCTCTAGTATTTGAGCTTCATGAGCTTTGAATCTAGTAGTTATTGCTTGTCATCTCCAGGCAATAAGTTCCAAGATGAAACTTGAGCACATGAAGAACGCAAACTAGATTGATCATAACCCCCACCTGCCAGTATGATTCTGAATGAATTCATTGTTCTCGAAGTTTGGTGGCTTGCATGAAATATTGCTTGATGAGCAGAAAGAACAGCTATGTGACAGGGCACGCATGAAGCTTGGCTAAGCTAGTACCCACCGGTCATCATTTTGATCTCATATGTCTTGCCATTGCATGGACAGTGAGGCGGTGGCTTGAAAATCAGGTCAGGTGTTTTCAGCCGCTTCGGGATACCCGAATTGCACTGCACAATAGTTAGAGGAACCAGGCTCGGCTTTGCGGCATTTACATCCCTTCACTCTTAAATATGGTGATCAGATTCTACCTTCATCGTAGAGGCGAAACGCCCTTATTTGAGAGAGACCAGTTTAGATCAGCAGTCGCAATAAGGCTGCAATCTTGCGGCTCTGTGAACACCGTGGTTCGTAAGGGTGACCAACTGGACATCATCCTGCATTTGAGGCCTACCATCTACCCCATATCACCTGCATATCACTTTCTTACCGCCTAGAACGTGTGGGGTATACCTTGAGGCTTGTCATATGACCAATCAATATGCTCCGGTTACAAAAACCTGAGTATTCCTCTTTTGAGAATTAATTAAAACATATCCATTGTAAATGGGAAGACCAGATTCGCCAAAACGCTCACCTACATAACCAGTCTCCAAGATTATTTAATATACCGTTTTTAAGTTATAAAAGTGTTATATCGACTCGAAAATACACTTCCACAATGAGCCACGACACTTTGTACCCAGACTCTGATTCAGACTCTGGGTCGGAGTCAAACTCGGGACTGGGGAGTAAGATCTGCGATAGTTGGAAGACGAGCCAATACTACAACGGCGCAGAAAAGCATTACCTACCAAGGGGCGTCCTCCAGCGACTAATAACTCATGAAACGGTTTACAATGAAATGAATGTTGAAAGAGCACCAAGGAATGAATCACTGGTGGACTTCATTGTCAATAGAGCAAATAAAGTCTTTGCACTTACTTGCTCAATCGTCAGTGGGAAGGATTTATACAAGGCAATGAAGGCGTTCCACGCTAATAACTTTGACAACGAAAGTCTTCCGGTTGAAAGAAAGATGCCCATTGATGGTGACGGACACAACAGCACCTCTGCAGACCTAAGATGCGGGATGTTCAACTCAGAGGCTTTTAAACCTAAGCTATGGACATCACTGAGGTTGTTCGACTTTTACCAGAAGCAATGGCAGTTTCTCGCACCAGCCTTCGACGACAAGAACTTCATTTATGAATTGGACGTGAGGCTAATACTGCCATTCAAACTTGTAAAAAGCGAGGCGAAGCAGGGTACTTTCGGAGAGATATACCAGGTGGAAATACACCGCGAGCATTTGAGCGACTCCCTATTTAAGGTTAGTCATCATGCAAAAGAAAATGTTTCTCTTGACTAACACAAGAGCTCTAGAGCAATGGCGGAAGAACCAATGTTGCCGTAAAAGAAATCAAGACCGGCCCTTCAATGCAGGACGACGCGGCCGAGGCGTTCAATATCGAAGCTAATGCGTTATCGAATTGCCGGCATGTTAAGCACCCGAACATGCTCCCGTGCATTGCAGCTATCAAAATGGGCTTGTCACACTATTTCCTTTTTCCATGGGCTGACGGGGGCAATCTTCGAGACTTTTGGCAAAACGAAGCCTCTCCCAAATTGTCTTCCAACCTCATGATGGATGTTCTCCAGCAGCTTTGCGGGCTCTCAGAGGCTCTGGAACTACTTCACGGCTATGTCTCTCAGGCTCAGACTGGCCCAAGCACCGCCCGTGAGGAAGGGGGCGGAATTCGACATGGGGACCTCAAACCAGAGAACATTCTGCGGTTTAGAAGTTCTACACCATCAGACCTTGGGACTCTGAAGATAGCGGATATGGGTCTAGCCAAACACCACGAAGTTAGCACGAGACTTCGTCAGAATATGACGAGCACCAAATACGGCACGCTCCGCTACGAGCCCCCAGAAACGGCAGTCAACAAAACTCAAGCCACGTCGCGGCTCTATGATGTGTGGTCTATGGGCTGCATTATTCTTGAATTCATCGTATGGCTCCTAGATGGCCAAGAGGGTCTGGATAACTTCAACGATTCTATCCGTGGAGGCGTCAAACATGATTATGATCCTCCTTACTACACGACCCGTGGAGCCGCTTATCAGATGGATGCGTTTGTCCACCCGATTGTCAAGCAACAACTTGATGATCTTTCACGGCGCACTGAAGCCCAGGCCAACGGATCAGCACTCGGGGACCTGGTGACTATCGTCAAAGAAAGGCTTCTCATCGTCGATCTTCCATTAGAAGACAGAAATACCCCAGAACCATCTGAACACATCCAGGGACCCAGAATTACCCATACCAGTTCACCCTCCGACGAGGAATCAGGCACACCACGTCGGGTGACGGCAAGATACTTGAGACAATCGCTGACCCAGATCTTGGATAGGGCTAAAAAAGATTCGAAATACCTGTTATCAGGACCCATACTGCAACCACGACCGCTTACGACCATTCCATTTAGAACTGACAGCAGCAGTAGTTTGCACCCGGACATGGCCAAGAGGATGGTACAAAGAGAGAAACCAGCGACTAGTCTTGCTATCACCCAGATGAAAGGAAATGTGAGAGTATCCAACCAGAGACTTTGAAGATATTGCTGACAGCGAGGCCTTACAGCCAGTGAGTAAAGGTTTACATTAATAGCTGGCCTAGCCGCGAGTTTACAATAATAGCATGTAAGTAAAGTTTAGGCTTCCTCCACTGGATTATAGCTAACTGTCTGGTAGTATGTGAGTCATGAACACTGATGAGAGGAGCAACCTTGAATAATGACCCTTATTGGCAGGCGGTAAGATCAATGCAAGGCTCTAACATATTCGGAGGACTGACTGGAATCAGCACGTAAGTTTATTTAACCACCCGTTCGTGAAATAACTGCGTTGACAATTGCATGACTAGAGAGTGAGTTTGATGTGCGACTGTACCTTGAGATGAATCTAATGATATAAAGGATGTAAGTATTGTTTTCTCATCTTGTGACAGTCCTCAATTTAGCCTAAACTTGCATAGATTGACATCAAAGTCTGGGACTTTATCGTCGACAATGAGTTTGCCAAGAAGTTTCTTGGGTCATCTTCCACCAGGCCAACGCCAACAATTGCCAATGTAAACAAACGTGACACGCTCTGCAGAAAATGCGAGGCATTAGACTTTTGGGCACCCGATTTCAGAATCCGTGACAGACTAGCTGATTTCAAAAACGGAGTGCAACACTGTTGCTGGTGCACAATGAGATGGGAAGCTTCCAAACATCTTGAAGGAACGACCGAAAGTGTCGTCTTCAGTAGAGTTGGCTCGGTGATCAAATTGAACGAGAGTGATCCTCCTGTCTTCTCTATATTCAAGTCTGAGGGTAAGCTCATTACCGCTTTTTCCTCCCTTGTATGACTGGGCTAACCTATGGCGAGGCTTTGAAACGCCTTCGCCTATTCAGATTGGACGACCTACACTTCGTACCAGCCCGCGGGAAGCAGACCATTTCGGCCTCATCAAGCGATGGCTGCAGGTGTGTGATGAAAACCATGATGCTTGCAGACGAGACTCGCGGCGAAAGGAAACTACATCTCCTCATATGTCTGCCTACGAGGTGGATTCAGTTGAGTCGGTAGTCTCCCGCGACCTCCAAAGTCGCAAAGGAACTCAGTTGCCGACAAGACTTCTTGACGTTGGAACAGAGGATAGTCCTAAGATCCGTCTTTGCAATACTCAGAAGGAGAAAATCCCTGTCGAAGTCAAGTATATTGCTCTCTCGCACCCGTGGGGAGAAGCTACTGTCTTGAACCCACACTTTTGCACTACTACTTCTAGTGCGATGGCTCACTCAGTTGAGATCAATTTTGAGGCGCTTCCGAATACTTTCAAGGACGCTATCTGTACTGCTAGGGCCTTAGGAGTTCAGCATCTTTGGATTGACTCCCTTTGTATCATTCAAGGCCCTGGTGGCGACTTCAACATTGAAAGTAGCCGCATGGAGCAAGTGTTCAGCTCAGCGTACTGTGTCATTGCGGCCAGTCGTGCTTTAGGACAGCATGATGGGTTCCTCAAGGACAGAATCCAATCATCCGAAAACGACTACGCGACTTTTTCATATGGAAACAACGCACCATTTTATGTCAGTCGTTACTTAGACGACTTCAATAACGACGTTTTGGAAGGATCACTGAACAAGAGAGGCTGGGTTCTTCAAGAGCGTGCTCTTGCCCGAAGGACTATATATTTTACTGAGAAGCAGACATATTTCGAATGCGGAGATGGGGTTAGATGTGAGACACTGACCAAGATGAACAAGTGAGCCTCTTCCGCCTAACCTATACAAGTCATGCCATGCTGACCTTGACTATAGCCAACTTGCAGCCCTTCTAGGCGACCCAAACTTCCCTCAAAAGGCCATTGTTTCGCCAATAGCTCCACAAGAAACTACACGAGGGCAGAGAATCCTATACTATCAAGATCTCTACAAGACCTACTCCAAACTGGGCTTCAGCCATTGGGAAGACCGCTCTGTGGCCATGAATGGGTTGGAGCAAAGACTGGCTTGGGGCTTCAAATGTCGAGGAAAGTTCGGTATCCTAGGTGACTCCATTCAACCAGATCATAAGAGCCTTCTACACAGGAGTTTACTTTGGATTCGTGCTATCAACAAAGGCTCTCTACGCAAGATTGCATTCCCTCCCCATCGAGAAAAAGTACCCACCTGGTCGTGGATGGCCTTTCAAGGAGAAATCGATTACCTCAGCGTGCCTTTCGATCAAGTGAACTGGGACGCAGAGTTCAAGTCACCATGGCAGGCTATGGAAACCAAATCCACAGGCCGTTCTGGAACACCCTCTATTCGAGCAAGAGCATATCGGCTATCTGTTCGGGAGACTTCATCAGATGTCAATCTGGTGTTCAACTCTCGAGGCCAATCACATCCACCCATTTCCAACGCGCTATGCGTGGTCGTCGGAACGGCAAGGGGACTTGTTCCTGAAGAGAGTCGAATCCATTATGTGCTACTTATTCGTCGATCAGGCTCGATGGGTTCTTCGATGAACGCTGAGACTTGTGAAAGGGTTGGTGCAGGGAGCCTGCCTCGGAGGTTCATTGACTTCCAACACCCTGGATACGATGTTGCAATTTTTTGAAAGGCTACACTCGAGATTGGAACCATATTCTATCCTATTTTTGCGAACCTTTACTATGCCGGATTTAAATAAGGCCATGTAATCAGACCACAGAATGAAAGCACATCTACTTAGAAGGTCTTGGTCGGGCCTTGATTGCATATTGAGGGTCCCTCTTGCATTTATTATACATCCCCTGTAAGAGATGATGCAACCTTCCGCTGTTTATACGCTTGTGGCTGCCTGCATGATGATACTCAACGACGAGAAGATGTTCTTGAATGACATCCAGGAAGTCATGAACAAAGTCAGAACATTTTGGGCTGGCATGTGCATCTCTGATGAACTAAAAACGAGAATATTAGCCAAACATACTATGAATTCAGTTGTTCCATGTCAAACATACCTTTGTTACCGCTGGCTTTATAGTAGCACATCTTCTGCGACTGTCAAGATCATAGTAGGGGTTATCATGACAAAGATTTAGCCCTGGGCCACATGAAGGAGGCTTTCTGGCAATGCTCATATTTCGCACCAGCTTCCATCCACCTAGAAGCCAACCAAGAAACTCCAGATACAAGCATCCTATGGTCCAGATATCGTACGAGCGACTGATAGTCCCATCTTGAAGTTCCCATTCAGGAGGGCGGTAGTAGGGCGACGAAGCGACATGGCTGTTGCGGATGCCTGATCGGCTCTGTGTGGAATGAAACTCTGAGACGCCAAAGTCGCAGATACGCAGCGTGCCGAGGCCTTGATGTGAGTCGCGGTACCATAGGATATTTTCTGGTTTAATGTCGCCATGGCGACCATAGAGTTTCTTAAACGAGGGATCTCCCCTGCAATTCTCCTGCTCTAGGCTGCCGTAGCGGTGGATTTGCTCCAGGCCACTAGCAAGCCCGACGCACTGCTCAGCTAACCACAACACATTCTTTAGGATGAACTCTGGTTCATTGTGGCAGTCCTTCCAGTATCTCAGGAGATCACAGTCCGCCCAGTCAAAGATAAGATAGTTCTCGTTCAACTGGCAATATGCACCCAGGACGGAAACAAGGTGGCGATGATTTGTCTTGCCTAGCTTAGCCAGCATGTCGAACTCTGCTTTAAACTCTTGGTAGTTCTTTGAGTCTAGCTTTTTCACGGCGAAAGCGGTATTCTTCCTCTTCTTGATCTTAGTTTCCTGAATGGACATGAGAGGATGATCGCAACGTACATCAGAAACTTTGAGGTTGTGATGATCAGCATGTATGTATCTCTTAGAGACCTTCCCAAACCCGCCGTGATATTCTTCGATCTCTTGGTATCCGGAGAGAGGGTTCCTTATGACAAAGGGAAGAACAGCTGCGTCTTGCAAATCATAGATCTTGACTTCGCCGTCTTGCCCACGGTTGAAGAAGGGCGCGTTGACAGCCCACTGCCACTCCTCAAAGTTCATCTTGGCGACCAATGACCATCTCTTAAAGGCCTTGATCCGTCTGCCACCCCGTCTTGGACGGAGGTCGACGGCCGGAAGTTTCCCTTGAGGATTCTGATTCTCCTTTCGAAAAGGAAGAGCACTGTCATCGATCCGTTCTTCCAGGAAGTTTACGATGCATTCCGACTTTTCCGTGAGGACCAAGATCGTGAAAATTATAACGTAGGATTTGTTCTCGGAGTCGTGGGCAAATATTTGGCGGACGTATCGCTCGACTGTGCTGTCGCGATCCTCATTGGAAGAAAGGTACAAGCATTCGTGTAAATGCTGCCTCACAGATTGCTCGTTAATCACCTTCCTGATGTGGCCGCGAGGAATGAATCCTTTTCGCCCATCATGAAACTTATGGTGGTCTGCCAGAAGCTTGTCCTGAAGTGGTGCTTCTAATGGCAAGTCACCGTCGGTTTCCTCATCGGAAGTCTCAACAACTTTGCTCCACTCGCGATTCCCGAGATCAGAGATTACTGAGGGCTCTTTCTTAAACTCGGGACTAGAGCCTGAGTCTCCGACAGATAACCCTTGGCCCCTGATAGCATCGCTGTTCGCAGGGTCCAGAGGCTGAAGGGAGTTTGAACCCCCCTGTATCCTCATCAGCCACGTCAAGACTGTTTGATTCATTTTTGGAATATACTCACGCAATCAGCAGTCTCAAGAATTGGAGAGTTTTCGAAAGACGGAACTACCTGGAGTTTCGGTAATATGACCGGATACGGAGTCTCGTCGCTCGAGCCGTAAAACGACGTCGAACTGCGGCGAGAAAGGAACGTCATTTCGGTGGCGGTATTGTCTCTCGCACTGGACGCGGAGTCACCGTATGACGAGTCAGCATCGGGCTCTGCAGATGCCCGTGCATTGTTGTTATTGTCTGATAATCGAGGCATGGCGCAGCTATTGACTCAAAATAAACATTGAGTCGACCGCTGAAAAAACGACAACAAAGCAATCGTAGATTGGAGCGAAAAAAGGCCTTTTTTAACCACTGAACTTCCTCACAATGCATTGTTGTAAAACGAGGCTCTGCCTCCAAAGCCCTATCTATTTAGCCTGGCGATTGGATTCTGCAGGTCATTTGGGGGCGGTCTCAAGCGATGCACACCCTCAGAAGGTCAGCTCAGCCGACCATGGTCATTTCCAGTGGCACTGCGCTTGTAAGGGGGGCGCCGCCATGGTTCTCCTGTAGCCATATTTGATGGTTGCAGGCATGTGGTGGCGAAGCAATAGGACTTTAAGACATGGGGGTTGAAAATACCTAACGCGCAATATCCCCCAATTTGCCAGCCATGCACATTTAGCACTCATTTTACATTCCTTTCGCATGATTATAGCTGAATCTACACAATAAATGCCTTGGAGCCTCGGCGCTTACTGGTACACACAAAGTTTCCACTAGCAGAATATCCCTGTTTTTCCACTTGGGCAATGCTGAGTGATTGGTCATAATTCGCCTGGAGGAAAAGGCAGGCAGCTTTAAGGCTACCAATTCTGCAATAAAAGAGGATAAAAGCACACGGTCGCATCTTCGTGATGATTCTCGCAACTTCTAAAATCATATTATTACATATTCACAAGCAACGATAATCTTAATCTTGAGACTCCAGATTCCTAGTCAGACCCCAGAATGCCTTCTATTAGCTCAAGCACATTGCAACACCTGCCGCAAGATTACCAAATCGGCGAGTTTCAAGACTTTGATAAGGAAAACATCAACCCGGCAAAACTCGTGTCTTTACTGAGGAAAATGTTCGATCAGGGAACGTATGAACTCCATGTAAGTACTAACAGAACACTCAATAGCATTAATTGACTCAACGTACATAACAACTTGCTAGATGGTCCATGACGTCCTCAGTGTTCGGGCTCCGAGGCCTCTTTCAACCGCGGAGGTCAACTGCTGTAAATGATACAAACTACGTCCGAAGCAACATTAAACTTGCCTCTTTATATAACCAATAGGGCTCTTACATAATCATGAGGTCTACACACGAACTGTTATCTTGAAGAAAATTGTTGAAATCTTTATAGCAGAATATCTTTTGTTTATTCTATTATCACATTGGGTCAACCATGCCTCAAAATCATGTCAACAGATTGAATACACATCCTTTGCTTTTGTGGTTATTTCCATACGGAGCCCTAAAGCCTTATTGAATCAAACTCATATACCTTCTCTTTTTCTGCATATTGATCTATTCTTCTTTATATATTTCGCAATCGTTTAGCGGTTACTATGTTTAATTCTCTATGTGCGGTTAAGGTCTTTGTCTATGTAATGCAGTTAGCTAGTTCTTCCATTCATTTACCTAGGCTCATAGCTTTTCCTAGAGTGACGTCTGCCCGTAGACTCTATGGGTCTGAAAATACAGACGCTCTGGCTGGTCTTCGCCTCCTTCACTCCGTAAATTGGGGATTGCCGTTGTATAATGGTTTCCGTCTGCCTATAAACCATACTCCTCAAGGCATCATTCACCAAATTACCAACTTAATCCAGGTCTGTCCTATTTCCATATGTTAATAAATAAGTCACGGGACCGGGAACCGGGCACCCCGGGAACTGGGCACCCCGCGTTTGGCCTCAACACCATAACCTCGATATCTTCAACTATATATAAATTAACGAAGATAAGCTCCTTTTTCATCTAGTCTTTTCCTACTAATTAAAGAAGCTTATATCTATTTAATAATAACCTAAGTAAACTTATTTCTTACCTATTTTTACTACTATAGTATCCCTTGCTTTATAGACCTCTTTTAAGCTATATACCTTCTGATTTAGATCTAATATAAGCTTCCTTCTCTTTGAGACCTGTAATTGGTCGATTTTCTCGCTTAATACCCTATTTTCATCTATTATTAAAGCTAATTCAACGGCCCGTTTATTAAGTCCCTTTCTAATCGTCTGGAATAAGTGCCTCTTTGTTGGTGTAAGTGCCTTATTGCCTAATTCGGCTCTTGCAAGCTGCATAACATCAGATAGCTTATGTGGTGTATGAAGATAAGGTAATTGAGAGCTTATATTGGCTGGTGGTGTAGTCGGATTGCCTGATTAGGCAGCTTGAGCCTTATTTTCGTCTGGTATTATATATTTACTTAATAACGGTCTTATAACGTTAATAGGCCATAAGCCTGACGCAAGCCAGCCGGCCCGGATCTTCTCTTTAGTAAAGGCAGCGGCCTAAGCCTTAAAATAACACCTTAAAAAGGCAGCCTTAGCTGTATTTCCTTGTTCAATAAGTAGGGCTTCTATCTCAAGTTCACGGCGATATACTAGCTTTAAGAAGCTAAATATAGTTAAATTAAGAGGCTAAAGGACATATAACGTATGCGGCAGAAGGTAATAGGGGTATATATTATGCTTAAAATAAAGAAAGATAAATTCATCTATTAAATGGCTTTTATGCCTATTTAGGAAAAGAAGCCTCTTTTCCCCTTCCTTTTTAGGCAATGCTAACAGGATAAAAACCTCCTTAAGCCATAAGGCTGCGATCTTATTAGTAGTCTAGCCCTTTAGTAATATTGCAAAGCGCTAATTGCCTAAAAAAGAAGGATCCTTTAGAAACTATTATTATTGCAGCTAATCCCCTTTAAAGATAATAAAGGGCAGAAGGGCCGTGCTATTAGTATATATAGCTTCCGTTATTATAACCTAGCTGCGCCTGTAAGGGCTTCTTTTTAAGGTCTTCCTTTTCTCTGATTAGCCAATTACTAAGCTGTTAATACTGACTCCTTAGAAGATGCCCGTTTTATCTATATTCTAACAGTTATAGCTGCAGATTATCGTGACCTTAGGATCCTTTAATTAGTTAAACCAAGACTAGATGATAACTGCTTTTGCTCCTTTAATATGCTTATATTTAACTTTAATTACTTTAAGCATTTTAATTCGTTCTAATTATGCGATAAATCAGGTAACCTAATGCTTGCCGAGAGGTTTATTATCGCCTTATAAGCTTAAAATGCATATAACAAGTTGCCTGATTTAGAAATGCATTATTAGAGTATAAAGGGTATCTTGAAGCCTTAAAAAAGAGATGAGATCGGCTTTAACGGTCAGGCCGAGCCGCTATTGGTCTATATAAGCCTTATTTTTAGGCATAATGCCTTGAAGTCGGTGCTGTAAGCTTAATCGAGGTATAGAAGCTTCTTTAGCAGCTTTAACTTATAATTGGCCGTTTTAAACAAGGTTAATTGCTTTAAGCATATCTTCTTCTATATAAGAAGACATTATGGGTCAAGATTGGATGAAAATCAGGGTATTATATCGACTTTTTGAGTAATTGAATTGATGAAGGTTATGGTGTTAAGGCCAAACGCGGGGTGCCCAGTTCCCGGGGTGCCCGGTTCCCGGTCCCGTGACTTAGTAGCTCTACCCAAGTTACCTATAGCAACCTCAGTTCGTGACATTTATTGACTTAGGTACTACATCATTTAATTATTCGAAGTCTGTAACGCTTGCTTCTAATATAGTGTTTTCTCTTTCCTAATAGTTTACTTCTTGAAAACCCTAAAGCTAGGACCTCGAGCTCTATATCTACCCTAGCTTTGAGCAGATAAAATTAGCGATGTAGAGTTAAAATTATAGGTGGGAAAACACTGAAACAGTGCCTTGCGCCAATGCTGGGCTGCAGAAAGCGGCCAATATTACAACCAACACCGAATTACTGCCAATCGCATCGCTCTATCATTGAGGCGATTGCATTTCAGTTTCTGCATCCAGGTGGGGAATATTGACGAAAGAACCCAATCCAGCAGGAGGGAGGATCACGGACGATGACATGTCACTTGTTGACGGCCTACGAAAAGTCAGCTCATGAATCTCCAACTCTTGAGTAGTGGTACTACTAGTTTAGGAGTCACGGTAAGTCGGCTGATGACAAGAAGATACGCAACAGTTCGCAGGTTGTTACAAAGTATCTACGAGAAGCCCAAACCGAAAGCCCCGACGAGGAGCAAGAGATCTCTGCGACTTCTGGTCAGGATAAGGAACAAAATGACTAGATCACTCTCCTACGAGTCAATCAGCTTTGGACTTGGACTATTTCAGACAGTATGTCGTACAACCTGAGACTTTCTCTTTATTATATTAATGGTAATGGCCCGTAGAGTGGCTTATAATCGCGATTTCTTGTCACCCTGACGACTGTCACAGTAATTTAGACGAGGAGATTCTCGACCAACTTGATGAGAAAGCAAAGTCCACCGGAAGCAGTTCGTAGCCAAGCTCAGCAATCGAGATGAGCAAATTAATTGTTGAGCATTGTATTGGTTCTTTTGAGAGACCTCCTAGTTCAGATTCTGCATGTGAAGTATCACCCAGCCAGGCATTTTCCCATTATCTCAATCGAATTGTAAGTTCTGCCCGGCTATAGAATGCTTGATAACTAATAAAGCGACAGGGGAGAGACGAAACTGCACTTTTTGAGGATTTTCGTCAACGAACAGAGAGTTGGGAGCTTCGAGACAATAGCAGTAGGCAGAGAAAGATATAAAAAAAACCTCTCCGCCGGATTCAAATCCAGCTGAAACAGAAAGTTCCCCTCAAGTTTCGACCCAAGCATCGCCTAACTACGAGATCAAAAATGCAGTCAAAAAGATAATGCAACTATTCTGTGAGATTAAGGATGTCCGTGATAAGCTGAACATGCCTTGATCCGCCGCTCAGCATCAAAACACTGTCTAGAAGGGACTAGCTGGCGAATCCATTCAGACCTCACGGCTTCTATTAAAACCTATCCTTGGCAATATCGAGGAGATGGATATCGTTGCCGAGAGGATACAGCTAGCTGTAGGTTTGGCTCTCGATAATATTGACTTTGGCCTAGTTTCTGACTCGTCGAAAATAAAAATAGGTCAACACAACGCTTTCTCTGCAGCAAAGCGAAATTGCGAATGATCAGGCTACTCTAGCCACTTCGCAAGGGAAAACGGTCATGGCCTTCACCTTTGCTACTGTTCTTTTCGTGAGGCGCTCCGTCCATGGACGATCACTATGGATTCATAGTCTAATATCTTTGTAGCTTCCTCTCTCATCTCTCTCATCTTTGTTTGCAAAGGATGTAGCCTCTTTCCAGCAGGCCCCAGCTTGGGCGTTTATGTCATTTGTAAGCAATGCTTCTGCTAATTACTCTTCGAGGTACCCGTAACTAACATTGGTTTCTCAGTCTTTGTGTCTATCGCAGTTTCCATCTTCCTTGGTTTTGTTGCTTTCCATTGGGATAGTATACTTTCACAAATCACGCAGCAGTCACCAAAAATGCTAAAAGCCACCGGTCAGGCTGTGGATATATAACCCAGCAGTGCAAAACAGGTCAGCCTTAATTATAGTATTATACTAGTTTTAACAGAGATAAAGTTATACTAAAGCAAAAATCTTTCTTTTAAAGAAATAAAGAGTATTTAATTTTAATAATGCTTAAATAGATTTAAAATATGTATAAAATGATAATACTTAAAAGGTAAAAGAGGGGATATCAACATCGCTAATAACCCAGGTCTTGCCACCATCGTTGGTAGTCATCTCGCCACCAGTAACGCCCTCACCCTTTCCGAAGGTCTGGATGTAGTTGGGATCGGCAGTGTCAAGGATGATCTTGGTGTCAACCCACTCTGAAATATCTCGTTAGTATGTAGTCATGCTCGGGTTGCTTTGCGCGACTTACGGTGAGCACCAATGGTTCCGCAGTCCGAGGCACCGCACTCTACGGAGCTGCCGAAGCCCATGGCCTGGTGGCCCTTTGAGGTAGAGAGAGTAGAGACTTGCTTGCCGTTCAGAGAGACGTACTGAACATACTCTTGAGTTGATGCATCATACTTGTCTGCAATATGTGGTTAGTTTAGCCATTCAAATTCAGATGTAATGTGCTTCGTACAGTGCATGGTGATACGATCACCCTTCTTGGCGGGAGTCTGGTGCTCATCCTGAACAGGCAGCTGACTGTTGTCTCCGGTCTTGGTGAGAGTGTAGGCAAAGATGCTCCACTGGTCGGATTGCCAGTTGTCTGCAATAGACTGGATCAAGTCGCCCTTGTCGGTACCCATTCCAACCCAAAGAGAGGCAACACCAGTAGAACCCTTGGGGACATCGGGAAGGACAAGAGTTGAAGTGGCCTCACGGATCCAGGAGCCAGAGCCAACGGGACCAGTGCTGAAGGCAGGGCCCATAGCGGCGTTGGCAGAGGCGACGGCGATAGCCGCAAGGACAGAAAGGATCTGGTTGGGAGAAGGCATTTTGAGACTTTGTTGTTTGACTGGTTGTAATCAAGTTATAGTGGTGACTAGTTTGCTTGGCAGCTCAGCATCTTTATATAACAATGCAAAACATAATGAACTAAACAAACATCTGTTGTAATTGGCGGACAAATGCCCGAGCTCCCCGCCGAGTCCGTTTGTCAATGCACGTTCAACCGTTGGTGGAGATATTATCCGAAACAACCTAGACAACCTTGACTTGTTGTTTCGGGGTGGTGGACCAGAATAGGCGAACTGGAATAACCCGGTCCGTCGATGGAACCGGCAGTAAGCCGCACTTGATATAAACAAGCTTTAAATTGCCCGAGGTGACTGACCCACATGGCTATACGATATAAGCGTATTCATCACGGTGCCTAGAGGTTGTTGAACTTCTTCTCGACTATGGCGCTGAAACAAAAGTCCACCACTTGGTAGCTTGCATTACTCCTGAGAATGCAAGTATGAGCGGCAGCTAGCCTAGGAAAAGAGATTTCTTTACTTATCTCTAATAACTATTTATATTTAGCTAAGGTCTTTAATGTGTTAATTTAATAATATGTAAAAAGAACGGCAGAGTAGAGGGAACATGGTTTAAAAACTCTTAGCCTGGCTCCGCTTGCGATAATCCTTGTGAGTATTCTACTGACGACCGAAACCATGTCTGCTCACAGGGTCAAATAATACATTCGTACCTATATACATTTACGCCTAATCCACACTAGAGCCGATTTTATGCCTCTGCAGTAGAAATCCGGGTATATCTTGGATCGATTGTAAAGCGCTTTTCCGTAGACTGATTTATCAAGACATTGCATAAAGTCGTCGACGCGAACTGGCACTAGGAGTCTTCTAAGTGGTGCGAGGGTCTGATTATGGCGTTCTAAAAAACCTTTGCTAACATACTTCTAAGGCATGTCACAATCGTTAACTTACTAATAAAGGAGTCTCTGATGGATAAAGCGGATGTTGTCATCAGTGCGGCTCCGGAACATGAAGATTCCAATCATGCACTATGCGGCATGGATTATAGAGCTCTTTATTAGGTAGAGTGCGAAAGACGCCGGCGACAATAGTCGCGTGTCAGTCAATATCAAGAGCATGAACAATGGAATTCAAGACGCTTGACTTATGTTACACGAGGTTTGGTTAACTGAGGCATAAAATATAATAAATATAAGAATATTTTATATTAAAGTCTTTAAAATTTAATTAATTAGTTAATTTTATAAGACTTTAAATTATTTTTTTAAGGTATTAATAGGTTTAATTATTATAAAAGTAACTTTTTTAAATAATTTATACCTAAGTAGCTTAATAAGTATTTTAATATTAATTTTTAAGTTTTATTAATCCTAGGCTATATTAAGTCTATTATAATCTATGAGGTATAATATAATCTTAATATTTTCTTATTAAGTTAAGGCTAGATTTCTTTATATAATAAATTCTAATATTACCTTAATATAAGGAATTATTATAAGGTAATACTAGCTTTATAATTGTAATATTACTTTTTATATATATAAGTTATTTAGTTTTACTATTTTTAGCTTAATAATTAAGGGATTTATTACCTTTTATTACTTTTATAAGTAGTTTTATTATTTATATTAATTTCTTACTTATTCTTTATTAGGTATATTCCCCCATTTTTTTTAATTATTATAATTTATAATTTAAGTAATATAAAAATGCCTTTTTCTTTTAAATAATTAAATTAATATATATAATAAGCAAGTGCTATAAATAAGTAAGTATAATACTTATATTATATTACTAAAAGAGTAAACCTTAAGTTTTCTAAAAATAGGTTATTTAATTACTATTTAGCTAAGAACTATAGGTTAATTATTTAAAAAATAGAGCTATATAATAATATTTTTTATAGATTTTTAAAAAAATAATAAATATAATATAAAAAGTTAGAAAACCCCAGAATTTACAGTATAAATAAGACTTTCTTTAATAAGCTCATAAATAGCCATTTTAAAAATCTAAGAAAATATCTAGTAGATATTTCTTATATAATAGCGCTTATTTCTAGGTTTTAAATTAATAGGTATTTTTCTTTAATTTTAGAGATTTATTTTAGCTTAAGGTAAAAATACTAAGACATTTTAAGTATTATATTTACTTATTTATAGCACTTGCTTATTATATATATTATTTTAAAGTCTTTTTAAAAACTAATTATATTAATAAAGTAGATTTTTTAAGTTTTAAAAACTAATTTAAAAATAAAAAGTAATAATAAAAAAAGAATTTAGAAAATAATATCTGTTAATATTCTTAATTATAAGTTTAATATAAACTACTAATTACCCCTGTTTATATTGATGGTGCACTGATGTTACAGCTGATTTGCTTATTTGGTCACGTGATCTGTCTCGTGACTCATTTGATCCTCTTTTCGCCGCCGACGCCAAATGTCTTTGACTTCAGGCAACTAAACTCACACAAAACTCAATACATTTTTCCTCCAAACCCCGCGATTACCCCGCTTCCATCCCAGACATCGCGATAGACCATATAAGCAGGAGGATCTCGCAACCAAAGATCGCCATCCTGACGCGGCTGGCATCATCCTTATTAAACCAGGCCTCTCCGATATCCATGGCCATTATACGCAGCATATCGCCCTTGCCCTTATTTCGCCCAAGAGCTTCTTCGATCTTAGGGATCACATCATGGCCTTCAGTCAGATAAGGCTCGTCGGGCCTGGGTGCCTGCAGGCTTCTTCGGAGCATCGTGACGGGGCAGCTGTGATGCTGTTAGCGGTTGCGGCCAGAAGAGGGAAAGTCGGGTCGGGTCGGATGACTTACTGCGGAAGCGTGATGGATGATTGAAGCGTGGTATGCAGCAGAGGTCGATTAAAGAGTAGGCATGCGATTATGGCCTTGGTCTGTTGTATCTTAGCCTTTCAGGTGGGTTGTAGGAAGAAGGTTGGGGCCAGCTGATGAGCAGGTAAGGCTTTTCAGCTGGCATATGTGCAGCTAGGTTCAGGCTGCAATTGAGGCAGCTAACTATGATGATTTGACTTAATGAAGCTTTGCCGGCTGTAGGGGCAATAAATGTTTAAACTATATTAGACTCTGGAGATGCTTGGATATACCTTTCGAGGCTAACTTGCAAACTTAAAAAAAAAAAAAAAAAAAATACTAAAAGTATATAATATATCCTACTAGTTCTTTATGTATATATAGGTTTAAGTTTAGGTTTCTAGGGATAGCTATAGGAAAATAATTATTATCTGATTTTTCTCCCTTATAGGCCTTATATTAGTAATACCTATAAGATGCCTAAGAGATTTCCTTATATTAATTATTAGTAGGAAATATCTTAATATTATCCTTTAGGTTAAACCTAAGTTCTTTATATAAGGGGTTTATAGTATTATTTATATAATAGGCTTATATAATTATAGCTTCTAGCTTATTAATATTTATATATTCTTTTACTTCTTAGATATACCTTTTATATAGTAAATTATAGTACCTATTTCTGTTTTTATTAAATAGGGGGGTATAAGTTTATTACTATTCTTATTTAAGTTTTTTATCTTCCTTATAGAGATATCTGGCTATTTATCTTACTGCTTTACCTTAATATCCTATACTTCTTATATATTAATAGTAGTTCTTATATATTTTATTACTTACTTCCCTTTTAATTTATATTTATTTTTCTTTTTTCTAAAGGGCTATCTGGTTTTTTAGTTCTTTATAGAGGGCTTCCTTTATTCTTTAAAGCTTATTTTTAGTAAATTTTAGTATTTTATATCTTATAATATATCCTTTTTTAATATTTACTATAAGAGTTATTCTGTCTTATTATATAATTATCCTAATAGGGATATTATTAATTAGTTATAAAGTACTTAGCTATTCTTCTGTTTTAAGGATAATTATTTTTCCTTTATTAAATACTTTTAAGACTTTTACTTCTTTATATTTTTTATTATTTTTTTTATTTTATTATCTTTTTTTTTATTTTTATTAGAAGTATTCCTTTTACTTTAGGTCCTTTATCTTTTAGTAGTAATAGTTATTATTAATTTTATTCTTTTAGAGTCTCTATTACTTTATTTCTTCTTTTATAAGTTCCTTTTTTTCTTATCCTTTATAGGTTTCTAATAGTAATTCTATAAAGGTTAATTCGTAATATAAAACTATATTATATCTGCTTTAAGTTATTTTAAGTATCTTAGTATATATAGCTATTTAGGGGTCTTGTATTTAAGTTAGTCCTAGGGCTTGCTTACCTTAATTTGGTTTTCTTAGTTTCTTTAGTTCTAGGTAGATGTGTGCTATATGTCTGAACTGGTTGCAGTTATAGTATTTAACCTTAAATATATCTTAAGGCTTCCTGTTTCCTTACTAAGTAGCTCTAAGAACTATAGGTCTTGCTTTAGTTTTATAAGAAGTATTATTATATCTTTTATGCCTCTAATTAGCATTATTTTATTTATAATTATTATTTTACTATAGGTTATATATTTTATTACTTTATTTAGCTTACTTCTTATATCTTTACTTATATTGCTAGTTATTAATTTTAACTATAATAGTAATAAGGTCGTTTAGGTTAGTAGGCTTAGGTCTAATATTAATTATAGTATCCTTAATTTCAGACTTTAGTCCTAAGTATACCTAGGCTATATATGCTTCCTTATTCTAGTTAAGTCTAGATGCCTAGTAGTAATATTTAGCGAGGTAAAAGGCTATAGATCCTTTTTATTTAAGTTATTTAATCTTTAGTTCTGTAGATTGCTTTTTATTTTATATCCCAAGTATATATTATATCTCTTTTTTAAAGTCTTTATAATTATTATAAATATAATTAGTTATATCTTTTTATTTTTTATAAGGATTATTAATATAATTATATATAATAGGTTTAAACTATTAAAGTACTTTATCCTTAAGGAATCCTATTATATATTATACCTTAAGTTTATTTATAATAAACTAGGTTAGGTAGTATAGATAGTAGCTATATAGGCTAGTAAGGAATCCTTAGAGTTTATTAGCATCTCTATTATATAGGTTAGGCTATTATAGTTTAAGGATTTCTTTAGGGTCTTTTCTAGTAGCTATAAGTATTGCAGTATATTTAATATATTTTTAATATATTTTTTTACTTTTCTTGGCTTTTTCTTTAAGTCCTTTAATAAGTTTAATAAATTAGGTTACCTTAGCTTTTAAGGTTTTAATCTTACTTTTAGCTATATTAGAGTTATTTTTTGCATTTTCTAAAAGATTATTATATTATTAGCTAAGTCTCTTAAGCTTATATTTAAGTTTTATAACTTCCCCTTTATAGGTACTTAGATAAGCAGGAGTAATCTCTTCTTCTTCTTTATTATTAGTTTCTATAAGAACATTCTCTAGGTTAGGGGGAGTCTCTTACTGCAGTAGGTGCTAGGTATGTCCCGAGTTAGAAGACTGGCTTAAGGTAATAGGTGCTATTGCATTAGTATTGCTTAGTATTATATAGTATAGTCTAAATAAGAGCTATTAATATATAATAGTTATGGTTTCTAAGGGATAAACTAGTCTATTTTAGGTTTATATTAGCAGATAATGTAAGGCATAATGTTAAGCAGTATAAAGTATTATATCTCTTAATAATTAAGTAATATATATTAGGCTTATTAATATAAAGAAGTCTTATTAATAGCTAGTAAGCTAGAACCTATAAAAGTGCTAATAAATATAGTTTATATACTAAGGGTATTACTGTAATATAAGTGAGCCTAGGCGAGAGGCTATGTTATGTTATGTTATGTTATGTATATTTTTCGTCCGGGGGGCCGTAGGCCCCGAAAGTCTCCTAATGGAGCACAGGACGTGCTGAGCTAGAGAAATTGGGACCTATCTACACACTAATTACAGAATACTATGACTTCCTCTCGAATTCCAATTCTGCAGACGCGTCGATAGACCTCACACTATCCAGCATATCAACGGCACAAATGGCGCATCTTATCTAGCCTGTTACCCGTCAGCGGGATGATCAGGCGCGGCTGATGAACGACAGCCGCAAGGTAAGCCCGTTGTTAGGCGATCGTGAGCCTCTGGGCGCGGTAGCCTCAGGGCTGCCTTCAAGTGGTCACGATCAGATAGAGGGCGTGCTAGCGCCCTTCATCTGGCCGAGAACAGGTAAGAGAGAAAGGTAAGAAAAAGGAAATGTATAAGGGTAAAAGAGGGGAGGAAGGATGCGAGTGCGTCCCGGGTCGTGCTCGTCTAATAACGAGGACAGATCTTTCCAAAGAAAACGCTGGCTTTAGACAGTTCGGTGAACTTGGTGAAGTCTCTTCCTGTTGCCAGGTTGACTGCTGCATTCGGTGAGGGTGCCAACCTCATCCGATGACGCGGCGGTACCTTTCTGCAGTAGAAGATGTGGTCCGGTGCTTTGCGTCGGTTGCATGAGCAGACCAGGCGTGCATCACTATGGTCGAATCTCTCGTGATATGCGGCGAAGTCCCCATGAAGCGACCTTGCTGCCAGCAGATGGTGCAAGGCTGCACGCGGGAGCGACAGCTCCGGCGGACAGCCTGTAGTCGCCTTGAGATTGAGTCTTTTGTACTGCTCAGGAGCGGAGGTGGACCACCACGCCTGGAACGCTTCTTTCGGCTTCTGTCTTGCGATTCTTCGTAGGTAAGCCAGCGTCGGTTGAGCGCCTTCGGGCTCGGGGAGCGATGACGCTGCCTTTGCCAGCTTGTCGGCCTGTTCGTTGCCAGGGATGTTGGAGTGCCCTGGCACCCAGCGAACTTGGATGGCTCCATGCGATGTCGTCAGAGCTTGGAACTCGAGAAAGACGTTTTGAGAGGATTCAGAAGGAGTGCCTCGTAGACACGTGGCGGCTGCCAGGTTATCTAGGCAGATGAATATATTCTGTGTTGCTAATTCTCGCAGGTTTAGAGCAGCCTTCAGGCCCTCTAAAGCCCCGGTAGCTTCAGCATCGAAAACCTCAGCAGGTCCGAGGCGACCTGATCCGTCAAAGATGGGGATATTGTTCTGATGGATGGTGAAGCCATAGCTGGCAGCCCCTTCTGAGGAAAGAGAGCCATCCGAGTATACGACCAAGGTGAGCGGGTCGAGAGACTCGACCCAGCGGGAAAAGGCGTCAGCCGATTTCTCTTTAGACGCTGTCTGCAGTGGGGGCAACTGTTCTTGATGGAAGCATCGATAGACGAGTTTCGGCCGCGTGCAGGGTGCAAAGAGTTCGTTTGCACGTCGAAGGCGCGTCCTGAAGCGAGAGGCTTATAATATCTTGGGTGAATTATAGGGTAAGTCTTATATTAGGAGGAGTAAGCCTTACGGGTTTACTTAGGTATACATAAGCCTGTTATTAGTTGGTTAGAAAATGTGGGGTACACGTGACGTAACCGCGCGGGTCGTAATAATTATATTATAGCCTTTAGTTAAATACAGCTTATTAGTCCAAGGTACTTATAGGCTTTTTAAAGTATTATATTAATATAGCTATAACACTATTAGTAGTTATAGTTAGAAGGTATTTAGGTTAGATAACTTATTGCAGGAGTATAATAAATAATTAAAGTATGCCTTTTAGTTAGGTTATAGGAAGAAGGTTAGGGCTAGCTAATAGGTAAGGCTTTTTAGCTAGCATATATATAGCTAAGTTTAGGCTGTAATTAAGGTAGCTAATTATACTAATTTAACTTAATAAAGCTTTAATAGCTATAAGGGTAATAAATATTTAAATTATATTAGATTTTAGAAATACTTAAATATACCTTTTAAGGCTAACTTATAAACTTAAAATCTTTTTTTAAAAATAAATAAAAATAAAAATATATTACTTAATTATTAAGATATATAACTTTTAATATTTACTTAGCCTTTGTCTTATAAATTTATTAATATAAAACTAGTATAAATTAATTTATTTTTTAAAAAATCTTAATTATTATATATTAATAATATGTATTTTATTTTTAAATAATATAAATAATTTAATACCTTTATATTATTAAAAAGTTTAATAATATTAATATTAAACTTATGCCTTTTTATATAAAACTATTACCTAATATTATAGAAATAATAGCTAGAATGTTTTAAAGAATAAGTTATTAATATAATCTTATTCTTAACTTAAATAAAAGCTTACTTTTACTTATAACGTACACGATAAGCGGACCGGACAGATAAACGAACCGGACAAGAATCCTAACCTTCTTTAAATAAATTACAACAAAAACACAACAGACTATATAATTAATTGAAATTAAATACTATATTAATTCTCAGGGGCCTGAATACCCTCCTGACAGGTTCTTGCATTATGACCGGTCTTGCCGCAAGTCCTACATCGCGATACCCTCGGTCCCTGCGACCTTCCTTGACTACCACTTCTCGTGGATTCGGCCACAACCTGCATACTTACATCTATCTGATCAATTGAATCCTGGGCATCCCCTATGGTCATATTCCCTCTTTTCTGTAGGCGTGTTCGTTTTGCCCTGCGCCGCCGGCTAAGCATATCATTTGCCTGTCGAAGGTCCCGGATCTTAGCCTCTTGTAGGGCTATCTTATATAGAAGAATGCTTTGTCCTTTCTCAAAATGCTTTACAGCTTCAATTATTGACTCAAGGGAGCTGCTTCTATGATTTCTGATCCTTCCTTGAAGATATTTAGAGTGAGATTGGGTCTCTAGTATTGTCTTTGGGGTCCTTGCAGTCTAAGGGGTTGAAGGTTCAGTAACCTCCTGGGGAGGCGTTGGGGTCCGTAGTTGCACATCAAGCTTCGAGATGACATATTCTGGGTCAAAGGGAGCAAGCCCGGCTCCTCTAAAACCTCCCTTGATATTTTTCTCGGTTATAGTAGCTTAGAAGGCGGCATAAAAGGCCATGAAGAACTCAGTCTTAGAAACGTGGGTTATAGACCTTCTGATCAATTGGTCTATTTCTCGACCATATGCCTTTTTCAGTGGCCCAAAGCAGCCGACGTCAAGGGGCTGAAGCAGGTGCGATGAATGAGGCGGCATATAGAGTGTAATGATATTGTTCTCCTTATAATATATCTGGAAATCGGCTGACTGATGACTTTCATGACTATCGAGGATTAAGAGACGATAGGGACCAGTTGATCGGTTAGTTGTAGCCCGATTAAAGTGTTTTAGCCAATTAAGGCCTATCTCGTTATCTGTCTAGCTATTTTCGGTTATAGCGATAACCCAGGTGGCCGGGAGGTTGCTGTCTTTATACCAGTTACGAAGGTGATGTTTGCCTGCAACCACGATAAATGGATCAATCGCCTGACCTTCTGTATTGATTGCTTGAATTACTGTAGCCCATTCCCGATTTCCAGGCTAAACTGATTTTGGCTTTCTATGCCTCTCTGAGCTAGTGATAACTATCCCGGGCTTAATCACGCCCATTATAAAGCCGGTCTTATTAAAGTTCCAGATATTATCTAATCGGATACCGTATTTCGCGATTATATTCTCTATAAGCCTAAACCAATTCTAAATAATAGTTAGATCTTCGCATTTGGCCCTGCAATAGTTATATTTCCTCTTAAAACGTGTCTTAAGCTGTGGTTGCCGCTTGATAAAATTGATAGCCTAGCGCTTACCAACTGGTAATGCGTCGCGGTCAGCAAGCAGTCGATTCGCCATTTCATCAACATCACGATGCCGGGAAGGAAATCCTCGCGAATCTAGGTCAAGGATATACTGCACTATAACCTGTTCCTCTAGATCACTCAGTTTCCGTAAGTTAGGGAGACAGTCGCTGCGAGCTTGTATTCCCTTGGTTCGATCAAAGAGTCGCTGGTGATTGATATCATAGATCTTTGCGGCTCATCGCAGACTTAATTTTGGGTCTGCCTGATAGGCCTGGAGTGCAAGAAGCAATCTAGCCTCAGTATTAGATTGAGACATGTTATTTGGTGGAGAATTAATTGATCTAATAGTGTTAATGTAAAGTGAGGGATTTTTGTCCGGTTCGTTTATCTGTCCGGTCCGCTTATCGTGTACGTTATAAGAATAAGCTAAATATACTTATAAAGAAACTCTTATATACTTTAAGCCTTATTTAAGGAAATACTAAGAATTAATTTAAATTTATTTTAAAGAACTTTCTTAAAAAAAAAAAAAAAGCCTAGGATTAAAATACCTAGAATATTTTTATAAATTAAAAAAAACTTTAAATAAGCTCTTAAAGATAATTTTAAAGTAATTAATAAAAGCTTACCCATCTCAAGTACGTCACGGCTTATAATAAGCTTATCTCGCTAGGCGTATAGAGCATGCAGAGCTAGACTCCTATGGGCCTTGCTTTGCATGCCGACCGATCTTCATTTGGCGGTCTCGGCGCGTCAGTGCCAGCAAGCGATGTCGCTATCTAGCCCTTAGAGGAGCCCACTAGGGATAAGATAGATCTAGGCATAACCGATAGTATTTCAGGCTCTAACCCTAGCTCCGAACCTCAGGCTGAAAGACTCGACCTCGCCGCAGAGGCTCGCGAACATGTCGAGTCGCTAGATCTCAGATGAGTCTCTTCTCTTGCAACAGGACGAGTTGGTACAAGTTAGCCAACACATAATCCAAGTCTCCTGTAAGATCGCTAATCCGGATAGTAAGGATAAGGTTAACTATTAAGACTTCCTTAATAGGTTATCTCAAGTTATCAGCATAAGAACTGCCACTAAGCTAGCAGGGCCTTCTACCTATATCTTTATCGCCAAGCTGCACATACTTACAATTACCAACTTCCTTAGCATATAAAATACCATCAACATCGACTTCTAACAAGGCCTCCCGTGCAGATTAACCTTCCTAGTTGGCAACAATGGCTCCAGTAAGAGCACGCTTATCGAGGCTATAGCGTAGTATTAGTTCAGGCGTTGTATTCGCGGCCAACGACGTCGTTAACGATAATATAGGCAAGAACTGCTCTATCAAGCTAGAGTTCGCCAACAGATACGCCATTGCACGGTATTGTAAGCGCAAGATCTACAAAAACCGTATTGTTATTTCGTTGCGTGGCGAGCCATAGCCGCAGCTTAAGCACCTAGATGCGCGTATAATGCAGGTGGCTATTAATGAGCTACTTGGCACTGACTACGAGATATATGTCAGGACGGTCGTACTTAGCCACGAGAGTGTATCGAGCTTTCTGAACTTAACGCCAACGCAGCGGCATAACCTAATCGAGGCATCGCTCGGGCTGTCGATGTTAGATCAGTGCGGGCAGGTATTGAGGCTGCTGCTCAAGGACATTAATATCGACATGAATAAGGTGGAAGGCAAGCTAGAGGGCTTGACTTAGATGATAGAATATAATGAACGACGGCTCGAAGATCTAGACTAGATACTGAAACGACTTAAAGATAAGGCAGAGGAGGCTATCGCATCTTTAGAGGCAGCCATTCAAGACCATACAAGCAAAGGAACTCAGCCCCCCAAGCTTAACAAGGACTTTCATATTTAGATTTTAGCGCTGCAGAATTAAATCCACACCAAGCAGGAGAATTTACAGCAGCTAAAGGGCTCTTATGCCTAGATGCAGGAACAGAAGTATTCCAAGTCGATATCATAGCCAAGCTAGCTACAGCAGCAACTCAGTCAAAGACTCGAGGTCATGACCGCGGCTCACCCCATCGGCCTGCGCAAACATTTTTACACTATAGAGACCTCCATTCTCCGCATCCTTCTAGTAACCGTTAGGGGCCTCTTGCGCACATTCGGGATTCCAAAGGACCGCTCTCAGGGAACAACCAGCACCCAAAACCATAACCAGGAAGCAGCCATTAACAGTCTCCATCGAGACATCAAGACAAGCATATCACAGTTACAGAGCCTAAAGCACAAGGAGAAGCTAAGTACTAACCACGCCATCATAATCAGCAAGCAGCTTACGCAGGCCATCCAGGCTCAAAAGGCATGCAAAGCCTTACAGCAACAAGCCACGATCAAGCAACGCAACGCAGCCACATACAAGTGCCTGGCTAAAACCGAGCAGTCATCTCTGCACACCCTACGCTCAGAACACGACGCGCTGACCACCAAGCTACAAGAGCTTGCCGCTAATCGCAAGCTCTTCGTCTTTTGGTCCTCTGCCTTAGCAAAGCCTACCTGCTGCGCCTCTTTATCTTCCTCGCCTAGCTCCATAACAAAGGCAACAGTTAACTTCCGCAAGCACATCCTTGTGAAGTTATTATTAGAGCTTAATATACTCCTTACGCAGGTCCTTATGGTGCTGCATAATGACATGCGCCCCGTGTATATAGTAACGGGGATGCTGCGTTCACTGTTCGACTCCGAGTCTGCCGACGATACGATCGATATATCCCTCTCGGGATCCGTTCTCGGTCCCACCCTTGCTGTTCACCCCTCGCTCGCCTCGAGGTTTCCAGTCCATTACTCACTAATGGAGAAACCAAACAACCCACGATATTAACGAACATTCGCAACTCACCTCGAAGCACCGCACAACTTTTCAAACAAGCATTTCACCAAGCATGGACCGATGTGAAGGATGCAAAACCAGAAAATTGGTACGCACTACGATGGCTGGCAGTCTTTTCTATCCTGTGGAGTTTCGCGTTGATTGCTCTCATCATCTGTTTTGCCCTGCTCTCTGCTGGCAAGTTTGGTTTCGAGGACAGCTCGTGCCATCCGGGTGGCGAGTTTAGTCCTTTTCGGAATACCTTTAATTGGTGGGCGCTCAAGGGAACGTTTCAGATTACGTTGAGGATGGGGGATTTTGATTTTGCTACGGCCAAGATTATTGACGTGATATGGGATCTTGTGAGTCTTTCCCTGTCTTGAATACTCGCAGAAAGGTTGACAGCTGATATCATTAGGTGGTTGGTCGAGGAGGACAGACACTCCTCGCCTTGATCTCATGGCGGGCATTCTCCGACTACCTTGCCGTCTCCATCATGACCAAGCCAGCAACCTACACGATTGTGTGGCTTCTGAGAATCCAGACAGACCCATCCTTCGTCTCCATCATGGGCCTCCTGAACCAGTTCATCTGGCGACGGGGCCTGGCCTCGAGAGCCGCCATGTCCTTCATGGTCGCCGCGGCTCTGTTGATCCTGGAATTTCCCACCGTCGCCAGTTCCATGACCGGATACACGACCGTCAACAAGGCCTACATCGAGGTGCCGGAGACGGGCCTCGTCGAGTTTTCGGCAACTTATCCGGGGGCGTATGTGATTCGTGACGGCTCGAGGATTGGCCTACATGACGGATATGTAGTGCGTTTTCGAGACGGTGCGAAAAAATCTTCTTGAACCAAATGGGGATAGAGGCTGACCTCTAGCAGGTTCTTCCGGAGATCCCATGATTGACAAGGTTACATATCTTCCAGGCTCATATTGCCAAGACTCGGAGAGAGCGAGAGAAAGGCAACATGGATGCTCACTACAATACGACATTTCAAACCGTAAGACAGGCCATCAACATCCATCGCTTCCAGATCTGACTCAAACAAACAGACGCCCAAAAATACGGCTTTTCATACGCCAGAACCAAAGACACTGCCAAGAACGTCGCATTGAACAGCACACTGAAACTCAAAAACGGGCCGCTCAACATCTTCCCCTATTACATACACGATTCCCTCAAGTTCTACTACAACTGGTCTGACGTCTACAAATGGGACGAGGAGGGAACAAAGGCGACCAACATTATTATGCGGGATAGGAAGAGGATCGTGTACGATGTCGCGGGGAAGGCTTTTAATGTCACAGAGCTGAAGAAGGGCGGGCAACTGCTCACCAGTTCCAGACGCAAGTACTGTACCCAGGCTCGTTGAGTAGAAGATAACATACTGTCCTAGAGATTTCAATGGGGTTTCTTGTTCCTTCAAGTCCTTGGCCTGTCGATACCCCTCCTGCTCTGGACGGCTGGCATGGCCATCATGTGGACAAAGGCTCACATGACCCTCAAACGGAACGGGTGCTCGACGAGTTCAGCGGGATGGAAGTCTGTTATTGAGTTTGCGAGTGCTATAGAAGTAGAACTAAAAGAAGCTGGGATTGACCAAAAGAGTTTTGACGATGACCAGCTAGACGACAAGATCCAGACGATTCTCCAGGGCGGGTCGGTGCCATCTTCTGATATCCTTTCCAAGGGCCTCTACAGCCTACGGCGCGACTTTAGACACGACGCACCCAAGAGCATACTCACTCTCTTGCCACAAATTTCGCAGTGGATAGGCAGAGAAAAATGGTGGTTCCTAGGCCTCATGTTTTGGCTGGCCGCCTGCCTCGTGAGGACCAAGTATCAGCACTCGTTGGGTCTAACCGCGTCGATAGGCTTCTACGGAGCATTCATGGCAATGTTTGCGGCAGTGGTTGCGTCTAGTGCAGGCGTCAACGTGACGCAGAGATTGGTGCTGTTGTTGTGTTTCGGACTCACTGCCGTCTTGTTTTATCTTGGTGTTTACTTGCTTTGCATGATACCTGGTGTTGTCATTGGAGTTCGGGCAGCGCTGTTTGGGTCAAAGATGGGAAGCAAGATTGTTTTATTCTCATTGCCTATTATTATCAACCTTGTCATAGCTCTAGTTTGCTTCATTCCATAGACAAGGGCGGAACGTCAATGTAGTCTTCAATCACGCTATTTCTTCATCACCCCCTGCTTCTACCGTCGGGGTTTCTCGTCTCCCGCCAAAGCTTTGCCTGAGCAGGTAAATAATCTAAAAACGATTTGGGTTACTTTTAAACCCGAAAATTCGCCAATTCCAACTATCGACGCCAAGAATCGGTCTAGACCCGCCTCGGGCGGATGAACTCGTTTCCAGTGGAGGAGGCCGCGGAGCAATAACTCGCCGACTCTGCTCCTTGGGGTAGATGGTCCATTTTACCTACGGAGACGGCCTCGGCTTGATTTCAATAGTCAAGGCGTTTCTTAGCCCGTCGTTCCATGTTTAATCGCAATAAATATCGTCGTGTCTTGCCTTTGATTCAACTTCTACGCAAACACCATCACCATGGCACAATCACCACTCGCCCAACCGCTGACTCTGCCCTGTGGCTTGACCTTGCCAAACCGACTCATCAAGGCCGCCCTCACTGAGCAAATGTCCGACTGCCAAAAACTCCCCACGCCAGCTCAATTCTCTCGAACGTATGGCGGCTGGGCTGATGGCGGCTGGGGCATGATCATGACGGGCAACGTCCAGATTGACGAAAATTTCCTCGGAGGACCCGACGACACAGCCATCAACGCAAGTCTCTCAGAAGAAAAAGTGGTTGCGGCGTACAAGGGTTTGGCTACGGCTTGTCGAAGAGCAGGGACACCGGCCATCATGCAGATCAACCACCCAGGTCGGCAATCGCCTCTGGGAGCTGGGAAGAAGGCATTCTGGTCCAAGAATCTTGCACCGAGTCCTGTACCTTTGAACATGGGCTCGGATTTCGTGTCCAAGGTGGCGACCAGTGTCATCTTTGGAACCCCAAGGAGATGTCCCTCGCAGAGATTGAGACAGTCATCCAGCGCTTCGCCAACGCAGCGAGGATCGCTGCTGCCGCTGGCTTCGACGGGGTAGAGATCCATGCTGCTCACGGATACCTGCTTGCACAGTTCCTCTCGGCAAAGACTAACCTCCGAATTGATTCCTACGGTGGATCTGTGGCGGCCAGAGCAAAGATTGTCACCGACATCATCAAAGCTGTTCGCGCTGCGGTTCCTGCAAACTTCTGCATCGGTCTCAAGTTTAACTCTGCCGATCATCAGTCTCCTACTGAGCTGCTAGAGTGTCTTGAGCAGGCTGCCATCATTGCAGAAGCTGGTTTGGACTTTCTGGAGGTCAGCGGGGGGAGTTATGAGAACCCAACAGTAAGATTCGCACGAATGAATGATGTATATCCTACACGAAATCGAAGCTTACATGGTGGTAGATGATCACTGGAACCGAGCAAGCCACCAAGTCCGAAAAGACAGCAGCACGAGAGTCCTTCTTCCTAGAATTCGCCCGCGAGATGAGAACCAAGCTTCCAGACATGCCCCTCATGGTAACAGGAGGCTTCCGCACCCGTGTCGGCATGGAAGCAGCTCTTAACGAAGGAGCCTGTGACCTCATCGGCATCGGAAGACCAGCAGTCTTGAACCCCTCCCTTCCTCTTAACACCATCTTGAGAGCCGAGGTCAGCGACGAGGATGCCAAGGTGTACGCTCGCAAGGTAGAGACTCCTTGGCTTCTGAAGAAGTTTGCGCCAAGATCAGTTGGTGCCGGAGTCGAAAGTGTAAGTTGATGTGCCGTTGAAGTTGTGAGAGATGCTGACTCTTTTAGACGTGGTATAGTAAGCAGATGCAACAGATAGGGAGAAAGTGAGGGACACCATTGACTGGTCATCATTTTCTTTGTCCTGTATTATCAGAAGTACTTAATTAGAAGTTAGACTGTGATTCGTAGAATAGAACATCTTTTTTTTCAATAATTGCTCGGATATTCGCGGGTGAAGCTACAGCAATAACCATCGAGTTACCGCTTGACTCAAGATCTGCCTATCTAACAACATATAATAAGCATCCGTGGCTATATTCCCATCTACTCTCTTAGTTATTTCTTCAAGGGCCAGGTTTCAACCATAACAAAGAAGATAATATCAACACATCATAGCATTATATCCCAATGCTGACACAGTGGCTTAATTAATACTAATAATAATCAGTGTCAATTTCACTACCTGAGCTACTAAGGGGACCGACCTGGCCCTTTACACAATTCTGCCTTCACACTATTCAACCAACTGGATCCAGCCAATCAGAGCCGTTTCTGCCTAGGCAGAGAGAAATCGGAACTGGCTTTACTAATCAGGATCCAGGGTAAACCGGAGCGCCCAGAGAAAAGTCCTAACCTGGATTGGCCCACTATACCCCCGGCTATTACACTACTGCTCAAGTCGACCAATCAGCTTACGCTAACTTGGCTGACTAACTATGCCCCCCGGCCACGGTCGGTCGCGGGGGCCCCTAGTAAGGGGGTCAAAAGGTGCCCTTTGTGGGATTCGAACCCACAGCCTCCTGTGCGTCAAGCTGGAGGGTTTGCCTAGGTACTTGGCCGCTGCATCAAAGGGCGTGGCTTGATTAGTTTTCTTTCTAGATTATACTCTTTCTAAAAATCGCGTGGGCTCTCCTCTCATTGGAATACGTTTGATGTGATAGGGCGGGGGGGCGTGTCGTCTCTGGCTAACGACCTAACTGGAGTTATATTTTGCGAACAAGAAGCGATTGCTTTAACTCAAGTCTAGACTCTTGAGCTGACGACTCCCAAACTCTTGGTCTCTGCACCTTGCTCCTCTCCACCTTGGAACCAAAGTCCCCCCAATCCAGACCTCGGTTGTCAGACGAGCTCAGCTCACGCCATGCTCCTAGACAGCATCGGTGTGAAACAGCCAGGACACGTGCCAAGGTGGTATTCATCATCCGTCCACCAGCCAAGACTTGCCCTCTCGCCGGTAAGACGCAGTCATCATCAGTTGGTAAGATATGGCTTGCCCTTTTGAGACATATTCTACCCCCCTGGCTGTACCTGATCTGACCGCTGATCGAATCATGGCATGGAATTGACCGCTGGAAGGATCAATTCAAGGCACATTGTCCGAGGGACTCATTGTCAACTTCATCTTTCGAACAGCTGCCCTCCTCATGTAGAGTACCCAAAAAGGCAAAAGGTCGCGGCGTTGCGTCCCCCTTTCACAGCCCTAGATCGACGTTCATCCCTGCTGCATATTGACTCTTGCCGCCCACCTCTTGGCAATTTTTTCCTTCTCCATAGCGGAATCACAATTGGAGGCCTTGGATCAACCCTCCATCACTTATCACCCGCTAACTCTCTTAAGCCTCAACATGCCTCGTCTGTCGGAACAAATGACTCTATCCAGCAGAAACTTGGCCCAACTTAGGGCCAATCTCAAGGCAAAGCTGGACGGTCCAACCCGGCCCACACTTTTCTTACAAGTCGCTGCTATGCCTCTACAGGTGTATTGCTGCGCTCGTCGACGAGCATCACTTTGTTCATGGGGGTAAGTAAAGCGTCTAGAATATTGTTTCTCTCTTTGGCTTTTCCCAATGCCTGTCGCGGTTCTGTCTCTGGTGACCATGACTGCTTCGCTCTCTACCCCTCTCAACTATAAGATAAGCCCTACGGGAACTTCCTCTTCTTCTTCCCCCCAGCACCACTCGCCAGTTTCCCACCTTGAACACTCCGCAACTCCTTCAAACAGCCCAAGTATTGCAGGCCAGTCTTTGAGCTTCCACCTTGTTCAAACGACCTCGAGAAAAGGCTCCTCAAAACAACCATCAAAATGTTCACCAAGTGGACCGCCACTCTTCTCCTAGCCCTTCCCTTCCTCACCAGCGCCACCCCAGCCTTGGATTCTCACGCCTCGGGCGACGCTACTTACTACCGCCCCGGCAAGACTTCCTGTGGCCCTGTCCATTATGACGATGACCTAATCGTCGCCCTCTCACCGGCCCAGTTCACGCATCACCCCGACGCTTGTGGCCGCTACATCCGCGTCATGGGTTATAATGGCCACCAGGTCACCGTTCAGGTTGCCGATAAATGCCCAGAGTGCTCGCTGGGTAGCATCGATCTCACATCTGCCGGCTTCTTGATGCTTTTTGGCTCCCTCGAAATTGGCCGTGCCGCTGTCACTTGGGACTGGGTCTAAACGGTTCACATGCGTTGCATATCCTCTTCGGTGCTCTCTCTCTCCCCGGCGCTGTCATGGAACCCATCAGGTTGCAAAAAACCACATCCCGTCAAAGTACAACCTCAAAGCTGCATATCTAACTCGTCCCTTCACCCCACGCCCCATACTAGTTTACACTTTTCTTCTTCCTAAGCAAATAGTCGATCAGTTCCAATGTCAGAGCTTGTCATGTCACTGAGCTCAAACCCAGCGCAACAATATTGGCATGTTTCTTTGCGAGATGTTGGATAAAGTCAACACATCTAGCCGTCGCGGAAACTATATGCCCGTGCCGAGCCAAAGCTATAACAAGCTGTTCATCGATGCCAATATCGCAGCCGTTGACAAGGCAAATGGTTAAGATAACAAAGAGCAACCATCTTAGATACATAAATGATATTCATTCTGTTTACTAAAATACTTACAGTTGCATCATTAAATAATGGCAGGTTGTCCACTTGAAATTCTTCTGAGTTGTGCTGCTAGGAGGATCTGACTTGGTCATGGTTTAGACTACAACCCACAATGCCATTATTATACCCGACGTCTCGGCGGACTATCTCTGCATACTTCCCCCGGAAAGCACCGAATTACTGACAACTAGTTCGAGAGACCAAGCTCTTGGGTTGTTGCTTTTATTAGCTCAAGACTGTTCTTAAATTTTAACCTATTCCTGGTTATTTAGTCATCGCATAATTCTCATGCCTTTGACCCAACCACTAGCATCTGTTTAAGCTTAGGCCTTACACAAATATGGCAAGAGGAAATAGAACATGTGAATGACACTCGCGGCTTCAAAACCTGATTTTAGCGGCGCAGCTCGTTATCCTTCAACTGTGCCTCACTGACCTAGGCTAAATGTAGTAGTTAAAACCCGTCCTTAGATCCAGCAAGTATCGTGGTCTTGAAGAAGACAACTAATTGGACGTACAAAGCAGGGTAGGGCAGTCTATGCCGTCGCTTTGCATTCTAAATTTAGGCGTAATTTGGAAATTCCAGTATACTTAACAAGACATTCTGCCAGTGTTTTGATGTCTAATATTGGCAATATAAATAATCTGGCTTTATTTCACTGCACTGGAATACTGTTTCTCTAAGAAACCTTTGGAGCCCTTCAACAAGATGCCCACTGTAACATCGGTCACTCAGGCCAAGATAACTAATTTTGGGCCGTTAACAACAACCTATACTGCACCAGCATCATGTGCCACAGCAACAAACCATCTTTACTTGGCTGATGATAGCGATAAACCCGAATATGTCTGGGCTTACCCTACCTGCACAATGCAGCTGTATGGTAAATGCATACCGTCTGGAGATCAATACGATCACCTTATCACAGCAACATATGCCAAGACTTTCGACTATGGCTTTTACCAGTATTATTCACCGGGCCTATATTGCCCTTCTAACTGGACGACCGTGGGGAAATATGTGAAAGGAAATGGAGGCACTGCACAGATATCGGGGGATCTTACCAAGACGGAACCAGGAATCCAGCCGGCTAGGTGGGAGCCAGGCCGGCCATTTGCTACAGATCCGACAAGTGTTTGGAAAGAGGTCTTGGAACCTTCAGAGACACTAGCCGTTTGTTGTCCAAGGTAAGCTTCTCAATGCCTTTGACGGCTAACGTGTCGCTAACGGATTCAGCGACTACACGGGTGACTTTAATGGAAATTGCTACTCAGTACTTGGTCCAATGTCTTCGTATGGATACACAGAGATATGCGGGTTTCTGAAAGCAACAAGCGTGGTACCCATGACAAGCATGAGAGGAGACTTTCCCGTTCAAATCTATACACAACCTATTCCTCTAGCAACATTCACACGGGAATTAGAGACAGGGGAATTGAAGGGAGACAACATTGTTGTAACAAGGGTTCCAGCAGTGGCGCTTATTTATCAGGAATCGGATTTTACTAAAGCTAGTAAAGAAGATAGTACTAAAGAGAACTCGGCAAACAGGATAAATGAGCGCAGTTATGCTATTCTCCTGTTAATAATGGCGATTATTACAACACTTATAACATCTGGGTTGTAATAATATGACTGGGGATAGGATTATTTTATTATTCTGGATGTCGCACTATTGATATTATGTATATCCAATTTAACACCGCGGCTGTTAATTAGAGAAATAATTACTATGCTTACTAAGTAATTAAAGGCACATTTCACCTTTGAGGTTGCGATTATAGATCTTTGCTCTATTTTCAATTACCCCCCAGCCAGCATATTTAAAGAAAAAAGAAACAAAGAAAAGCCACTACTAGACTTAGTATTTACAAGGCCCTTAGCCAGCCTTGGCCACCATCTACTTAATTATAGGTGCTGAGCTAATTCTCCGAGTCTGGGCTTGCAATCCTCTGTGTACTTTGTTTGTTAATAATAGCGGAAGGATGGCATACATTAAAGGCAATAGTCACGCTCAGCATTAAAGGCACATCGAAGACATAGAGATAGGCCTCCTTGGACATATGTTCTCCGTCCTCACCTATTATATACTCAATGACTCAGAAGACAGACCGAACTATGATAAGGCCGCTGGTGATGTATAAGACCATAAGTAGGGTCCTCCATAGTACTTTAATCTTAAGGCTTGCGGTAATAGGTTTGCGGTTAGTACGTCGATAGAAGATAACGGTGATAATAATGAAGACGCGGAAGAAGATAAGTTAGATAAAAAAACTACTAATAATGATAGCCTGACCCTTATCGCGCTGGGATTTTGTATCAGCACCCGCGAGTATGCCGCCACCTTGAAATTGTTAGCTAATCCTTGTTGATGGATCGTGATGTTGACAAGTGATTTTAGCTTGCCCATAGCCTGTGTAAGGATAGAAGCGATATCGCCAAACAGGAAGATTTTGGTCAGCCATTTCAAACTGACATCCGAGAATCGATTAGCCTCGAGGAGTCTAATAAGTTGCAAAGTGCTGCAGAATATAAGAGGTCTGCATCCGCACCGGAGCAAAGGGCCTATGATTTTTCCTAGTACATTCCTCACTCTGCTACGGAACAAAGATCCCTTGGCCATGGTTGTGCTGTCATACTATTGTGTACTGTTGCAGTCTGGCGGGACAACATATTGGTATTTCAAGGGCTGGTCGCGGGTTTAATGAAACCGATTATCGCGACCGTCAAGGGAACATTATGTGAAGAGATGATTCAATTGCCAGTAGAAACAGTTCCGAATATAGAAAAGACTTCAGAAACGCAGGAATCTATAATAATATTAAGTGCGATAGAGACGAATTAGTTTTATGGCATCATCTGATACACAACCTACTGTGAGGCGTAATCGCTGTTTTTGGAGGATAAAAAACGAAGACAAGCAAAGCCGTTCGGCCTACATCTGGCTGTTTCAAGATCAAAATAACATATATTCTCTTGTCTTGTACTGGCCGGTAGCGGTTGATCAACAACAGCTAACCATGACCGCTGACTGCTATTTACTTTATAACTATGTACATATGAAATATTTCTCTGGATCGTAAAAGCATCGTTTTGATGCCTCAAATTTCCCAATCTGCCGAAAGTCTAGATGGTACCAAAGCCAGCGCTAGACGATAGACCAGTAATACTGGAGTAAGCGGCAGCAGAAGCAACGTTCTTGCCCTTGAAGTTGGTCAGGAAATCGGTGTCGCTGCCTGAAAGAGTGCCAGAGCTTCCAAAGCCGTTGACTTGGCACACATGGCCGAGGTAAGATGAGCAGACAGCATTGGCAGAGGTGCTGGGGCTCGAGAAGAGCTTACCGGCGAAGCTCGATGCCTCAAGTGGTGTAGCTACATTCTGGAAGATGTTGCCTTCAGCAACGACCTGGCCACCAGCACCGATTTCGAAGGCGTGTCCGGCGTTATCGTACCAGTAGTTGTTGACGGCGTGGAGAAGGGTGTTTCCGCCGACCTTAGGGGCACGACCAGAGGTCTTATAAATGTAGTTGTTCTTGAAAGTAACGGTCTATTCAAATTCAAATTAGCATCTCGTTAAATAGGAGAAAGGGAACGGTACGTACATCAGCAGAGCCCGTAAAGTAAAGGCCCCAGTAGTGATAGCCGTTGCATGTGGCAGACCAAGACGTAGCACCGTCGAGCTTATGGTTCGAGATAGTCACTCGGTTACTTGCATTATTGCCGAGAACAATGTGTTGACGACCAATAAGCGAGGTAGTAACATGGTCAATCCAAACAAGATCAGTGTTATCAAGGGCAATAGCATCGCCACCCCAGACATACTGAGGGTTAAGGTTGGTAATATGAATGTTCTGGATAATAACATTCTTAACACCCTTTGCAATATAAAGGCCCTTACCCTTGATAATACCCTTGCTTCCTGAACCAACAAGACTTTTATTTGATCCAACGAGAATAGGGTTCAACGCAGCCTTGTCGTACTTGACACTAACCTTAGGCGCGTTGGGCTGGTAATTGGTGCACCAGTCGTCCTTGTTGATGGCAAGCTGGCAGGCAGAAGCTGTGCCGTAGGGAGCGCAGCCAGTCTCAGTGGACGTGCCTTCAGTTCCAGTGAAGTCAAAGGTCCGATCCAAAATGATGACTCGGGCAGAGGAGTCACCGAGATAAGACACGAGCTCGGCAGTTGTCGTAGGGTAAACAGCAGTGGCTGAGCCGCCACCTGTAACGCCTTTGGCGAAGCCTTCGGCAGCGCCAGTGACGCCAGCAGCTCGCACAAAAGCCGCAAGTGCGGGTGCGAAAAGGATTTCAAGTCTCATCGTGTGATAAAGAATGAAGCAATGAACTGGTTGAGAAATGATGGCCAAACATTCATCATATTCTGGATACTCATCAGCTTTTGTATAAACTATATTGCATGGATAACGGATCACGGCATGTGGCTTACAACCATCACCGAAGTAAAACCACTTAACTTATTAGCATGTAGATAGTTTCAAAGTCGTGATTCTGACCCTCCGCCACTAGCTTCGGCGTAATACCTCAAGCAAGGCTAGATCGGAACATGCCAGCTCCGCATTTCCATTCTCGAACATTTCTGTCCGTTAGACTATATACAACAGATTGTCAAGGAATGAGCTAGATGACAAGCTTACAATGTTAGGCTGGAGTTCCTGAGTTAGTGTATTCGGTTATTGGTGCATAATTAGTTATATCTCCGAGCCAGTTAAGGACTACGTAAGCTGTCAAGGGGACTAAGGAAAAGGCGAGAGCATCTAGACTTTATCGCAGTTTTATCTAAGGTTTAATAGTTTATTCACTATTTAGAATAGTCAGTCTTTTCTTCAGCTGACTGTTCTAGTATTAATTAACTCTTTCTCGAATCCGACTTCTTCAGACGCGTTCACGAAGTCTCTATTAACTCCGAGATTGAGTATCGGATAAGTCTCTCTTGCTAGTTGCAACGGCACACATATCCGTCTGAAAATCCCACTTCCCGTGGTCATAAGACACTGTGCTAATATTTCCACCACTGGATAGTCGATAAGTTGCAGATAACGCCATGTAACCCTTTTTCACACCATGTAATTTTGGAGCAAGCCGATCTCCACACTTCTTATCCCCATCCATTTCCGAGCAATTAATTAAGATAAAACACTCCGATGGACCCTTATATCCGAGCTTTTACGGTACTAATTACCACTTGTATTAGGCCTAATACCAGGGTTCTGAAATTGGAAGAGCAAGTAGTTTGAAGATAGAGATCACGCTGAATAGTGAGGGAAGAGTAGTCGACGTGATACGGCTCATAGGACAAGCAGCACTTGTGGTAGAAGGCGTAATTTCTATATGATAAGAATGCCTAGAAAGCGTTTTAGTAAATGATGAATCCGGAGCGTATCTGTAAACTGAGCCTTTTAGTTTTCAGTATTATTATTTCAATTACAGAAGCTATGTGATTGTTAACACGCGTAGTACATGCTTAATGCCTGTTCTCGTTACGTCGCTTACGGTTAGGAACATCGGTAAAAAGAGAGTGGATCTGACAAGGCGCCAACTACTAGTGACGACACTGTGATCCCATTCTTACCGGACTCTAGCCCGCATTAATATTATGCTAGGTCTCAGAGACTTTGCGTTCTTGAAAAGCACCTTTGTTCCCAAGGATACGTAAGGGCCTGCTTCTGCGCGGAGTAGCTTGTTGCTCTTGGCGTCGGGAACAGGATGTTCAGAGACGCACAAGACAGCTTGTCCATAATTGCTGATTCAAACTTGCGATAAGGGCTCTCCCACACGCTTAGAGTCTACGTTTCAAGCAAGCTATATTGGCTTGTCACTAGTAGTTACTTAAAATTTAATTGGAAAGTAGCGATGCAAATAGTCTTGCCCTCTACCTGAGTACCAGCTTTCACCTCTACCCTTCTGAGACGAAGAAGAAGAAGAAGAAGAAGAAGAAGAAGAAGAAGAAGAAGAAGAAGAAGAAGAAGAAGAAGAAGAAGAAGAAGAAGAAGAAGAAGAAGAAGAAGAAGAGGGAAGAAAAAGAAGTATATTCTTTCATCCAACAGAAAACTTAGCATCACGTAGAGTAAGTATCTCAAATCACAGTACGTATTATGCCACACCCTTGCTCTACAACAACCCTACTGTTAGAGCGGGCCATATGTAGCCACTTTTATTAGTAGTATTATTATCTTGTATGTTAACAAGAGGAATAGAGTATTTATCATGGCTAATTTATAATTATTTATTTATCATCACTATCTTTTTAGGCTTAGATCAACGCCCTCTACATACAAGAGGAACCAGTACACGGCTTTTTTAAGATCTTACGTCAAGCGGCGAGCATGTCGACAAACGATGGTTAGTATAAATCAACCTAAAACTTAGTGGATTACCTCCAATGAATGATACAGGGACGGGGTTATTACTAAGAATAATTCCGATTTTAAACGTAAAGCTTATCATTTGCTCCCGGTCGCAAACTCTTGCCACCTGAGTTGCTACCACCATATGACTATAATTAACGAGGTTAGCACTTGCGCTGCCAAACTCCACCTCGAAAACTGTTGCCCTAGGAATCAGTGCCATCCTTGGTCTGCTTCAGTTTCTCATAAAACTCCTCGAAGTTGGGGTGCAGAGTAATATCCTTGTGTAGAATATCCTTCAGATCAGACTGTACGCTGGCAATGTCCGGCTCGTAGTCTTCACGGATGCCTTTGCGGGCGTAAAAGCTCAGTACGTCTGTAGTAGGGGCCAGGCTGATGCCTTTCTCCAGGTTTCTATGCCAGAAAGCGTCGCCAGTGTTAGAACCGAGTCTGTCGGCGCCGAAGACTATGGCAAGCTTCCCGTCGCCTGTGAGCTTAGCTCCACATGCATCGAAAGTTTTCTCTTCATCTACGTCCATAGTGAGGATATGAGCCGAAGCCAGCTTATTGATTTCGTCGCGGTGTTGCGGGTTGTTTTCGAGTTCCTTGACGGCATCCTCGATATAGCTAACTTCGTGAGCAAGCGTATCTGGCTGCAGGTATCGAGTATTGTCTTACCTTGCAATCATTGAGCCTGGGTTCTCCCGGGCCCAAGAGTCCGCCGCGCCATAAGGCACTACAGTAACGGCGTCAATGTCGATTTTCTACTCAACACCCATGGACTTTGAGAGCTGTTACTAAAAGTCTGCCTGTTTATTTTGCCATTCATCACGGACTACGAATGATTGATCAATAGGAAACCTTCATTCCGTAGAGACTGCGACTTACGATTCTTGGGTGCCGCAAGAGGCAGCTTGTCAAGGGGTGGAAGTCGAGGCATTATAATCAATATAGGGATAGCAGGCAAAGTTATAGAGAAGCTGAAAGTTGAGGATTTGAACAAGACTGCTTGATATGATTAATATTAGGAGAAACAACTAGACCTTAAATACTCATATGTCTATAAATTATAATAGAGTTGCTTGTAATTCCGCGCGCGGATCCCTTCTGATGACAGAAAGTCAAAATAGCAGTGCAGTGCAGGGGCAGGGAGTAGTGATAACGAAAGTTTGAAGGCAGGAGGAGGGATCGTCGAACTGCTTGCTTCAGCCCTCGCTTAATTGACCTAGAAATATCTTAGCTCAAGTCCAAACACTTTAAAGCGACAGCCTTTTTGAGCCAATCGGGGACATAATCTCAACCATTACCCCTATAGCCTACTGTTAACCTTGTCTAGTTGGCCCTCAGGGACTCACGGGGAAGATCGGCTCTGACAGGACTGTAGATCTACTATGTATGGAGTAAGGTGGTCTAAAATATGGTGGGGCGGTTATTCTTTGGTCAATGGAAGTGGAAAGATTAATTACTAAATAAGGAGGTTCCTGGTTCAGCTCTTGGGCAGCAATGCTGTGCTTGTTAATTACATGGGAGTGATCACATAGCTATTAGATCTTGTTAGATCAAGTTGCTAACAGTACAGATATACATTATTAAATATATATCTTGGCTATCAAAAGTCGCATTAAAATGATATTATCTTAAGCCCTTTGCAACTATGGAAATCTATTGAAATACCCATAGCAATTATCAAACCTAAAGCACTTCCTTCAGAATGACCCGGCTCTTGCTTACAAGTTGGCACGGAATCCCCTTACGGGAGCACCGTTAAGGCCCCCCTCTTTCGGTTTGTCTCCCCGCGGCAGCTCAGGCAGGACCTCGCTAACCCATCCTATGATCTGAGGAGCCTGGAAGGATATGTTCAATGCCCCATCCTTCACTTCCATATGCTGACTAGCACTCTTATCGTCCGTCTTGACTCTGTAGGGTAGAAAGTTAGCATCTAAACAGATAGGCAATGATATTTTGGGACTTACTTTGCTCCCGCACCGCCACCAATCCCCCAGCATCCAAAGCTCGCTTCCACACTGCTGTCAGTCTGTAGTACGTCCAGGGCTTGCGTCGCACTCATCTCCTTGCTCATGAAAGACAGGTTTGCGTCTGCAGCAACAATGAAAGCTGTTGGGTAGGCAGGAAACTTTCCGTAGTTGGTCCGCACGTATTTTCCGAACTCATTGTCCCCAGATTCTACCCAGTACTTGATGGCTTTGGCACCAGGGCTCAGAAACGTGCCGGCTGGAATGTCGATGTCAAAGTCCTGGAACAACTCGGCGTGAAGCCATGGTCGCTTGATGCTCACCACCATTGCAGAGAATGAGCCGCTGACGGTGGAGCTTGACATGAAGTCGGAGATCTCCTTGTTGTTCTTGGAGAAGCTAGATTCTGCCTTGACTGAGGCGAACCATGTCTGGGCTTCGGCGTGGAAGGCCCCCGAGATGCCATGCTCTTCCTGCTTGTGATCGGTTGTCTGAGAGCTCACAGTGAAGTCGATCTTAGTCCATACATCGGCTGTGCCTGAGTCACTGTCTCCGGCGCTGGCGCCAGTATCTGGCTTGCTCTTGACAACTGTCATTCCTTCTTCCTTGCTGCCTTCTACTCCAGTGATTATGTCCGGAGGATTGTTCCCGGTTAAACGACCTTCCAGTCGCTGGATCTCCGAGTCCAAGGAAGTCATACGCCCCTTGATCGACGTGCGCAAATTGGCTGCTCCACTAGCTGAAAGTTGGGCCGTGCTCGCGTCTGTTTGTGCCGTTTTCAAGGCTGCCTTTGCATCGAGGACCTCCTGTTTCTTCTTCATGAGATCTTCGTCTGGAAGCTTCGGGCCGGGGATAAATGAATGCTCCGCAGCATACATCTCCCTGAGGGCGTTCTTCAATCTATCCTCAGCCTTCTGCAACGGGTTTTCGGGGGCTGGCGGTTTACTGAGCGTCTTGATCTCCTCCAATAATTCTGTGTCTTCCAGCGCAGCGATCTTCCATTGTGCCTTCTTGATTGCCGCGTCAACTTTTGGGACCTTTGCACTCTCAGTGTCCCAGGCCTTGTAAGCCTTTTTCAGCTCCTCATCAGTCCCTTTCTTGACTTCTTCCGTATTACTCTGGGGTTTCGGTGGATCTCTCTCCGGAAACTTGGCTGTATCGAGACTGAATGGCGGAGTATTTCCGGACTGACCGCTTGAGGCGCGTTGCTTCAATTGCTGATATTCGTTAGCCAATTACATATTTCAGCAGAGTAGTCGTATCCTTCAGGCAGACATACCTCATCGTAAGCATTATAAGCCTGCTTCATGGAGCGCAGACTATCTAGCTGCAGCTGCACATGAGCAGGGGTGGTTGGGTGTCGTGTGCGCCACGCCAACGCTTTGTCACGACATAATATGGCCCTTGAACGAAGTCAATACGGGGCAGGCTTGGAAGACTTGGGGTGATGTAAAACACTTACCAGTTGGCCGGCTCCAAATGGACTTGTGCCCATTCCGTGCCGTCAATGCTAGTGAGCATCGCATCTCGCGTTGCTTCCTTCATGATACGTTAACGCTCTGTTTCTATAACCATAGGTGAATGAGAGGCCCTACCTTTGCCCGCTCTATACGAGCCATAATGCTATCTCGGTCGACAAGTGCTATTCAGATAAGCATTAGGTGTTGGTTAATTTTGCTTGTCATCAATATGACGCTTACCAAAGCAGTAGTCTACCTTGAGCTTGTCGCCGTTGACAACCCAGTCCATCCAACGGGCGTGTAGCTCGCCTTGAGCCTAGTATCAACCACGGTCATCAAATAGCTCCTAGAGATGTCAAATTACGTGAATAGGGTCAGACTTACACTCTTCAGCTTCTTCTGTCGCGCGCTAAATGCGGTGGCATTCTGCTTCTCCGGACGAGACTCTCTAGCCTCTGCCACCCGAACATAAGATACTGATAACCTGGATGAAGGGCATATTACTCACCAATGGCATCGTTTCGGGCGGCATCCCATTTGGCCCGGGCAGCTGACCAGTTCAGTTGCTTCTCGACGTACATGTCAACAGTAGTCGCAGGAACTCCACGTTTGATAAGCGTGTCTTTAGATCCCTTGACATCGTTGTTTGTGTTACGGGTTGACCCGGGCGCCTCTCTCCGGAGGTAATCCATAGCCTGTGTGTACTTGTACTCTGGACTGTTGACGTCGTGGGAGGAGCCTCCGCTGAGGTCAAATGTGCCGATATCGGTCTTGCGAGGAACAAGCATGTCCAGCGAGGTGAAGTAGCTACGTGTGACACTTTTGCCCGTAGGTCCCAACTTGAGAAGATCCAACGTCAGCGATGAAAATTAACCGGAATGTTTTGTTTTTCTTACAATGACCTTGTCGAGCGGCATCATACTATCGGTCAGCATGGCTTCGTTGCAGTTGATGGCATTGCGTTGATCCGCCGTTATTCCTGTAGATGCAGCCAGATAGCTAAACAGTAAGAATCGATCACCAGGCGTTTTCAGCAAATTATGGTACATACCTTCCTCCCTGATTGGTGTCGATGACGGTGCCTGGCAAAGATAGGCACACATACTGTTCATAGGCACAAGGGAAATTGGATAAAATGGCTTTCCGAAGGGACACGTTGACCCGCTTCAGCATGTCCAGAGCCTTATCCTCGTCGCCAGACATCTTCAGAGTCAGAATAAACAGTGATATCAATTAGAGAATTGTGGTAAGAGAAATGTGATAGAACAAATACTGTTTTGGCCTCTTGAGTGGTGGATGATCTAGAAAGCGTAAGAGCTGAACAGGGAACTTATATGCGTGCACATCTTGAGGAAGACAACCCAAGGCTTCGTTAATTCATCTGTTCAGACACGGGGCGCGTGAGATCTGCTGGCATTGAAGTTAGCTCATCTAGACAAAAAGCTATTTTGTGAGGTTGTGTGATCGAACTCTGTGTACTTGGAGTCACTCGCGTCACTGACGGGGTTCGTGGCTGGCTGAGTTGCGAAATAGCGTTGAACTCTTAGCGCCCGCCGCGTAAAAGCTGAATGTGATATCGATATCACAATCTCGATAGTCGCGTGATATCCACGGCAGGTCGCCCAAAACAGACTTCCGCATTTCCTAATATGAAATGGCTTTGAAACATCGGCGTCCATCCTGGATCAATAGTCCGTGCTGACGTTCGAGACCTGTCTTCCACCTGATAATAGAGAACCTACCCAGGTGGTTTGAAATGGCTAACCCGTTTTTGGGGGTTCGCGCTAAAAGGCGGCGGTTCCCGCCTCAGGAATTAGCCTATAGTAGCATATCGATGAAATAAAATGGGCCCTAAGTAGAGAAACGACAACCATTGTTCTATCACACGACTCAACAACTCCTTACCTCTGAGATGAACTGTCACATAATTTAGGCGATCTCCGGCTTTTTGGTGTTCTGACTCGAGCTGCATGTTACTGGGCATTAGCCCCCTTCATCCTGCGTACTGGCATTCCTCGTCCATGCCCCAAATTATCTTGGCAGCTGAAAAAAGGACAGCTGTAGCCAGCTAAGTGAACACTAAGCGGATTGAAAGAACTACGTTGAGTCTTGAAACCATTCCCATTGCCATGTAAGGAGTTTCCTTTGTCCTGGGCAACTTTCCATTTCGAGATCCTTCGACGCAAGCCACAAACGTAATGGAGGAATGAGCAAACCATTGCCCCTGCTGGGATTTCTAACAGTATAGCGGCACGGAAATGAGATACCGTTCGAGATCCTTGTGTGTTAAACATTCATACCTTTGGATTTGGCAGAGAGAATGTCTGCTTTTCCTAGTCATCAAGTCAGTACTCAGCGCTTGGCTATACATGGTCTTTTAGTTAGCGCTGGATTGGCACAATGGGCATGCCAAATTAGCAAGCATTTTTGATCATCTTAGAGCTAAATAGATCTACAATGCCGTCTTGTCATGCATTGGAGCTCCGGCCAACCTCTCCTCAGGACCTCGAAGATTCTTATTACTATCTTGGGGGCAGACACGCCCAGAAGCTGATAAGATCAAAATTTGGATCTACATTGGTTTTCAGGTTTTCAAGTAGCATTTGAGGTATTAGAACATTATCGATACCCTGATATATGGGCTTAAGACTAGCTATGATAATGTGCCCTGCCTGATGCATACCTGGCACTATCATAAAGGCACCTGAAAAAGCCAACACAAGCATGATTAATTAGACTTGGCTATGCTAACTAACAGGTTCGGGAGTAGCGCATAATGTGCTTTGCGCATCTCATGTTGTCTAAGTCGTCCCACAGTCCTCGATACTCCCCCTCAAACACTACCTGAAGTGTCTTTGCTCTTGATCTGGTCCAGGATCACCTGAAGCCTCCGAGTCTCCTATTTGGACATTAGCTTTCATTCGATCTGTTGGAACCTTTCACGAATGTACCTGATCAGATAATTTCTTTGATTCTAGGAGTTTGCCAAGCGCATCTTTGAATGCCTTGAGTTCAGTTGGGTTTAACTTCTTCCAATCCGTCACTGGAAGAGAAAATGGCCGAGAGGTCTTTTCTTCTCCTTCCATAATGATGTTCCAGTCGAAATTAACACGCCATAGATCCGGAGTGACTGAAATTGTTAGTTCGAGGTAGTAGATGTTTAACAAGGCGAACAGTACGCACCCTCTATAGGTCCTAACAGCAAATGTTAGTGCGAACTTTGTTCAAGTATTAGATTGGTATTTCTCACCTGTCCAATTCCCTCCGCCTGGTCCCAAAGTCTCGGTGGGGCCAGGGCCATATGGTCCAACGTTTTCAGCACCAAAACAATAGACATACAAGACGATATCGTTGACGTCTCGAATGAAGAGACCATTTGGATATGCAGTTTCAGAAGGTAGGAATTCCATGGTCTGAGCCTGGATATTGAAGGTCATGTTCATATTAACAAACTGTGTCCCCATCTTGGAGATGTTGAATATGATGGTAACTTAAGTATTTAGAGGGAAGAAAAGATATAGAGAGAAGTCTGAAGGCTTAAAGGTAGGGAATACTATTGACTTTATAGCCCTAAAAGCGCTCTTACGAAAGCTTTTAGCTTTATCTTCACCTAGCTATAGTAATTAACGTTATATTCGCTGCTTGGACAGCATATCTATCACGTCTCGGGTCAATGTGCTAACTACCGAAACGCCAGTTGTACATTCTGTTACAGAATCAGTATATTGCCCCAGGCTGCTATGTGGCTGGCTAGAGACTATGTTCGGAAAACCATACTTGCATTCTGACCTAAGACATACAGATCTGACTCAAAGCGAATGGCATTTAGTGGGGCGCACAAGCCAGAACAGTAAACAGATCTTTGAATCACTATCTCAACGCTATGGTGGCGTAATTAAAGCCAAGACCCAACCAAAAGGTGTGATCTAAGACATTCCAAAGCGCACATTGACCGGCGAAGGAGCCTGTAAAAAGATACGGAGTACACTTAAAGCTAAGCAACCAATAGCTACTACTGAGGAATCTAGGCCAAGCGCCAATGGGCTAATTAAGGTCCATCACATGTCGCAAGAATTAGCCAGTCGCTTTCAACAAGGTCCTGGAGCCCAGATGCTCATTTGCTTGGACGCAAAGCAGGAGATTGTCTATATTTACTGTAACTCGCGAACAAGACTGGCTGAAACCCAATGCTAAACAGTTCACTGGCTTACAGTGTTTACAGTCATAGCGAATCTCTCAACTTAACACTATACTTAAAAAAGGCAAATGCTATTAAAAACAGATGATAGACCCAAGTCTAATTACATGTCGGGAAAGGCTTGGCTTTTGCCACAAGTACGACTTTACCACGAAGACTTCTACCGTCTGGGAAGGTTGTCTAAGGAGTTAACCTCATTGATCGGGACCTACAAATGTTCTGCGCTCGCTCATATTTCCTAAAAGCCGTGTGACCGGAAACTTGTCCGTGGTATGTGATTGTGGCTGCATATTGGGCTACGGATCGGAGCCCCGGAAGAATGGCCAAGAAGAGTCCGGTGCATATTGACCTAGAGGATACTCCCATGCCAAGCGCTCAATTAACTCAGGCTTCTTGTATTATAGTTAGGAAATTACTGAAATAGGGCTAGCCATAGTCTTGCAACGCTTTTGAGGCTAGCTGAACGTTTCACGACAAAACCAAATGGAAGCCACAAAAGACGGCCCAGACCGTCTGGTGTTCCTGATGTGTTAAACCGGTGACTTGATTTTAGCGCCCGTTGGGTGCGCCTGCGAGCTATTCGTCCGTTATCAGCTGTCAGTTGGCGCTCAAAGTGCGGAGGGCATGTTCAAGACTCAAGCAGACGAAATGAGAAGCCGGTCAGGGTGCCGTGGGCTGTCACAATTTTTATTGAGGAGCTGAAAATAGTGGCTGGCTGAATGCTTTTGGTATACTTCGAATCCCCTACACTATCCAGCAACAGAAATTAGCTCTATCACCTTTTCCATTGGTGACTGGCATCAGAGCTCCAGTTCTGGATCTTGTGATCGACTTATCTCGTACAGTATTAGCGTTCGATAGCTTTGAGAACTTGTTTTACTACCTTAGATAACCTGCGATATCTATATAACCGTCCGGACGCCATATTTCTTACTATATTAATCCCTCTATATTTTCAAACAATAGTTCAGCCTTTACAGCACGTGATATATATCTTCAGAAAACTTGCAACTATGCCAACTGTTTATACCATTTTTATTATTAACAACACCAACCAAGATCATGCTTATCAGATAAGCTATCCGGGCGGACATAACAAGACTCTTGAAGTCGACAGTAATGATACTGAGAATGAAGTTCTTACGCTTGACGCTCCCACCGGTAAGCTCCGAAATAATACAAGGGCTACATTCAATTACTTATTAACAATTTTTTATAGTTCCTTTCTACGTCAAGGTACTCCCAGCACTTCAGCCACTTGCCGGCTTCGCTCTTGCTGTAAATGGAGTTGGAACAACGGCGAATGTGACGCACACGGCTCAAAACACCTTGACAGTCACTTATCCACACTAAGCTTCTACTCGATGGCTTCATTCCTTCTCTCACCTACACGCAAGGAAGATCCAGATACTTAAGGCATTAGTAAAGACAACGATAGTCTACTCACGGAAACACTATTTATGTCTATGGGTCTGGGAATGAGCAGTTGATCAGGACAAGACAGGTTTCAGCGCAGCAAGCTTTGTTCCTGTTAGCTTAGTTAACATAGGCTGAAAGTTGGCCCTGCAGGGCATGTTGCTCTTTAACTCAATTTTTGCCTTTTACTTTATACAAGTGATTTTCTTATCAAAATAAACAGTCACCTCGCCCGGTATCGGAGTTCAACATCGCTTCCTGAATCCGTGGCTTCAGAATGCTCATTGACCCTTACCCTTGGGACAGCCTCCATTTCCACCAAGTCGCTGTCTATATTTGCAGATTTCAAACCCCAAAGACCCCATTTGTCCCGCATCACGTCCCTTAGAACGCCCCGGCTAGTCGTGAAGAAGATCAAAGCGTTCCACAGACCTTGTAGCGGCATAACGGCCACTATGGCAACTTGGTATGAGTATGGAACATTACGGTTAAGTAGACTATGGATACGGGTGATGCTCGCTGGTACCCACGTCACAAGGACGCTCAGCGTAAACATAAATGTTGTAAATAGATATGCCCGTTTGATAGGATCTTTGAGCCAAAACTTGGACTTGGTGCTACCAGTAGCCGATCCTAAAGATTGTTGCGTTTGGTTAGGAGGAATTGGCTCCACATTCGTGGCATCGGGTGCTAATTTATGAGTAACAGCCACGGCAGTAACGAATGTATGTTCGGATCCCTGGATACAGGCGTCGGTACTTGTTTCTGTTACCTTTTGTTGGTCAGCTCAAGTGTACTGCCAATTTAGAGAGAGTGAGGGTGTACTGTTTGGTGATCGACTGTTGTGTTCTGAATGCGCGAGTTCAAGATACCTCGAGCTTCATTTCTTGCGCGAAAAAGACGAAAGCCAACCATGGTGTTCAAAATGATTGACGTAGCGATGCAGATCCATACAAAGATGTATGAAGTAAAGAGTCGTATGCTAACCCACGATTCTCGAATCCAACACCAAGTCTGGCTTGACATCAGTCGTTATCATTAGAATCTAAGCTAATTCGCAACTTACAGTTGTCGCTCCATAGACGGGTCCGCGGGCTGGAGTGGAGATGAAAAACAGGGTGAATCCCGAGATGAATGGCCCTCCAAAGCATATCAGAGAATACAGCCATTTGTTAAACGTATGCGGATTCGAGTGGAAGAAGACAATCCTGAAGGTGTTCACCGACATGCCAAGAGACCACCATGCATCAGACTGCATAAATCTATATCTTAGGTTAGTACATATGCTGAGTTGCTACAAAGACACCAGGGTATTACTTGCACGTGTACCAGGAAGCTTTGCGCCCTGCAAAGTGCCGAATCCTCGCCACGGGCCAATCCATCGCGTGAAATAACAGTCCCAATGCTGGCACCAAAATTCGCGATGCTAGCAAACACGATGAAGGTATTTCGAGGATTGCGGAGCCTCGGTATGCTTCCGTACGTCACGAAAATCAGTAGTACGGACACGAGGCTGATTGAAGAGAAGACCCTCTCCAGCAGCGCAAGCAGTTCTAGCTGAGAGTCGGCAAACATCTCGGTCGCTCGTGTGATTGAGTGGCAACCCTAAGATGTTGCAGTCGACTGGGAGCTGGCCCACCTCAGCGGTAAGCGGAGAAGTTGAAAAGCTGGGGAGATGGGGCTGTCCAGGTTCCAGTATTTCAGCCCCCTGGCAACCTGTTTGGAGTTGGATGCTTACCATGATTACTTCAAAGCTATCTATTGGCTCCGCATAAAGCCCCACTGGCATTCCGCCAGTGCTGACAGTTCGGCGACAGACTAGACTGCCCATCATCTAACCTCATTAGGCATGTCGTATTCTCTTCCTTCGCCCCAGCTTGCCGTGATACAGTATGCGCAAGTGAAACCTGCACGCAGTTTGATTTCTGTTTCTATTGAGTCTAGGCTTGGAAGTTAAATCTTTAAGGCAAGGGCTAGGCTAGGTCTATTTAATAATATAAGCGCTATTTAATTAAAAGGCATATATACTGCTTATTAGGGGTAAGAGTTGGCTTAAGAGGAAGAAAGGGATAAGCAGCATCACCAAGAAGGGCCAGTCTCTTATCTATGCACTTTAGGAGAACATCCACATCTAGCAACTCCCATACCTTGAGGGACTCTGGACTCACTTTACTTAATAGCTTCAATAAAGCAGGATCAAAGTCCTGGTATACCTCCAACAGCACTAACGTGCTCATACATTGCTTCAGTCTTGCCAGTATTCATTAGCAAACTTTGCGAGGCTAGCAGCCCAACCACAACATGCCTTCTTTACCCTCAAGTTAGTGTCTTCTCGCGTATGGATGCAGACAAAGTTAGACATCTTATTATCATCACGGATACATAACAATACTTCTGTCTGAAGCATACTATGCAATGAGCTGGCATTATGCTTTGCAGAATGGGCGGTTTCCGGGTCGCCAAGAGCCTTTTAATGGGGAACGAGAAACACAAATTCACTGTTGTCTGAAATGTATGCTTACAAGTCCTTTCCAACGACTTGCTGTCGGGACCCAGACTGCTTTTGGGTAAGGTTTCACTAAGTGCAAGGCGTAACAGGTAATACAAGAATCAAGGCTGGAAGCATCATCACTTACATGAACTCCATCAGGATTAATGGCCAAGTCTTCCTGAGGCTAGCCACCATCTTGTAAGAAGACGGTGGCTATTGTTGTGTCGACATCGGCGGCACAGCTGGATGTTCTGAGCACTCCAACACGTTATTTTAGTGGATGAGGGGAACTTTGCTAGCCCCGGCTTTGGCACTGTTTGTCTGGATATCCACTTCGGTTTTGAATGATACCGATTGGCTCTTTCACTCCGGCAAACTCGTGCTAAAGCGACACCCTGCTACCCGGAAAGATAAACTATAACTATTTTTTCAACAACCATCAATCTAAAATTACAGATAACAAACTAGCCCAGGTAGTACAGGTAAATAAAGCCTTCGTTCAACAGGGGCGGCAACAAGTGGAGCCAGCATGTGGAGAGTAGGGTACAAGGCAATAGGGGATAGCGGACAAACATATGTCAAGGCAGCCCGACTGGAATTGGGCTCAAAAATACTCTAAGAACGCAACTGAAAGACTTTCGCGGCCTGTTGAACAGTCATCTCTTTCCCTGCCTGCTCAATATGTAGACTTGCCAAATCACAATCTTTTGCGGCCTCAAAATAATCGCTGCATGGGCCCCCATTTTCTCGGCGTGTAATCATATACTGGCACGACCTACAGCAAAGAGGCTGTGGGTAATTTACATAGACAAAATGCTCCATCAACTGGTTGACCTAATGGTAGCAGTATCAATGGCAGTATGAGTAAGAATAAATTGAAGAATATATTTTTTGCCACACGACATAAGGGTACCAGCAGCGATCCTTATTTCTATAATAAATTGTAATAAAACTGACGTATATAAGCATCAAGTATAAACTGTTCTAGTAACTAAATATAGCCTATAGTTATAATATACTATATCTATTAAATAAACATAATCTCCAGCAATTAATATTAGAACCTTCTAGCAATAACTCTTGGTTGTGGCTTTGGTAATAACTCCAGCCCTGACCAAGTCGACATAACTCCAGTAATCCCTCTGAGTACCTTGTCCATCCACAGTCGTAGTAGAATAAGACACAGCTGTCCAAAAAGCACCACCAGCGACATACTTCTGCCACGCATAGCGCTGGGTATCGAAGATGGTCTTGCGATTAGGCACAGACAGTGTGTTGTTGTACATAGTCTGCAAGGACCACTCACCAACAAACACGGGGAACTTAGTCTCCTCAGCGAGATACTTTGCTTGTCCGCACACAGCAGGCGCTACAAACTGCGAATAAGTACCCGACGCGGCAAAGTAGTATACGTGCGAGTCAATGACGAGGTTAAGCTTCTTGTCAAACAGTGGAGACCAGAAGGCGGCGCCCTTGAAGCTATCTTGGAGCATGACTGGGATACGCTTATCAACGCCTTCAACACGCTTGAAAACACCGTTCATATACGTGAGAATCCAGTTAGTCGCTTTGTCGGATAGACCAGCCGCTGATCCAAAACCAGCCAAGTTATCGCTGGCTTCATTTAGGGGGGCAATTGTAAAGGCGTTTTTGTGGCCGCTTGCTTGAATGAAGTCGAGAACTTTATCAACAGCTTTGAAGCTCCAAGCCAGATTGGTAGTATTATAGAACCAGCCATCATGTCCGAACGCTTCGCCAATGTCGAGGTTGTTGATACCACCAGGTAGGGAGTGAAGGCCGATGATGATATGCATATTGTACCGTTCAATGGCATATTGAGTAATCCTGCGTAGATGTTCCTGCTGTTTACCATGATAGAAAGCAGAACCAGGGACCTTGACCCAGGCGGCATAGGTGGTAGTGATGCGAAGGGTGTTGACCCCGACCTTGGCAAGTGTATCGATGGTAGAAGTATTAAGGAAAGATTCATAACGCTTCTCCAAGATTGGACCACATTGTTTTCCAAGAGCCTGGCATAAGCCCCATTCATCGATTGTAGCTGCGGCCTTGGTGCCAAGAGAAGTCCACCAGACGGGATCATGTGTCTTTTCCTTTGCGAGCCAAGCGCCCAGATTGACACCATTGGCCTTGAATGTCTTCCAATCAATGAATTTACCGCTTTCACATCCCCTGGGGAAGTGAATGTCGTGCTCATATCGTTGGCTGTGGGGTTTGACACGAGGAATGCTGAAGGGACACTGCTTTTGATACTTGGCAATCTTGCCATGTTGGGCCGCGTTTGTTGTAGTGTAATCAGGTTGTGGCACCGCGATAGCGGTAGAAAACAGCAGAGCTGTAGAGAAAAGAGAGGGGAGGTGCATAACGACGGAGGGTAAAATTTGGTAACTTGTTGATATGTTGCTGGTGCTCGAGGCCTGAGTAATTGGTGTCTCAGCGAGGCAACATCAGTTGCATTGCACCATTCTTATACACCAAGACTTCAGTCCTCGATCAACGTTCTCGGAAAATCCGAAATGAGATGAATGGGTATCCAGACAAGAGGACGGAGTAGAGGCAAGTTCAATCGTCAACTCGACTAATTGTCGGGAGGTACCCACAATTTGCCTTTTTTAAAGAGTAGACCGGGACCAGCATCAATAGTCTTAACAATAGTTTACCTGCTAGTGGTATTTCACACCAAACAGACAAGCAGATGGAAATTTTCTTTACAGAATCTGTTGATACCCTATCTCCTGTATTGTAATTGGCCCGGATTTTCCGGTTGAACCCATATCTTTACACAATAATCAAACCATATCGCCACCCAGTCCTCAGAACGCGATATAGTGTTTTGTCCCTATGAGCCTAGATCGCCACTGAATGAATATGATATAGATATTGAAATGAGGCATCGCATGTACGTCCAAGTGAATGGTATGGTTTTCTAACTTCACTCTGCTTTCAATGTAACCGGAGTCCGATTTTGGCAAGGGGGTTTTATGGTCCAAGCGCTTGGGTTAGGATTATCGTTAAAGACTCCCCGGTATTGATCTGCTACTGACTAAGAAGAAGGGCTGGTCTTGAACGACTCTAGGCTTGTATATCTTCACGCTGCATACTAGAGTTCTATTTATTCACCGCGTTAATGTTCTTGGCCCTAGCCCTGCTTACAGTTGTTGAGTGTCAACCCCAAGCTGGCACGTCTGGTACTGCGCTCTATGCAGGTACTCAGGCAGCAATTGAAATAATATCCAGGGCCTGGTGTCGCGAGTTTTCCATCGACGTTTTTATCTTCAGTCCCATAAAAGGCTCTGGCGTAGTTCCCACGTTTTTGGGGTCATCCAAACCACTTTCAACTCCAGCTATTAACCAAAACCCCTTTGCAGTTCCACCGTCACCAGTAACTTCGATCAATAGGATGGTAGTTTCGCGTAGGATTGAGTTTCCCGGAGGTGAGGGTCGACGATTATGGTAGGCCATAATGCTGTTGTAGTCTGCGTACACTACGACATTGGTGTATTGTCCATGTATTCCAGCGGTGTCACAACGCCTTGACCTGTTCGTCCTGGAAAACATTGTGAGAGTGTATATACTTGCTGAATATATTCTCAGCCTCCCCTTTATTGTAAGCCTGGATACAACTAATATCTTGGATTTAGAGAGAGAATTCTCAAGCTAAGATGATGTTAACCTGGTGGATCCGGGTCAAAGATTTCCCGAAACGTTGTCCTGATACAGCTTTACCAATGTTTGATGCAAGACCAGAGAGGGCTGCCATTTCCCTCTCTTTCTTTGTAAGTTTTAGGTCAAAAAATGCAGTCGACAAGGTACTCAAAATGGTTCTTGATTATCCACTCTTGAGCAGCGTTATGTCCAGATTTCCCAAGAGACTTGGTTTGACTTATAAATAGTTGCAGAGTTGCTTGATACAAAGAATGTACCCATGAGAAAGGAAATTGCTGAACACTACAGAGCTAAGGAGGTCCTTATCTTAATAATACGAGAGAGTTTTCAGAGCCATCCAAGGATCTGATAAGATAATCTTAACTGTTACTGCATTGTAATAGGTTAAGCTTAAAATGCCAAGATGTGCCAGTTATCAATCTAGGCTATTTGTGTATTTAGTTTGAGCTTGGGTGGTCTGATGACACGTCTTGGCATGGGGGGAACTCTTATACTCTCTGGGATTTAAGAAGAGGCCGTCCCCTGCTGGAAGAAGTAAATTTGTTAACGCAACATTCAAAATGGCCCCAGAAAAGAGCGAGATCACGCCTGCTGGCCAAGGTCCTTTGGATCAAAGCAATAGCAGTGCTGCAATTAACTCAGAGAGTAACCAAGATGCCATTCCAGCTCCTACAGAAGCTCTGCGCAAGCTCTGGACTAAGTTCCCACTTACTTTGGCGTTCGTCGGGTGAGTGAATTTTCGACTGGAGGGCCCGGGGGCAGCAATGCTGACTCAATATTCCAGCCTTTTTGTCATGAATTTCAGCATGGTCTTTGCTGCTTCTTCAGCTGGGGTTTACGATCCATACGCCACCAGTCATTTTCAAGGCCACTCGCTTATCGCTACGGCAAATATTGTTCACGGCATTGTTCGGATTGTTGCTTATCCCCTCTTGGCCAAAGTTGCAGATGTGAGTATACTCAGAGCTGTTCAGTTCCTTTGCCGAGCTGATTGAGTACCAGCACATTGGACGACCCCAGGGATTTGCTGGGGCTGCGATAAGCATGGCTCTGGCAAATGTGCTCTATGCAGCGTGTCATAACGTCGAAACATATCTTGTAAGTCTGACTCATGTCTCGTCGTTTTATCGGCAATGAATAATAAGATTAAGGCTGGTGGCATATTTGAATCATTCGGTGATACCTGGTGGACAATCACTGAGCAGATCTTTATTGCCGAGGTAACATCCCTGATTAACAGAGGCTTCCTCTTTACTCTCCCGGAATCACTTGCTGCCATACCGACTTTATATGCTGGGACATATCTCGGTGAGCACATGCTGCTGAATTCCTCGTGGCGCTGGGGATTTGGCATGTGGGCTGCCATCATGCCATTCTGTGCACTGCCAACTATTGCGATTATGGTGTACATGAGTCTTAGGGCACGAAAGAGGGGTATAGTAAGCAAGCGAACTTCACTGCGTGCTGCGTCTGAGATACCAAAGGATGCTTCTTGGATCGTCCAAGCTCGACAAGTACTCTATGTCCAGTTGGATATAGTTGGAGCATTCTTGTTACTTGGGGGGCTCGCCATGACTCTTCTTCCCCTCTCCATAACCGGAAGACGCAATACTGAGAAGTGGACTGAGCCATCGTCTATCGTCTTGTTAGTTGTTGGCGTCTTGACGTTTGTTGCATTCTTAATCTGGGATGGCCGGTATGCTAATAAACCAATCGTCCCTTTCCGCATGATCAAGAACCGCAACGTCATACTCGCTTGTGCTTCGGTATGCTTGATTGCAATGTCCGATTCAACATACCGAACATTTGCTTCTAGCTTCCTGCAGGTTGCTGGTGGCTATTCCCCTGGCCATGCAGTTCGCATTGAGTGAGTTTCCCCCCATAGCAAATTGCACAATTATTAACAATGGTTATCAGCAATGCCCGACGTGTTGCGTTGAACATTAGCGGTCTTGTTGTTGGCTTGGGCATACGATTTGTCAAGCATACTAAACCATTTATCATCATCGGATTCTTGATGGTTGCTTTAGCGAACGGACTTCCGATCTATTTTACAAATATTGACGGAGTCAGAGTCGCGAATGAAGCGTCATTAACCACGGGACAAGTCCTGCTTGGTCTTGGTCGCGGTTTCGCCCAGGTTCCGCTCCAGGTCTCCTTGCAGGCCGCTGTTCCAGACCATGAGATTGGTATTGCAACAGCTATGTTCCTATCGTCATCTGGGTTTGGCGCCAATGTCGGCAATAGGTAAGTCCAAGATAGGATCCTACTTCCGAGGTAATAAACTAACATGCATCTTAAGTATCGGGGGAGCATTATGGAATACTCTCCTTCCACGCCGGCTCTCGTCAAACCTCCCAGAAGAGGTCAAGGCTAATAGCAATGCAATCTTTCGCTCAATCTTAGTTGCACAGAGCTATGAGTTAGGCACTGAGACTCGTGACGCGATTAACCTGAGTTATCGCATGACACAACAAACCCTTGCTATTGGGTCTCTGTCCCTCTCTGTCCCGCTGTTATTGATGATGTTTTTCTTCCGAAATGTCAAGTTAGCCAAGGAGGATGGCGAGAGGAACGAGGTTGTCGAACAACAACTTGCTGCGGCAGGGCAGAGACTTGAGAGTGGGCAAAATCAGCCAAGCGAAAAGAAGTAGCTTCAGAGTCGGATTTGTTAAGATTGGCCAGGCTGGCAAGCACAGCCATTGTCCAAACCGTATTCGGACACAGCACGAGGCAGACTCTCAGAACCATGGATTAAATTTTCCCAAGTTTATTGTGGAAACGCAAACCAGTATCTATCATAATTAGTCGACCCTGGGGGCCACCTTCTTCTCAGACCAAAGATCCCGAACGCTCCAGAAATCTGGGCAAATTGTATAGAAGCACATTACCTTTCTAAGTGGGACGGACATGGATATGCCGCAGCTCCGCACCAAACGCAACGTTAAGCGGCACTTGGCCTGCCTTGGCCGATCCTTTGCGACACAGCTAAGCAACACAATATCAGGCAACAGCATTCCTATGTAAAGTAGATAAAAAGGATTTTAGGGGAGGATTGATAATTTAATCCATTAGATAACCGTGGGTTATGCCAGAATTGGACATTCAAGCTTAGAGGCCCCCTGTCTAATTATCCACCCGTAGGATCTCTCTAAGAGCGAAAGAGAAGCCTTCCAGTATGCACTACAAACAGGCGGCAGGGTTAAATGGGATTGGCTCTGAAGTGATGTATCTGTTATGCTGCCTCTGTAATGAAAAAGTTCGTGTGAAGGTAAGATGTTAACAGGCCATTCGCGAGGTCTCAGCGACAGGTCAGGGGCCCACCATAGGCAAATATATCCTAGTATTTTTTCACCTTCGAAAATCCCAAACCTACCTGCCGCATCGGGTTCTGACTGCTTACACTGGCCTGACTGGCATACCAAGACTGCCTATAAAAAGTAGTAAAAGATTGCATAAGCGCGACGTTGCATTCGGGAAAGCAGCGTATCGAGAATAGTTCTTAGTGGGTTAAATTCCATGTCGTAGCGAGCTACGTTATATTTTGCCAGATAAACTGGTTGAACCACAAAATCTTACGCCAAGATAGTAGTCGAAATTAGTGCATCCACCATTAGCCCAGAAAGCGAGAGAGAATAGACTACAAAATGAATGTCATGGTCACGATGACCATGGAAGACACAGCATACAGATTTGCTGCATCTTTATGGTTTACTGGCCATGAAGCTGACACACTCCTTTACCTCCTTTTGGGGAATTTTATTGCATTTCTTATTACTAAACACTACACTCGTTCACGCACATCCTCACAATGTCCTCCATTCTCAATCTCGGTCTCACAGCGCTGTGCCGCGAGTCCAGGAGGAACACAAAGCGCTCGAGAAGCGTGCACTTCCTGATCTCAGGGTAATGGCCCTCGGAGCATCGATTGTCTTTGGTGTAGGATCAAGCGATGGAAATGGGTTAGTGAACTAACCTTCTCAATATGTGACTCCAACTAACCCTTGTCCACCTTTTAGTTTCCGCAAGTTACTGCGAGATCAGCTTCGTTATTCCGGTTACAATGTTGACATGGTTGGCACCAAAAACGGCGGCACAATGAAAGACAACGTGAGAAACCTGGCCTGTATTTACATTTCTTGGGCTAACATCGGTGCTCTAATTAGGATGTGGAAGCAACTTCTGGCTATGTCGTCTCGCAGATCCACGACGCTTCGAAGCTTTCCTACAAGTATAAGCCTAATCTTGTCGTTATCAACGCTGGCACGAACGATCTCGTACACAACATTGACACGGGCAACCAACATGAGAGGCTCAAGTCAATGTTGCTCGATCTCTGGTCAAACATCTCTGAAAAGACTGTTATCATCCTCTCTACCATCCTCCCAGTCGATAAACCCGACGCTGAAAGCCTGCGTGGCCCTGTCAACACAAAGTATCGCGCTGTGGTTTCAGAGCTACGCAAGCAAGGAAAGCCTATCTTCCTCGCAGATCTAGACGGTTTTATGACGCTGGATGATCTGGGCGATGGTACACATCCAACTGATTATGGCTTCAGAAAGATGGCCGGCGCATTCTGGTCAGCTTTTCAAGAAGCCAAGAATGAGATCAACGATCCCCTACCAGCTGATCTAGCAGGTGATTCGGGCAAAACATGTCGCAAGAGTCCTGGCGATGGCGTCAATGCTGGTTCTCAGACACAGAGAGGCAGTGGCTATGACGACGGCACCTACGAACACGACAGTCAAGAGATGGGTACTCTAATGACCATCACGAGTGACTGGGATAGAGACCAGTGGTTCTTTGCCCGTATCTTCCGCTCAGACCGAGACGATCTTCTCGGTTGGGTTGAGAACTCTGCGGGTAACGTGGTTTACGCCGTCCGAAGGAACGATGGCGCTGGCAAGTTCACCAAGATCAACACTGATCTGGATGTCCACGACAACTGCAAGATCAAAGGAGTTGTCTTTATTGACCTCAACGGCGACGGACTCGACGACTTTGCCTGTATCGGGTCCGACGGTGCCGTCTATGCCAGTATCAACCAAGGCAACGGAGGCGGCGACAAGCCTCCTACCTTTGTCTACAAGGGCCTGTGGAGAGCTGCCGACTCCAAATATCCTCAGAGCAAAGTCCGGCTAGCTGATATCGATGGTGATGGCCGCGCCGACTTCTGTGGCCTTGCTGATAACGGCGATGTCTACGTCTGGCGCAACGGATGGATCGACGACATGCCCAAGTATTGGCAAGCTCTTGGGAAGAGATTTGAAGGAAAGGGCATGGGTAACTTGGATGGTACTCGTTTTGAAGACATCAATGGCGATGGCCGTGATGATTGGGCTTGGGTAGGCGACCAAGGCGAAACGTTTCTGTGGACCAACCATCGCAGCTGTGGTGTTGGCAAAGAAGGTGATGGCCTGAAGGTGGCCTGGCGTCCAGGGTACTACAAAGGCAAGACTTCAGGTCCTACGCACACAGGCGGCTTTGCCAAGGGAATCCGGAATAGGATCCATTTCGCCAGAATCTACGGTGAGCCCCAAGACTTTGGTCTGCTTGGCAAGCAGGACTACGTATACATGGAGCACTCCAAGGGAAGTGATGGAAAGCACACGTTCAAGATGCGGGTCTGGAAGAACAAGGGATACGGAGGCACGAAGCTCAAGGGCGACGGTAACAAGTACTGTGACATGACAGGAAACGGACGCGACGACTATGTCTGGGTTTTGTCAAAGGGAGAGATGGACTTTTATCCTAACGCTGGCAAAGACTTCATCACGGACAAGGACAGCTACTGGGGCCCTATGCAAAAAGCCTTCTTCAAGCCACCTCGTGACTTGGATCGACGAGACCTTCACCTTACAGATTGGGATGGCGACGGCAAGTGTGACATTGTCTGGGTCGATCCTGATAACAAGAATCACGTTTCTGTTTGGAAGAACAATTACACTCCTGGCGGCGGCTTCAATTGGCAATACCTTGCCAACCCAGCGCCGGAGCTCTACTGTCCTGAGAAGCGCGGCATTGGTTTCCAAGACTTGCCTGTCCAGTTCGCCGATGTCACTGGTAACGGGCTAAGCGACTATCTCTGTATCGAAAAGAATGGTAGGATCTGGGGATGGACACAGGATTCTAAAGGTTCCTGGACATACATCGACCAGTTCTTTGGTACTAAAGGGCATGATCGCGCCAACATGCACTTTGCTGATGTCGACGGTGATGGGCGTGATGATGCCATCTGGGTCGAGAAGTTCTCAGGAGATGCCTTTGTCTACTACAACAAGGGCCGCAAAGACGTCGCTGGGTCCCGATACCATTGGGAGATTCAGGAACGTGGAGGTCCCTTCCCAGCCTATGGTGGTAGCTATGCTGGTTCCTGTCAGTATTTTCCGGACCTCAACGGTGATGGAAGAGCCGATCTTCACAGCATCCAAGCAACCTTTCCCAATACAGCTGTTACCGCATACAATATCTGTGGCGGCAACCGATCCGGCGACGATAGCTCCGACATCAAGAAGCCGGACCTTATCATCCCCCCGAAGACTCCCGGAGGAGGCGGATCTGAGGAATCAAACTCACCTCCCATTCCCGCGGATAACTGCAAGAACTTGCCGGACTTTATGGTTACACCTCTCACTCGCGTGGGAAGAAGTGCAAAAGGTGAGGATTACTGCTTCGCCAAGTGGAACAAGGGTGTCTTCATCAAAGAGATCGAAGCCGTGGCGAGTTCGGGTTCTCTCCGCTATATCCGAGTGGTTTACACAGACGGGACGATTCAGGAAGCAGGCAAGAAAGTCGCAGACGACGGCAAGCATCGCTTCGGTACTGTGAAATGGGACCCTTGGCGCGACTATTTCAACGAGTTCTCCATGAACGATGGTGGCTTCAACGGCGGCGTCGGGCGGATAAAACTCGAGATGTCGAACAAGTGCGGCGGTGATACAACTTGTCGACTTGACGCTGGAGGTTACTGGGACAAGCCGCCTGTCATGCAAAGAATACCTCGCGGCAGTTCAGATCAGGGAATGCTCTTGGGCATTCAACTCAACGCAGGCGACGTTATTGAATACCTGACACCAATGTTCTCCAAGGCCAGGCCTGAGAAAGTCACTCTTGGCGAACCCAGCTTTGAACCAACATTCGAGGAACTCAACTCGAAGCCTTTTGAGTATGTCTCTCGTTACCTAGTCATCCAGTATTATTCCACTAACATTCCATTCCACAGTGAACGCCAGCTGGAGGTTGTCAGGACCTCTCACGTTTTGTATAACCGCCGAGCAAACAAACCCGTCGAAATGGGAATCGATCTCTACCTCCAAGTCGAGCAAGGTACCAAGGTCAACTGGCAGAGCCAGACGGGAAAGGAGTGGGGCGGCGAGCTGGGGGGTACCATTGGAGGCGGTTTCGATTGGGAAGTTGGTCTTCCTGAGATGGTCTCGGGTAAGATTAATGGCAAGCTGGATATCACTGGCAAGTGGGTTATTAAGAATGTCAAGATGGATTTTGACGGCGGAGAGAACTCCACTATAACCCGGGTAAGCTTTCTCTGCTCACAGGCCATACTTGTTCACGTCGTACTAACAAAGCTGTCTACCTAGACCATGAGTAGGGTCACTGTCAACACTGTAGTTGATCCAGGGGAGGCAGCCTTGTGCCAAGTGGTCGCCATTCAAAGCAAAGCTAATATCCAATACCACTCCATGGTAAGTATCATTCTTCCTCGTACTGCACAGTGACCAAGTAACTGATAGTTTCATTCACTAGATGACACAGCATTTTTCGAACGGTGATTCGTACTCGTATCCTGTACAAGGCGTGTTGAGGGACAGTCGTGTCACGGAGGCTATTTCGATATGCGAAGATGTAAACGAGGACAACAAGGAGGAGGCAGCGGCTGCTGATTTCGTCATCGAGCAGAGTGGTACATATTGTAACGATGGTACAAGGGTTGGTGATACTGGCATGTCGGATGAGGAGTTGCGCAAGGCTTGTTTCCTATAAGCCTTGACTATAATGATATAGTGGTCTGAGTGGGATTATATTTATCTTCTTATGTATATATAGTTATACAAGATATCTTTATTATTATACAAACTTTACTACTTTTACTTACTACTTGTATTAATTGAGGTTTATAGAAGTTATAATAATATATTACTTAATTAAGGAATAAGGTTGCCAAACAACAACGTGCTATAGCAGGGCGGAGACTTGAGAGTGGACAAGATCAGCTAAGCGAAAAGAAGTAACTTCTCATTCATTGCTATATGGCTATATATGAACTGTTAGGGTACTGGCTGGGATCTTCGGCTATGTTTATTCTTGGAATTCTTATCTCGATGCTTAACCCGAAATAGATGAGACATGGACCCCGTGGGGATGACACGCTAGCGGTGGAGCCGCCCCTCATCCGCGTTAGGCCGCGTCACTAGCAGATTTTGTCCCCTTTTCCGATCTAATCATCACAATATTCAGTACATGTTCATCAACATCCGTGGCTGTTGGGTTGCACAGGCTACAGTTGACTGTACATATATCCCGTTATGCCCTTTGCTACGCCTCGAGTGTCTTACTGGCTCTTGGATCACCGCCAGCGTGAGCTTCGTTCTTGAGGCTTACAATTTCTGCAGCAATTGATGTTCCAACCGACAACTATCATCTCTTGTTACCTCGTATAACAATACTATGTCTAGTGGCGTTCCGAAGCACAGCATGGGCACGTCTAATGTCCGCAGCAACATGCTGGGAGGCCTGCGGCTTCGCAACCCGGAGACCAATACAATGATACTAATCCCAACCCCAACGGATGACCCCAATGATCCTCTGAACTGGCAGGCTCTCACCTAGCATTTTTTCTGACTCAAGGGCAGCAAGCTAACCATAATATAGGTCGAAGCCATATCGTATTTATATTGCTATACTCGTCTCCTGCGCCATCTTTTTCAGTAACTTCTTGGCTGCTGGACCCTCAGTCGCCATCATCAGTACCACCGAGTCCTTCTTTGGTCCAGCTGGTTCCGATTTCGATGAAAACCTCTCCAGGATTGCCTACTTCTTCACCACCACGGCGCTTCTGCAGGGAATGGGGAACCTGATATGGATGCCTTTCGTGGCAAAGTACGGTCGTCGACCTATCTATGTCGCGTCTTTCATCCTCTACACCGCGTTTGCTGCTTGGGCTGGTGGTGCGACTACATACGGCTCAGCCTTGGCTGCACGAATCCTTATGGGCTTTGCGTCTGGCGTCGCTGAATGCTTGGCCCCCTTGACCATCTCGGACTTGTTCTTCTTGCACGAGAGAGGTGCTGTTATGGCGTAAGTATCCCTATTCAACTACCCAACTTGCAGAAACTGATGCACAAACAGTATATATACCACAGCACTGTCCGCTGGTGTAGGCGCTGGAATCATCATTGCTGGACTCATCACTATTAACCTGAGCTGGCGGTATATCTACTGGATAGCGGTGGCTTTGGTCGGAGCGTGCACCATTCTGATCATCTTTACGTTCCCTGAAACTGTCTTTCACCGCCAGGAAATCTCATCAGCATCACATGCCGATCTTGGTCCCAACACCGCTCATACCCGGCATTGTAAGCTTGAGGACATGGATACCGACAATGCTCAGTCTGACGACATCTCACCATCCGGATTACGACTGTCCTATTCTGCATCCCCAAAGCGTACTTATTTGCAAGGTTTATCCATGTACAGTGGTATACACACAAAAGAGTCCTTCTTCAAGCTATTCTTCCGTCCAATTGTTCTTCTCGCCCTTCCTCCAGTCCTCTGGGCCACTCTCGTCATGTCCGTCACGATTGGCTTCCTCGTTGCCATTAGCTCCAACTTCGCTGTTGCTTTTGACGCTACTTATGGATTCGAGCCGTGGCAAGCTGGCTTATGCTTCGTTGCCTGCCTCGTAGGAGCCGGTATTGGAGCCTTCTTTGGAGGACATTTCAGTGACATGGTGGCTGATAAGCTGACGCGCACCAACGGTGGCATTCGAGAACCGGAGATGCGGCTGCCGGCTATCACCATCTCGTTTGTTATTGCGCCAGTTTCTCTGGTTCTATATGGAGTAGGCATCGATCGCAGCTGGCACTGGATTGTCCCTACTATAGGCCTCGGTCTCTGTCAGTTAACCCAGAGCTCTTCCGCACTTATGTATATGCTAACACCTATGGAAAGTAAACCTGGCAATCGTTCAAGCTACTAATATAAGCTTGGTCTACACGATTGATAGTTACCGTCCTGTTGCAGGAGAGCTGGCAGTCACGCAGTTAGCTTTTAAATGTAAGCCAACCCCCCCGATCGCCGGGTACGCGGAATTCCGTGTAACAAGGCTGAACGATAATGTGATCCGTGTAAACTAACAAGATACAGCGGCATTCGGATTCCTTCTCTCTTTCTACACTAACCCTTGGATTGATGAGAGTGGTTATGACAACGCCTTTAGTGCCATGGCTGGGATTTCAGGAGTGGTTATTATGTGCTGGGTACCTCTATATATTTGGGGCGGGAGAATTCGGCATGCTACCTGGAGATGGGGTTTCATCCAGAGCCACGTCCACTGGAACGCAGATCGTCAGGTGGGCGAGTAGATGCAGTCCACGAAACATTCTTGTTATTAAAAATAGGCAGGAAATAAAACGCCAGTATCCTGTAAACCTCATAACTCAGCAGTACTAATTATAAGATTGCATAAGCCGCAACCAAGACACTTAACATTCCACGGCCGATCGATAGGTGACTGCCAGAGTTTCCCTTGTCTGGCGAGACAGTTGCAGAGCTCGAGGTTGTCTCTGACCCGCTTGAAGTCGCACTCGCAGTCTCAGCAGTTGATGTTCCGGTGCTGGTCTCACTGGGCTTCCCTCCTGCTTCGATGACGGAATCGAGGCTGCGTCTGTTATTATATCTGCCATAATAGATCAAGAAGGACTTACATATGAATGAGGCCGTTATTTGTGAGCACATTCGCTTCGATAACCTTGGCGTTGTTGAAAAAGATATCGTCACCTATAATGCTAACTCGAACTTCGGTCTTGTTCAGAGTTCCAATGACTTGCCCGTCACGAAGGTAGTTGGAGTAGGTAACTTCGTTGAGGGTATGAGCTCTTTAAAATACCGTCAGTGTACTTCCGGATGGAACAAGAACAACTTACAGTAGCGCTCCGCCTAGATCCGCCTTTGACAGCTCAACATCGGGGCTTCCCGCATCCTTGAACGCTTGGGTAGACGGCGCAAGGCATGTTACGTTCTTTGAGGCATCGAGGGCGGGCCACAAACCCGCCTTGATAAGAGCGCCGTTCAATGCTGCGAGTCTCTTGTCGTCGGCGGCTTGAACCGTTTTAGAGCAGGACAGAGGCGGGAGAAGTACCCTGTACATGTCTGTTAGGCTGGTCTCGACGAGCTGGCTTGCTGTTACTCACTTGTCCACGATCTGGAATCTGCTCGCATTCTTCGCACCCCAAGATCCATCGACAGCAGTCATCTTGATGTTCTGCTCCTCACCTGCTCGGAGATTGACAATTGCCCCACTGATATCCCCACCGGCTCTCTTCCCTTGTCGTTGTCGTGTAGCGAATACAATTTGACCATCAGCATTGTTGCCAAATTGGCTCTGGATCTGGGGGCCTGCAGTTCTGTTGTTGAATTCCTCGCTCTTCAACAAGGTGGGAACTGACAGTCCACGGGAATCATCAAAATCCATGGATGAGAGTGAAGCTGCCATAGTATGATACGAGAAGAAGACTTGGAGCATTGTCTGGTTCAATTCGGTTACATCCGAGATGCCAGAATCTTTGAGATAGCTCTTGATTGCATTATTGGTAGGAATTAAAACGGTAACATTGGTGCCCTGGCTAGAGAGGGTCTCAACCAACACCTGGGGAGCCGCGCCCAGCAGAGAACGGAAAAGGGAGAGAGAATCGTAGTCGGCAATAGCACTAGCCAAATTCTCAGACACGTCCTGAGCATTGGCGAGAGACAGAAGAGCAAGGCTCGCGGCCTTGATGGAGAAAGAACTGCGCATCCTGAATTATGGTGAGGGGAAAGACAGTTTGACAGATCTGAAGAGAATAGAAGAGGATGCAGAGCCTCAAAGCAGCTACGTGGAGCATCCCGCTTATTTTGTAGCAATCCAATTCCAAGGCTGTGGATTCCACGCATCGAAACTGGCTGAGCCCAGACCCAGATAGACCAGAGCCTGCTTTGCCATTGACGAATAAGCAGTCTCACAAATAAGCCACGGTGAGCAGCAAAGAAAGGGTGGCGCCGAGCTGAAAACTAGTGGCCAGCCCTTGCCCGCACAGCCCTATCATCCCTTTTTTTGCAGCTAATTGCTCACCTGCCTGCGCCATTATGTACCATTACTAAAACGGTTTATTCGTATTGGGGCTGAAGCGAAATGATGCAGGCTAAGTAAAAACGGCACCATTGAATTATCTCCGTTTTTTAAAGGAGGATCGGGATGTTTGACTTAATGACCATCTGAAGTTTCATATATAACGATCATACGTGATGACGTTAATTCAAGATCAATGAGCAATATTGTGTTTACAAGATAATTGTCCTGCACTTTGGAAAACAGGGTAGAGACTACCTCGAAGCGGCGCAGCCTGCTGCTGTCGGCTGTCGGCTTGCATCTTGGAAGCCAATGACTCCAGCCCAGCGCAGTAGAGTGACATTCCTGCGGCTCTGAAGGAGTCTAATAAGGTGCATTTCAGCTCAAAGCCTATTATTGCAGGATAATGAATTTCCGGTTGGCCATCTCTAAAAATGTGTTTCTCATCGACTTGTAGAATATAATTACTTAGCTAAGTGTATTCATTGAACCATCTTTACTTCATTGCGGCTTTTGATTGCCAAGGCTGTTACGCAAGTATGTATTGCTCGAATTCGCATTTAAAGAACGTCTATTATCCTCGGGATCGATCGGTTAAAATATGTAAACAAATCATATAATTGCAGTTCCCTGTCTTGTGTTCAACAGTCTATGATTCTATCTGAAAAGACTTCTTGATCGCCGCGCTGAGGCGCTGAACTGCCGTACACATATCCTCCTCAGCCGCGCTTGCAAACGTGACACGTAAAAACATCTCGTTCAGGTCCGTGTGCGGCTCGGCTCGGAACCAAGAACCACGAGCAAAGAGGACTCCTTGGTCAATGCTGTGCTGGAAGATTTCCTCTTCAATCTCATTCAGACTTCGACGTTGGTAGTCTGGGTGTTTGGTATGATCAAGTTTCACCCATAGCTATTACACAAGTCAGCACATCTCTCCCTGTATAAAGCAGAGTATCCGGTAGGGAACTTACAAACATGCCTGCAGCTGGAGGGATCCAAGATGCGATATCTTTGGGCAAGTAGTCCTCGCAAGCAGCAAGTAGGACATTGCGTCTTCTCGTGTAGTTGGTCCTCAGGTCAATAAGCCACTTGAGATAACCCTCGTGACCCCATGTCTCATCCACCAATTTCCAGATCATCAGTTGCGATATGCCGCTAGGTCCCTGATTTGCAACTTCAGCATGACGGAGATACCTCTGGATGACCTGCTTGCTAGCCGTAATCCATCCCATCCTCGAACCGGGGACCAGGACCTTGGAGAATGAGTCCATTCGAAGAACTCGGCCATCAACGTCCATGCTGAGGTATGACGGGACGAGACTAGTCAGGAACTCATCAACAGTCTCATTCACCACAACATCAGTCCCTCGTCCTGTATAGGGCTTCATTTGAATGAAGTAGTAGGGCTCGTCTTCAATGACAAAGATGTTATGCTTTTGGCAGACTCTGTAGATCTCACGTCGCCGCTCAAGGCTCTGCGTCGCGCCAGTAGGGTTCTGTCCTGATGGCACGGTATAGAGAATATGCGGCTTTCGAGCGCCTCGAGCCACTTCATCCCACGTCTCCAGAACTTGATTCATGTGACTAGGCAGTAGCCCTTGCTCATCCATATTGATGCCAAAGACCTTGATGCCCTGTGGAATAAAGGTCTCAAGCGCCGTTGCAAAGGTGTAATCCTCTGTGAGGATAGAATCGTTCCTATACCGGTCGCAGAGCATACGGACGGTCTGTTCCAGAGCTCCTGTACTTCCGACGGTCTGGCAAACTGCCCAGTCGGCGTAGGGAGGGTTATAGACAAGGTCAACGTGTTCGGCTATCCAGCGCATCATCTGTGGGGATCCGGTTGCCTGACCATAGTTGAAGGCAATAGATATGTCGTAGTCCGAGGTGCCGTCCCTAGTATCGTACTTACCAATGCGAGTCGTCTGGGCGCCGTTGGCGGGCGATTCTGATAGATGTTGCTTCTCAGAGAAGTTTGGCGCCGTAGGTACACGCATGGTGATTTCGGAGATGGGAAAGTATTCGCTCGAGGGTAAGCCGCCACCTAAGGAGATCAGACCGGGTGTTTTGATGTACCCGGCGGCTTGTTTGAGGATGCATGGTGGACGGTTGCTCTCACTGCTGAAGTGGGCTTGGAGCTATCGTTAGTGTTGGATCTGAAAACAATGTTCGACATAACATACTTTCCCAGTTTCTGGCTAAAGGTTTTCCAGCGGCCTATATCCTGATTAACATCATTGCCACTATTACGAAACGTCGGCATTTACCGGTAATTTGAACATGTCACTGTCAGACATGGCAGCTGTTCCAGGTCGTATCTTGGTAGCTGTAGTACGCCTTTCACGCATGGCTTGGATCTTGGAATGACTCCCATTAGGGGAGTCAAGCTTCGTTGCTGTTGAGTGGACCATATTGGTAGGTCTTGGACGTTCCTCGAATGATAGGTGACGGTATAGACGACATCTAGAAGCGATTCAGCGTATGTCTTAAAGACTTTACATGCACAAGATGTTGGCTTGTCTGCGGTTTCGGTGCCCCAGTACCTGTCAAAGGGCGTGTGGAATAATGGTTAGTGCACTTTGCGCCCTAAGTGGAGCCATGATGCGCCTGACTAGTTTAGCTTGCATTGCCCCATGAAGTATTGCAGTTTTCATGCTATCACTGTGGAGCTCCGGTGTAGACCAACGGCTCGCTCCAGTCGATTTCATATTCATCATTGAGCAAGCCTTGGGTTGGGTTCACAGGAAGAAGATCACAGGCAGTACTGGGATGATGGGCAAGGTTCTGGAAAGTTGATAGAACTGCCAAAAGGCGATATCCAACTTTGGTTGACCTATATAGATATATACCATCACGCTCTAGTCTTTGGATAAATGCTGTCTTCGAAAGGTAGCGATCCACTCCTGGTTATCAGCTATAGTCTGTTCCCAGTTGTCATCACTCCCATACACCAATCGCCTCGCCTCGCCCTGGAACATCTCGTCGGTCGGAAAGACACCACTCGCGAAGGACTGCTGAGCAAAGCGCCCTAGATGCCAGGCTAGAAACTTGGTATAAGAGTCAGGCGTCAAATCGAAGCCATGATCGTGCTGCTGTCCCGGATTCGGGCCTGGGTCGACAGCTTTGCCAATTCTCTCCTCTATCTGAGCTAAATGATCTGGTACCGTTGGATCCGTGGCTGAAAAGGGTACCATGGTTAACGCCTCGTTTGCAAGCAGGTACGGCGGCAAGGCATTCCTGACCTGTGCTGCGATCGAGGGCTCAAATTCATGATCACCCTTCCACTCTGCCATTTTCTTGCCCTGACGGAAATGCTGTGTGAGATGGTCTGCACGGTCCTGCCACGACTCGAGATGCTGATGGCAGAATCCGCACCGGGAGGAAATCGGAGGAGGCGGTATTCTCCAGTCGTCCAGGATGGGTAGCGTATCTAGTTGATGGAACCCGCGGAGGTGCTGGATGAGATTGTCTTTCCGCCTAAAGACGTGAGGCTGTTGACCAGTGTGGCATGCGTTATGGTTATGAGAGCTTAGGTGATGTTCGGTAGGATCAAGGATATTGCAGTATGCACACGTACTCCTGCCGGTCGAGGACGAGACCACTGCACCACCATATGGTGCACAAATCCACTGATCGCAGTCAAGATGGAGCGTCTTTTCGTGTCTGGTCCAGTCGTGCTTCTTAGCAAACGTATCGCAACAGAACGTGCAGTGGAAGATTCGGGGCTTCTTGTTGGCATCAGTGGCGGTGCTCCTCCTCTTCGTGACGCGCCTCCTGTTCCGATTCTGAAACGATCGAGACGACTGCGTGGAAACAATCGAGCTTGAGGATTGACTGTGCCAACTGGCCACGCTTGGACTCGATGATTCCACCCTAGTGGAAGGAGCTTGCATGTTATCGCTCAAGGGATTTTCTTGTAGTGCGTCATAAATCGCTGACCAAGATGCCGATTCGGCTCCTGGAGGACTGTTTCTCCATCTCTGCAGAGGATCAGAGGCTTGCTCATGGGCATCGTATACGGGAATATGAGTGCTTCTTCCGCCGTCCACGTTCAGGCTGTGTCTGAGAGAATAGCGGCTTCTGCGACGTGGGAGAGTCGGATTTAGGCTGATGGGAATGGCCGGATATTGTGGCGGGTTCGCTGTGTCGGTCTCGCAGAGTTCCTGATTGGCTAGAGATGAAGTATTCAAGACCTGCTGCAGACTATAAGGAACAAAGCCATCGTTATGGCAATGCCCTTGGATCTCTTGGTGGCTCAATGACCCCAGACTGGACGCATAGTTGTGATCGAGCTCGAAGCTGTCCGCAGCCAAGTCTGGGCAACCGAAGGTCAGGTCTTCCAGTGATGCTTGATCAAAGCACAGTCCGACACCGTCATTCAGAACATGGAGCAAGCCCTCTGAAAGATTGGTATCCGCGTCATGGGTGAGTTGGGGTCCTCGATGGTTGCTTTGTTGCCAATGAACTCCATCATCTTGGGTTCCGGTCAGGTGCATCTCAGCGCCAAGCTGGAGAGACGTCCAATCTCCAGGGTCGAAGTCGCCAACTGGGGATTCTTGCAAGCGGCTCTGGTGAGGTATATGTTGCGAGCTCATGTTCTCTCGGGAGTGGTACGCGGGCATATAAGGTGAAAAAGCAAGAGGACAGGACTTCAAAAACACGGGGTAGCAAGGAATAAGTGCAGCGGAGTTTGGTTCATCCGATTGTGGGGGTCAACATGACTTGTTGCGGGTATTGTTATCTACGCTAATTGTGATAGTGTGAACTTAACCTCTGCAGCTTGTCGAGCAACGAACTAGGCGACTGGCTGAGTGGTCTTGAATCCCTACATCTATCTTAATTACCGATATCAGTAACTACCACCTTTCTCGGTACTCTCTCTTCCTCTAGCAATATTGACCTCATGCGACATGATAAATTGTAGCGATGTAAAGTCAGTTGCCACATGAACCATATCGAACCCAGCCTCAGCATACTCTCTCGCTTGCTTGCCAGATGTACTGTAGATTCCACATTTCTTGCCAAACTTGTGGCTTGCCTTGAGCACACGCGCAAGCGCATCTCTCAATTCTGGTTTAAAGATGCCTTGCATGATAGGATGGCCGATATTGTTCCCTGCAGTCCAAGAGTTAAGGCTGAATACCACTGTAGTTACCTTGCTGCAACGAACCTAAATCGAATGGTCCCACGAATAATACATCGACACCGTCGACAGCGGCGATTTCCTCCAGGTTCTCGAGAGCCTGTTGGGTTTCAATCTGGACTATAGTAAGGAGACTGTTGTTTGCCTGCTGAAGATATTCGGTCATTGTCGGTATGGGACTGAAGCGCTCCATTGCATACGGAGAGCCAAATCCACGCGTTCCTTGTGGGGGGAACTTGGCCGCTCTGACGATTTCTCTGGCTTCTTGCGCGGTGCGAAGCAAAGGTACCAGGATCTTGAAGATCTAGTCAGTTACTGGCCAAATCCAGCTGCCATTGATACTCACTCCATGGGCACCTGAGTCCAAAGCTCCTATTTCTTGTAAGTAGATTGATCGTATCCTCGCTCACGGGTTGCTTATCTTACTCTTGATCATCCATGATTCCATCCCGGGAATTCTCACTACAGGAGATACTCCAGCTGCAGCAACAGCAGGGACTGCCTCGTGCATAGCGCTATCTAATATCGCAGTTTCAGTTTCGTAGAGTAACTATTAATTATGCTCCAGTGCTCACCATCAAGATTACCATGCTCGCAGTCAATCACCACCCAGTCGACGCCAGGCACGCGAGCGAGGGCACGCGACACATTAGCGCCAGGCACCATCTGCCAGAGTCCCATGCTCGGGCCATCAGCACGCTGCAGTGCCGCTCTCAAGAAGTTCCCTTGTTCCATGTGGTGGTTGAGTAGAGAGGAACAATATGAGAACAGAATTTTGAACAAGTTGGCTGATTGAAGTGATCAAAGATGGCTGATAACTCAAGACTTCAACTGGTGCTTTACCGTTGGTTCCCACATATCTTAAGAAAACGTCGCGTTGTCATTGGGGACCTGACGATCCAAGAGCCTTTAAGACTCGTTCAGGCGTAGTAGGGCGCGAAGCTTAGTAGGGCGCAAGGCGCAGGCGCTAGACAAGCTTGGAGAAGTGGGGGGAGGGGGGTGTCAATAGTAGTCTCCATCCTGTGAGTTATCTTGTATCTGAAGATGGCAATATTTTGAAAGCTATCGCAATCTACTAGAAATTGCCGGATGCCATCTGATCAGGGTTAAGATAGCCTCTAATGATGGTGGAAAACTACAAAAGATCCATTCTGCAAACAGTATTGAATCAATATGTTGGGGGAGAAGCCAGTGTTTCCCAGTAAGGGTCGTTTATAATCAAGATTTCAGAAAGGCATGGCGCTGAAAAAGACCTTTTTTAAATATACCGAACTAGTGCAGAAGATAAACGAATACTTTGCTTTGAGAATCTCCCTTACAGTGCGAGGTTATGCTATTGAGTGGGTCGCATCAGTTTGAGATAATACTTGATCATAATACTGGTTGTATGCCCGGCCTAGATGAGTAGATCCGAGGCAAAGATGCTGCCAATGGAATAGAATAGATATACAACGGGAAGCTAAACCAATTCAGAGGTCCCTGCTACGTGAGATGAGTTGACCGGCTAGTTAACTAAATGTAACGAACCACAATTGATCCACTTCTGCTGTCTCTCGTATCTTGACCTTCTTCACGCGTTCCAAAGAGTGCCGTACGCCCTTGATATCAACAGGCATAGGCCGAGTTCTTTAATCGAGGGGAAAACCTTGCAACTCACCAGAGAACAGATTGGCTTCTTTCTTTTACATACGTGGGGCACGGCGCAAGGCGCAAGGCGCAAACAGCCACAAAGCCCTTTGCTCAAGTTGGAGCTTTGCATCAACACAATTACTATGGGACAAATCCTTCACTAGTCAATGGGTAAACCCACTATTCACTCTAGCCTAGCAACAGTTATGCCAGCATCTCGATGGTCAAATGCAACCCCCGAGTAAGATTGCAGTAAGTGGAACGATAAATACTTAGTAGTGCAATAGCGATTGGCTAGTCCTGGCGTGAACTACGGAAGTGCCTTGCAGCTCGCTATTTACATTTAGCTTTGCGAGTAGAATGGAGGCAAGGACTGTGTCTTTACTCAGATAATGTTGTTACCCCGGATATGACAACCTGATCTGGGGAACATTGCTTGATAATGCGGGGGGCCTAGCCTTTCAAGATAACTCACACAGAGATATAAAGAATCCCTTCGTGCATCTTTGAGTATAATTAAATCTCCAGTATAACAACCATCTCTTTCCATCTCAACATTTGAACACCAATCACAGGCCATGACGTCCCAAGATCTCGGCTCGTTCAACGCAGATCCTATCACCAAGGATCCAGTCAAGACCGTCAACCCCCAAACTTCCAACATGGACGAGGGTGTCCTGCGCGGAGAGGTCTTCGATCTCAACAAGCGTGAAGATATTGAGCGACAAAAGACACGCGAGGGCGAGACCCATTTTAGCCGTCTTGGCTGGAAGCGCATGACAGTCATACTTATCGTAGAAGCCATTGCTCTCGGCGTCTTGAGTCTCCCGAAGGCCTTTGCTTCCCTCGGAATGGTGCTAGGCGTTGTTCTTTGCATTGGTGTCGGCCTTATTGCCCTGTACGGCAGCGTCTTGATGGCCCAGGTTCAACTCAGAAACCCGCACGTCTCCCACTACGTTGACCTGGGAACGTTGATGTTCGGTTCATTCGGCACCAAACTTACCAGTGTCTTCGTCGTGGGTCTGTTAACCATGGTCGTCGGTTCGCATTGTCTTACCGGTGCCATTGCCTTGTCGACCATAACCCAGTCCAGTTCGGTCTGTTCAATCATCTTTGGACTCGTGTCCGCCTTTATCATGCTTCTGCTTAGTCTGCCGCCGTCGTTCGCCGAGATTGCTATTCTAGGCTACATCGACTTTGCATCTATCATGCTGGCTATTGGAATAACGGTCATTGGAACGGGTGTGCAGAGGTCAGACTCCCTCGGATCGTATGTGCCTTGGTCTGCCTGGCCGAAGGAAGATCTAACGATATCCGAGGCAATTGTTGCCATCAACAATATTGTCTTTGCATATGGATTTGCTGTGGCACAGCCCTCCTTCATGTCTGAGATGCACACGCCGGCAGACGTCTTCAAATCCACTCAAGCCCTAGCAGCTATTGAGATTATTCTCTATACCCTTACTGGTGCCTTGATCTATGTATTCGTCGGTCAAGAGGTCCAATCCCCAGCGCTTCTTTCCGTCGGAACTATGCTCTCTAGAGTAGCTTTCGGGGTAGCGCTACCGGTTATTCTAATTTCTGGGTCTATCAATACTACTATTGTATGCCGGTATATCCATGGAAGATACTATCGCGATTCGGTTGTACGATTTATCAACACAAAGAAGGGCTGGATCTCATGGATTATACTGGTCTGCGCAGTTACAGCCATCGCCTGGATAGTCGCTGAGGCGATTCCCTTCTTTTCCGAACTTCTTTCCATTTGCGCCACCTTATTCATTTCCGGCTTATCGTTCTATCTACCTGCACTTATGTGGTTCATTCTGTTAAAGGATGGACCGTGGACTTCCAAACGCAACATAATCCATACTTTGGGATCCGGACTTCTGTTCCTCTTTGGGGTCGCTATTTTTGGCTTCGGCATGTACTCAAGCATTGAGGGACTTGTAAGTCATTGAAAGTGTGGTGGCAATTCTTAGTAAAGAAGCTGACTCTTTTCCAGATTACCAAGTTTGAATCAGGCTCAATTAACAGACCATTTACATGCTCAAGGACTTAGACTAATAATTAGAGGATAGTATAATAAAAGTCATCTTTATTAGTAAGATAAAATTCAAGTAATAGATACAGAGCTTAGAATAGTAAATTTACAAGTCACTCTTATGATTATAAGCAGATATGGTTGGGATACCATGGCCAAGCAAGTCCTCTACTAAAGTGCTCATATAACCATTTAAGGTTTTTATCATGAACCTACTTTAGTACGAACAAGGCCGTGTTATCGGCATTATTGGCGCATTTCTGTTCTCGAGAATGTCGTCGAATGAGGAGGAGTGTGCAAGGTTGAGATTGGGCAATGATGACAATTATAAGGCATGTCCGTATGCGGTGAGTTCACATCAGTAAGCATACCAATTTGGCCCATTACAAACGTTATTCTGATCTAGGTTGGCTCTTTAGGGCTTTGGTGCCGGGCTACCAACGCCATAATTTCTTGGCTGTAGATAAATTTCACGTCAGACTCGATGCGAACCCTGGCTGGAATACATTCGGGTACGCTTTTCCCACTCAAGCCTTTACCCAAAACCTTGAAGGGACATGAGGATAACCTCGCGGCGGCATAACATATACTTCTTCCGTTCAGTAAAAAGTACTTAAAATACTTGCCACTGCTGTCTTCCAGCGACAGACAACATTACCGTAGGACTGGAGGGAGGAAGCTTCCCTCGAGGCATACCGGCCCCGATGCCGCTACTTCAAGCCTTGAACGGAGCTCTTCGATTAAAGCAACAGCAATTCCCCTTCTTAACGGCCGCCGGACGGAAGATGTCTCAAGGTATGTGGCCAGATTCGATGATGGCCCTGGCTAGCCTTATGGCGAATGGTACCTGACTCAATGCAATGGGCCATCAGTGCGTTCGCTGAATCAAGAAACTGGCTCACGAACGCTGCTCTGCTCAAAAATAACACCTCATCGTAGTATACATGTAATTATTCGACACGCAATCGCGGCACAAACATCCTTCATTACAAACCGCACTCGCCCGCCTGTTGGTGATTGTCATCCATCCACCCGTAAAAGCATCACTCCTCCCCCTCATCATGCTTCAGCCCAGCATCCTTGGCCTTCTTATCCGCAAGATCACACAGAAACTTCCACTCCTCACTACTGACTTTACTCACACTCAGCCTCGACTGTTTGAGCAACTGCATCATCTCAAGAGGACCACCAGACTTCCCAAGTTCACGAAGTTCTTTTAGACCAATAGGTACCGCAAACTTCTTTCTGAACTCGACGTGGACCAGGTCCCAGATGGGTTTCTCTTTGGTGGATTTTGGATCGTAGTACGGTGCGCCTGGTCGACGAGCGGATCCTAATGAAGTTAGATGCGAATCATAAGGTGGGTGGAGATGGAGGACTTACTGTCTTGGGAGAATTCTTTGACGATTTCCATTACGCCTACGATGCCGGGTTCTTTGCAGTTGCTGGCGTAGAAGAAGGCGAGGTCGCCAGCGTTCATGTTTCTCATGTTGTTCCGAGCTGCGAAACGTCAGTCTCATCGTATTTCTTTCAGTGAGCATAAGTTCATACCTGCGTATGCGCGGATGCCTGTATCAAGGTCAGCCACTGAGATTCATCGCGAGCATAAGACAACATACCATCCCATCCCTCAGGCTCCGTCTTGGCCTTCAAGTCATCGATGGAAAACTTGACATCAACACCATTCTCAATTCGAGTCTCAGGCTCTGCTTTCATGAGCCAGTACCACTGCCCGTCGTGCTTCGGGGCATCAGGGTTTATCGTTGGGATGGAGTCGATGTCAGGATCTTCAGATGCACCACGAGAGCTGGACTGAGCAGGCTCCTGTTTCTTGGCTGGCTTCTTCACTTTTGGCGCGTCTGACTCTTCGGTTTTCGCTGGCTTCGCGGGTGCTTTGGGCTTCTCTTGCTTCTTCACATTGGTTGCTTTGGCAGTTTTCTTTGGCGGACTCGCTTTGGCTGGGGGAGGCGCTTCAGGCTCGTGATTTCCCTTGGCTGCTTGCCGAAGAGATCTTCGCTTGGGCACAGCTTCTTCTGAAGCATCGAGGGTAGGCGCACTTCTTTTTCGGGGTGGCATGGTGAGCTGTGGATGTGTTGAGATTGGCTTCACTTCATCGAAAGCTTGAACACGCGACGCGTCTTGAGTTGGGGCTTGAGCTTTGCGCACAGCCACAGCCTGCGCCACAATATCCATCAGTGCAGTGCACAGCAAACAAACCTAGCCACCGCTAAAGGGACATCAATCACGATTTTAAGAGCTCCCGAGCATGTTCTGGTATTCTACTCAGAAGTAAGCAAAAAAAAAAAAAAACTAAACTTTCTTCTGTCGTGGTCGCAGTTGGAATCATACCCTGGTCCCAGTCGTAGGTATCGTCACAATAATTGATCAACGGACAGTTAACGAATTGAGCTGGCTCGGAAGAACTTTCGCCATTCAGCCAGCACAAAATTTAAAGAATATTGACTCAATGGCAAGTAAATCTTCAAACATCTCTCCTATCCATTTTTCGCAGTCGCGACACCGTTTACAACGGAACATGCTTCCTGAACCAATCCTCCATCACCAACGTTGCAGGGTAAGCCGCATCTCCAAGTCTCAAAAGCATCGCAACATGCCCTTCGAACCCCTCTCCCTCAAAAACATGCAATTCAACATCCGTACCCGCAGCCTTGAGTGCGACTGACAACTCAACAGCTTGGCGAATATCTCCCTTCCTCTGAACATGGAGCAGCAAAAAAGCCCCAGCATTTGGTGCAGCTGCATGATGGGTCGGTGACATTGCCTGTAATCGTACGGGATCATCGCTTAGTCCTTTGACCATGTTGGTGATGATGGGTCCTGTGTTATCGGCAAACTCTGCTAAAGCGTTGTAGTTTGACCCATCGAGAGCGATAACGCCTTTTAGAACGTCGATGCCAAATCCTGCCTTTTCTGCGTAGCTTGGGTCAGTGCCTAGCAAAGTAACGACATGCGCTCCAGAGCTATGCCCCATGAGAACCACACGCTCTGGATCAATGCCAAGCTCTTCAGAATTCATAATCAGATATGCCACTGAATCAGCAACCTCTTGCACCTGCTCCTCAACAGTAACAGTCGGGATAAGTGTGTAGTTAATTGACGCAAAGGCGTAACCAATGTCGTTCAAGTAGCTGACTTTCTTTGAGCCAGTTGAATCGAGATAAGTCCCGATTGTCCAACTTCCACCATGGACATACACGACGACGGGGGCCTTGGTAGCATCTGAAATCGGTTTCCAGAGACGAAGGCGCTGGGCTTCTCTTCCACCGTACACAATGTCTGTTCCGCCCTGAGGAACATCCGAGTTCATTTCGGATAAGAGCTCATGCACTCTTTCCATAGTGATGTCGTCGTTGGTGTCTTTATATATGGAAAGGCCGGTGATTTCGTGTCCCCGGGCAGCCAAGTCCTGGGGACTCAACTCCGAGGCCGATGAAGTGCTGGGTATATCTGAACAAGTCATTGCTGAGATCGTGTAACTTAAAGATAAGAAGCGTAATCGAAGAGTTTGTGAAGAAATTCAAGGTCATATCCATTGCGCAAGCCAATCTATTCATATTATTCCTCGTCTCCACTTTCTTCATGGTCTGCGTAACATCGCGACGTAAGAAATCCAGCAACCTAAATAATTCAGATGCCTGGTCAGGCAGACGCATAAACCAACAAAGGGTCCTGCTACTGGACTTCCAAATTCGGTGTGGCCTTGAAAGCCTGAAGCGATATCTAGGAGCTTATCTCAGTCCAGTTGCCGTATAGCCGGGTTCCCTGAAAACAAACAATCCACCACGGCGTCAATTTAGCCTAATCCTTGCACGATAAAAACCTCCAGCGCGTATAAACAATGTCGTAACATGTTTTTAGATCAGCCCAACAACAATAACAAAACAATCCATTTCCACCATTTTCCGCAAATTCAGCCTGACTCCAATCATATGTTTTCATTATAGATCCTTCCTTTCTTAACCTTGCGTCATCAGCATTGTCTCAGTAAACTCAATAACCGAACGAAGCTGCTGTAATTGCCCACCCTCCAACAGCATAAACTCTTGATGATTATGTATCATCTCAAGCGAATAATCACACCCATCTTCCCTGGGCCTCGCCTCGAAATCTAGCTCATCCTGAAAATCCTGTAAATGTGACGAAATATCGTGCAGGACATCAGGATCTAGTGTCAAGAACTGAGCATACGACATGGTCTTGCTTGAAGATGACCCCGTATCTGACTCGATCCAGTCTGAAGGGTTATTGGTCAGTACTCTTGAGATGGCTGTGGTGATGCGCTTCAGTGACTTGAAGACCAGGGGGTCGGTCACGTTTGGCGATGGATGGGAGTCCTTTAATCTGGAGAAGAAGACGTTTATCATGACGAAGTGGTCCTTCATGGCGTAGAGTTCGTCACGAATCTGTCTGACTTTGGGATTCGGTGGCTCGTGAGGCTTTTTGTGGTGCCGATCGGGTAGTGCTGCAGCCGGGAAACCCATATGCTTGGTTCTGAACTCATCGAAATCCCTAGAAAAACATCAGTTTCCGGAACGGTACTGTACACAGAAGTGCCTCGACTCACGCTTTCAGAATGGGCAGAAATTCTGTAAATAAGTCCCGGATATCCTCCAAGGCCTCGAGACAACGAGCTAGCTCCAAGTTTGCATGCAGAGGAATATCTGCAGCTGTCAAGCGTCTGCCAAAGTCTTTTGGTGGAGCAACACTTGAAAGGGTGTTGTGTGTTTTTTGAACGACCTCCTTCAGCTCCGACATTACTCCCCATGTGTCGGGATTCAGTGGAATATCTATCAAGGCCATGCTAGAGCCCTTGGAAGCCCAGTGCTGAGCGTAGACGTCGAGCATCTTGCCCAGGTCTGCTGTTTGCGTGCAGAGCTGCTCACATGTCGAGCGGATCAGGCCCATTGTCGAGATTAGATTTCCTCCAATGTCGTTTGCGAGTTTGGCAGCAGCGTCGAGAGATGCATTGGTGTCTTGGCATGCCTTGTGATAATCGCTGGGATTCGGGTCGGAGGGCACATTGTCAGGTGCATTGATCTCCGCACCAGGGCTTTTCTGGGGGCATGGTGTCCCAGGCTGTTGTTGTTGAAATGCTGGGAAGAATTCAACATGGCTATCTTTTGGACGATATGGGAGTTGGGTGCGTGATGATGTAGATGGATCGACATAGATTCTTGCATTGGGGTCTTGCGCGGGGAATGTTTGCTGTTCTTGAATGTCTTCGAACAGCTCAAAAGGGTTATTCTTCGGGCGCAATGGGAGTTTCGATTGTGATGTGGAATTTGATGGGCCAGCGTGGGATGATGCGACGGCTTGCGTCGTTGCTGCAGGGGTCACTTGCGGGGAAGATGAAGATGGGGATGGGGATGGGGACGATGGCCGTGAATCCATCGAAATAACAGATGCAGCGCTATCGACTTCAAGCCAGTCGTCGGCAATGGAATCTCGGCGGTTCTGTGACATTTTGGCAATAATATGATACTAAAATGCCCGGGAAAGCGATAGAATACAATGGAATTTGACGAGTTTTGAAGGGGAGGATGATCAGGGTTGAAAAAGAGTGTTGCCTTTCAGCCTGGATTAGGCAGACGTCCCAGGTTGCATTGAGGCTGCAGTGGTCAGTCCTACCATAAGGTTCAATCACTGGCCAGCAGGGATTAGGTCAGCATTTTCTCTGTGTCATCTTGGGAGAAAAACCCAACTTGGGATATAATTTTCATTGAACAGAAACTATTCGTCCAGGGCATATTCTACATTTTGATACTGCCAATAGATGATAGCATTGAGGGAATGGATGAGTCAGGAATTGGGTCAACTCAAAGCCATCGTACCATGACTGGCCGACATGTGCCCTCTGCAGAAGTGAATTCACTTGGGTTGTTGACTGCCTTGTTCAAGGGGAACTTGCTTCATGCCACTACATAATGAAATAATCTCATTCGGTATATGCCAAGCCTTCGGAAAGCAGATGCGTCAATGAAGGTGTCCAGGGTTTGTGATATTCGTAGTGGGTTATCCATCGGGATTTAACATTAGCGTCCTGTCTAGGGCCCATCAATTTAATTTATAGCGCCAAGCTTACGATAATCCCGTGTTGTTACCTCTAGACCATGCGCTATATTTCCTGGTAATATTCGATGGTGATTGTGATTGTAATTGCTTCTCCGCCTATTCAACATTGCCATGATATGATATTGGGTGTCATTGTGGTTTGCGGGGTATGTCTCTTCCACTCACTCATAAGGCGGTAAGGCGCATGGTAAGCTTCAGCTCACCGCCAATATCAATTCTGAATAACACTCCTCAGCGGTGGTTCGTGGCAGGATATTGAAACCTTTTCGAAGAGCACTGTCTCACCCAAGCCAGCAATATGTCAGGCCTCGAGCCACTTGCGGCCTTGGGCCTTGTTTGCAACATTGTTCAACTTGTCGAAGTTGGCCTCAAAACGGCCACGCTCTGCAAGAATGCTTACCGGACGGGTGAACCTGATCCAGAGCTCAGCGTCTACGCCCAAAACCTCGCAGACACCGCTTCAAGCTTGACCCAGTCGCTGGAGGTTTCACAGCAGCCTCTCAACCTCGATGACTCGAGACTCTTGACTCTAGCTCGGAACTGTCGAGATGCCGAAGAAGAGTGGAGGAAGAAAACTCCAGCTCGCTTCCTTTCTCAACAAAAGCCTCGCAAACGAGCTCGCTTCGGAGCAGTTCTCCAAGGCATCGTTAACAAACCAGAAATCGATCGTCTGGAAAGTCAACTACGCATAGCCAAAGAGTCCTTGGAGACAAATCTTCTCGTTGGTGTCTTCAAAGGTCTTGACATCTCCAAAGTCCAGGCCTCAGACCTCCAAGACAAGCTCCAGACTCTCCTTCAGGCATCTTCCGCAAGCGAAAAGGAACTTCATGATCTCATCCAAAGACAAGTGAGCCTTATCAATACACAGATCTCAGACCGTATTAATAGAGCGGAGGCATCTACCAAGACTCATGTCACAACAGAGCTTGCTAGTCATGAGTCGAAACTCATATCACACGTAGACCGAGGCAGGGACACTATTTTGATACAAGCTGAAGCTAGAGAAAATAGCCGAAGGGAGAACGAGGGCCATGAACGACTCCTGCAAAGCTTCTATTACCCAGACATGAATCATCGGAGAAACAATATACATTCCTCCCATCAATCGACGTTCAACTGGATATTCGAAGGAGGGCCTAAGGGCAATTATGGGGAACCAGAGGCTTCCCAATCAGACTCACAGTCTGAAAATTCGTTACACTCTTATGCTCAAGAGCTTGTTTACAAGAACTTTGTCAGGTGGCTCAAATCGACAGAAGACCGGTACTGGGTCAGCGGGAGGCCTGGAACCGGAAAGAGTGTGTTGATGAAGTTCATCATCTCCCATAGAAAAACAATGGAGTCGTTACGACAATGGCAACCCGACGTCCAGATCCTCACTCACTTCTTCTGGAAAGTTGGCAGTCCCATGAAAAATAGTTTCAAGGGTTTCTTATGCTCTCTGGCCTATCAACTATGCTCTTTAGATAAAGAACATGCCATGGGTTGGCTCCAGCAAAACCCTGATTGGTCTCGCAAGGCTGGGCCCGGTGATTGGGACAACGAGGACCTCCAATCCCTTATTGCTAGTTATTTAAGCCTTACAGCTCGACCTTTCTGTCTTTTTATCGACGGACTTGATGAGTTTGAGGATGATGATGGTGTAAGCATACTCATCGGCTTTCTCGACAGTATGCAGACATCATCACGACTAGTCAAGGTGTGTATGTCAAGCCGCCTAGAACAAGGCATACGGATGCGGCTGTGTCGGAATCCAGACATGAAAATGCAGAATTTGACTCGAAATGATATTAAGTGTTATTCAAGGGCTATTCTAAACAAGGAGATAGCACTAGCATCCTCTTCAATCGACGTTGAAGTTATTGTGAGAGATATCGGTCTTATGGCAGAGGGCGTATTTCTTTGGGCTGTTCTAGTAACTAGGTCAATTGCCCGGGGAATTATGAATGGCGACTCAGAAAGCGACATCCACGAAAGAGTTTCGAGAACGCCGAAAGACCTCTACAAGTTATACCTTGACATGTGGGAGAGACTGGGTGAAGACGTGGAGCTCTACCAGGAATCAACAGCATTGATTCTCAGCTTTATCGTTATGGTCTGGCGAAGCAAGTCAGCATTCTATCCCAGTCTCGCGACTGCGAGTCCATACATCTCGATTTTTGAATTGATGGTGGCGTCGAGCGATGACCTGTGGTTAACATCTGTTGACTCGATTGATAGCCTACCAGTAACAGATCTTCAGCAACGCTGTAAGGAACTATGCGCAAGGGTGCCCGTCAGATCAGCGGGCCTCCTTGAAGTCGTTGAATATACTCGGGACTACGAACGCTTTGGTACAAACCTAGAGACTGATCCAGCCATTCGGTATAGGACTATCTTGGTGAAGGCCGTTCATCGTACTGCTATCGACTTTTTGGTCGGGACAGAAGACGGAAAACAAATCTTGAGAAGTCATATGATGTCTCAGGAGGTGTTATTCATCAGGCTTTTCAGAGCATGTCTTCTTCGAGATTGCCTTTGGCCAGCTATCCAGTTCACTGGCAATAACCGGCCCTCCTTCATGGACAAGTACCAAGGGCGTGACGCGAGTCAGCGTCTTGATCGTCATCTGAAATCACTCGCATATCATAGAGATATTCTCCAAGGGTCAGCTCTGGCCGAGATGATTGATTTGATATGGGCCACTCATGTTCACATGATTAAGAATTTCCCAGCGCACAACCATCCAGAATTCCATATCCTAGTACCAAGATGCAAATTGGACTATTTATTGTTCATGGCTCAAAATGGATTCGACGCCTTTGTCAAAAATGGCCTCATTGAATGGAGGAACAGAGGGCGAATCGATGTGCTTTATCGAGTCTTTTTAGTTTGCTTGCGGTTTCGCCATCGATGGCGTAACCGTGGTTGCGATACCAGACTCGAATTTGGTGGACGCATCCGTCTCATGGAGCATATCATTAGGTCCATGGCCGGTGCTGATAAGTTCCAGTTCTTTGATCTAGGAGGAATGAATATCAGCAATAATGCGGTAGCAAAAAGGGCTACAACACTGTTTCTTATCCATGCTATCAATGCCTTCCGTCTTAGACAGGAACCTGCCTCCAGGCTCAGACTCCGTCAACATTCATGGATTCCATGGGAACCGGATAGAATCGATCGAGTTATCAGAGTGATAGGTGATTTCCGAAATTTGCTCTGCTTTGCAGATAGCTTGGTTATTGCTGTTCATCTCTGTGAGCCGATTAGTGGTGACCTGCCATTACATATCGGGTATAGGCATACATACGCGTTTTGGGCGAAAGCTCTCTACGTGGAAATCACCGTGTCAATCCTGGCTCAGATCTTTTTGCGGCAAGCAGTCAAGTATAGTAAAGCCCATCAATATCCCGAGATCAAAGAAGATCTCAGACTCGGGGCTTTCCCTCAGACTATCAAGCCCGTCATGCTGAGTATGCGCTCAAAGCGCTTTCTAATATCCTCGGGCGCAGATAAACTTAGTTTTGAAAGATTCTGCCGGACCGCATTGCTACTTGACTCATCCGGATCCAGGAAGCAAGATTCCAACGAGGCCCACAGGTTTCAGAAAATCGGGGAGGAACTTTTTGATGATGCTATTACCAGAGCTGTGGAGATAGCCGATTCACCAAAGGGAGATGGGCCAGACGGAATGACTTTTAATCTTTGTAGTACTTGTGAGACTGAGGAGAATAACGTAACTAGGCATAGTTCTCGGTAACATGTTGTTAAATCTTTATTCGACTTAGAAGACTGCCGCGCCAGAAGCGCTATTTTGCTTCAAAAAGACAATTGATATCTGCATGTCACTAAATGTATGGCTTCACACTTTCTTCAATAACTGGGTAATTGTGATTATATTATACAGTGAATTCACTGGGGCTAAAGATAAAACTAATTTTCGAGATGGTCCTGGGCCAGGTGGGATACATCTCTATCTGTGTAATACATGCGAGGCCAAAGAGAAGAAGTAACGGAACCTAGTGTTTGGTAACAAGCCGCTGAAGGTTCGTTCGTCTCGTAAGTGGGACATCCAAGGATGTGAAGGAGACATATCAGTTCTGGCACATCACGAGTCTTGTAAGATATGGTCTTTCACCTCTCCATCGAGTACAGTTCACTTGTATCTCATGGCCAAGAAGATTAAGTGTCTAGAGTCAGGCGATTTGTAGTTGGCCTGAGGCTTGTAGTTCACTTTAATCATCTTCAAGCATAGGTAGGGTAGTTATCAGATCTTCGACGGAACCCTTCCAGCCGTCTGGTAAAGTTCCACTTTCGGATGCCTCGCGCTGGCTCACCACCGAGGGCTACTCTTGAAAACGGCTAGTCAATTTCTCCAACGTTGCAGAATCAGGATCCTTGGACACCATCTCAAGGTCGTGGTGAATAGAGTTGTTATTAGTTGCCTGCACTAACTAAGGGTCTCTCCCCCTTACACAATTGATCATAACGCTATTCCTGTCACCCCCTTCCACCATCTCAAGGTCAACCGTATACGCGCTGAAGAACTCTCAACTCCTACGGCTCTCATCTCGAACTTCTTCAAGCAGTCTTTGAGTATTAACGGTCAAAGGAACCCCCTGCCGGTTGGTAATGAAAATCAGGTTCTGGACTATGCCACTGACAAAAGGCATGTAGCGAGCAAGGTGCTGATAGCCACGCATGCAGAGTAGGAAGTAAAACTGCGATTCGTTGCTGGATAAATCTCGGAGTATGTAGTTGACAAGGTAGAGCATACCGCTTTGCCAGATGATTGAGTACTTGGATGACTCGCAGTCTGCACGGTATTGATAAACAAGACGTTTTAGTTGTTCAATCGACGCTGTTATAACGGCTTTCGGCGTAGCATTCCCTGCAAAGCCTGGGGGCTTGGGCTGCGGGAACTCGTGTTCGAAGGGCCGGAACAGATCAATAATAGCTGTATGAAACCAGATTCTTGGTAAAGTAAGCATATAAATTGTATTTTGCCGGGGACGTTCTGAACTTACTGCAAATTGAGAACATAGTCTGGATTATGTTCATCACGTCCCACTCCGGTTGGCAATGTATCTGCCCAACCCAGCAATCTCTGGAAGATAGCTACAGCTGATGATATGGAAACTGACCTTTCGAAGTAGCAAAGGGTAGTTCATATCAAATACTATCAGCCAGAACTGACATACGGCTGTATATTTTGCGTCGGTTCTAGGTATGCCGTGCCCCTGGGCTGTGGTCCACGCTTTTCCTGGTATGCGAAATCTTGGTGTCCTTTTAGGGATTGGTTCTTGGTGATAACTCATTTACATGACCCTGGTGACTCTGTCAGCTACATTCTCACATGGCACGATCCATACTGCACTGTAAATTTGGAATTTAAAGGATCCCCAAGCAGTGGCGCATACGGCTGCTTCAACGCACTCATCGCTTAGGTCCAGCTGATTGTATGAAGAGACGTCTGATTCTCCATACAATCGCATGCGCTGTGCCATCCTAGCACTATCCTCTTGCAACCGACGTCCAGCTTTGTCTTTTCCAAGAGTAATCCACGTCATACTCATCAAAGATGTCGCTGCCACAGTTGTTAGACTGTCGACGCCTTTTTCGGCATCGTAAATTCGTAAGGCCTCAACCAGGAACTTGGCAGGTAGTGTAGCGGCCATCGGTTCATAGTGGGCATAGCTTTGCTGTGAGGCGAGCTTAGTGATGATTGTTGACAACAGCAGACCTGGCAGTCGCAAGAACTCACAGTGGCCCATGCAAGAAGACCGTTGACCAGCATCCGGGAACAGAAGTTGGTCTTCACACTAACGAGATCGTCTAGGAACAGGTCGGTATCGAAAAATGCCCACCAGGGCTGGTTCATGTTCAGATATAGGGAGATGGCTTCCGCGGCGACTTGATTGCTTATGGCGACAACTGTCCAGCGTGAAATGTCGACGTAATGGAGGCGAGGGTCACTAGGGATTCCGTTGTCGACACCAAAAGATGTTCTGTTAATCACATCCTGTGGATAGACACTCTTGTGTAATATTGAACTCGACATATTCCCGTGAAAAAGAGTCGATAGCCCTGTGTCATGAGCGATACCAGCACAAGTGGCTGAATACCGAGGAGTTGCAGGTCCGACGACGCTGCGTCCAGAGGAGGGAGGCGCGAATATACCTTTGGATATTGAACAATAAGCTGGAACTCCAGCGGTGCCTGTGTTGGAGCAGACGTGCCCCTAGCCGCTGCATTTATCGACGGGTTAACAGTTACAGACAAATTGCCGCCTATCGAATCCATAATCGCTTTTGGGGACCGGCCCTGTCTTAGAGACTCCAAGACTTGTAACGCGAAGCCCTCGGGTTGATCTCTGAGCAAGTCGGCCAAGTTGGCCGAGGACTACAACTTGCGATTCCGCACTATTACTATAGTATTAGCTGACGTACGCTGCAGGCCCAGTTGAGTTAACAAAGGTACCTACCTTGACCTTATGTGCCCGACAGTCTGGTAGATGTATCGTTGGTCTGCTTTTCCACTGAGTTTAAAGGGCCCCCGGCTTTAAATCTTAGTTTAACAAGGAACAGGAGCATTGCGTCTACGCGGGGGAAGCGTTCTGTGTGCGATAGCAGAAGCTGCTTGGTCATTCTCGCCTTGACCTTTGGCTGCGAGCTTGGGTAGCGTGCTTTCTAGTGGAGTCATATGAGCCAGTACTGTACAGTAGTCAGAAAGGATTGTCACCGGGTTATTTACGGCAGGGGAGGTTCTTCCCATTGACTCTTTATCTCTGTTCTTTGAAACTCGATAAGGCAGGGAAGGCCATAGCAATGGCCATTACAACTGGGAGCAGAGCGATAAACGTTGACTTCATGTATAATACTCATAGCACTAGACATCACTTTTTAACTGTTTTCAGAGAGTGTTTAATTCTTCATATTGTACAATGGCTTAACATCTGCAAGCGCATTCACTATTATCTACATGTAAAAAAAAGCCTGACCTGTCAAAGGATCAATCTTCCCCCAATCAGAGCGCCGTGTTTCTGCCAAGTATATCTCAGATAATCTAAAACTGGCGAGCGTGGCGGCGAGCCTTCTTGGAACCACCGTTCTTGGAGCGGAGCCAGTCAATGAAGGTGTCGAGGGTGAAGGTCTTGGGAAGAGCACCCTCTTCAGTATCCTCCTCCTCAGCGACAGGGGCCTCAGTGGAAGGGACCTCAGCGAGCTGGGTAGGAGCAGCAGCGACAGAGGTCACCAGGCTGGTGGGAGCGACAGGAGTGGGAGCAACGGGGGTAGGGGCAGCAGGAGCAGGAGTCGAGATGGTACCGTTGGAGGGAGTGTCAGGGACAACGGGCTTGGAACCAGAAGCAGAACCGTAAAGAGCAGGTCCAGGGATCTCGTAGGTAGTGGAACCCTTGTAAGGGTCGAAGAGAATACCAGGCTCAGAGTCAGTGTAGAGCTCAGTGGTCAAGGTACCCTCAGGGTTATCGGTTCCAGAACCAGTGATGTCAATGTTGAAGCACTGAGGGTAGTTCTGAGCACCGTTCTTGGAACCAGCGCCGTGAAGAGCGATGATCTCGTGACGGAAGACGTAGCTACCAGCAGCAAGTGTCTCGGGGACAGTGGTAGTCCAGGTGTTGTTGTTCTTGATAAGATCGGCAGCAGCCCAAGTACCATCAAGGCCAGCAGCATCGATCTTGACCCACTTGAGAGTAGCAGGGTCAGCGGAAGTGCACTTTCCAGCGCACTTGGCAACGTAGGTCAGAACAGGGCCAATGTGAGACTCGGGCCAGGCAGACCACTGGAACTCAACGGTGCCACCAGCCTTGACGGACAGAGAGCTGGTACCGGGAGCAGCCTTCTTGTGGCAGGCAATGTCGGAGGTGCCAAAGTCGGCGGGGGGGACGAAACCGTTGTCGAGGTTCTCAGCGGACCAAGCAGCGATGTCGGGGATCTTGCCACCCTGCTGAGCAACGTAGTAAGAGGTGAGGTCGTAGCCGGGCTGGTAGGTTCCGTCAACCTTGATGCCAGTGACGGTTCCGTGGGCGAGGGCGACAGAGGCGAAAGCGCCAGCGAGAGTAGCAGCAACCTTGAAAGACATGATGACTGTTTGAAAAGAGAGGTGGTAAAGATGTTGAAAGTCAGGTAAAGGTTGGAAAGTTTTGTAAAAGAGTGTAATAGACCAGCTTCACACAGTGAAGAAAAGAATGGAATAGAATGAAGAAAAGAGTGAATGCACTTGAGATGAGAAACTAAGCTGAAGAAACAAAAACCAGACGGCAAGAGTTTCACGTTTATATATGTTTCTTCATCACATTTTCATCGGATTTAGTAATCAGCAACATTCTTATCGCCCGCCAAGAAGCATCTCAATTCACAGTGGTGGAAAAGCACCTCGTCTCAGCTTCGTGGAGCCGCAAGCCTTTTTCGGTCAAGGCCCCGGCCCCAAGCGCGCGGTAATAGGTCAAAGCTCCAGGGACTGTTACAGCTTCAGTTGAGAGACAGGAGAAATTCAAGGTTAATTGTTTTGTGGTTTCGTCTGGTCTTTTCAATTTGGTGATGGCGTAAGATGCACGTGGAAGGCCTGAGACTGCAATTTAATAAAATTTCCGCCTATCGAACTATCTGTTTAAGCTTATTTCTGGGTCTTGGGACTTGTCACCGCTGCTGACTGGATGGTTTGGCGCGTTTTCGCATTGGGCTAGTCAGGGGAAATGATGCAATCCCGCTTTGGGTAGTTTTGCATCTCGGAATGTGGGAGTCTTTGGGCAGCACTCTGCTGACAGTTGTTGAGTCGCTTCATTCTTTTAGTGGGGGTCTCTTTGTGGAAGTTTGAGCCCTCGATATAAAACTATAAAGAAAACTATAGGTAAGTTTGCAATAAGTATAATCCCCTTTTACTAAGTATTACTGTGCTTTAGGATCTGTAGTTTTCCGAGGCTTATGCAGTCACTGTTAAAGATCTACGTTTCATTGCCAAGATTATTATCAATCTGATCGCCCCTAATTATTTACGCGGTTTGCGTTCATTTACGCGGTTTACCTGCCCCTGTACCTGGCCGCTCACCTGGAACACTACCTAGCTTGACCTTCAAGGTCTAGAGATGAGATCCCTGCTCTAGTTTGTCACTGACGACATTCTATTCACCTGCAACGTTGACCCTGGTCTTGCCATGAGCGGAAAACTGACAGTTCTGATTTGCAGAAGCAATTTGATTGTGGACCTCAAGATGAAAGAGAGGTCCATGACGCGCAAGGATATCACTATTTTCCCTCCATACATTCATTGATCAAGGACATATACTTGACAACGACCAAGTACCTCTTTCTGCGATAACTATGTGTGACTTTTTGCTATCACCTGAGTAGGCTGCCCTGATCTGATATGGGTCCTTCTCATACTGTCCAATCACAAGTCTGTTCGAGTGACGGGCGCCATCCTGGGCAAAAAGAAATTTTTATGCTGATAACCATACGTCGGAAGCTCAGAACACAGACTCTACAAACCTCACTCCAACATACAGCCCAGCCACCATACCTGCAAATCTAACACTACTAACAGCTCCAATAAACACTGCACTAAGAAGAACGAATGTTGCGTAAAAGTATATCGCGATCACAGCTCTATAATGAAGAAGTATGTCTGCCAGCTAATTACCGTTGACTTGTATGGCATTCGAATAATTATACGGATGGCATACTCATTGGTATCTGGTGTGCCGGTTGATTGCGTGGTAGTTGTCTTGACCCTTATAGGCGGCCTTCTTATCCATCTAAGCTTGCGGTGTTGCGTCAGAGACTTGAAATAAAACTCATATCGGTTTTCCATGTCCAGCTTTTAAGGTAACCGAAGTACCTCCCACCAGGTGTACTGGATGTCTCGTGTCGAATGCTTAAAGCTTATATCGCTAGCCATGGCACGGAGAAGCAAGACAGCAACAGCTACCCATATAATGCTGCTCAGGGGCCACATACGCACCATGATTGGTGATTCGCGAAGCCACTGGATGAGCACAGCTGAGTTCACTATCCAATTCTGCCAAAGCATTGGTCTCGTCAAGCTTAACACGACAACGTCGCTGATCAGTTTGCATAGCAGATGTCTCCAAGACAATTGCTTCGTAAATCTCGCTGTTTTTATGACCCATGTCTTTTCAACTGCATCATCTGGTGTCGAGTCCAAGGGTGAGAGCCTCCTGAAAATGCTTGTATATATCCCAACACTAAATGCAGCGATTAAGATGCCCCTGTGAGGAGACATGAGAGCAGTCTTGACGATCTCTTCCGGCTGTGCTGCAGAGGCAGTCATGATACTTGGTAAGAGACTCAGTATGGTTGAGCCAATGTCGCTCTTGAAAAGATGATGTAAGATATATTAAGTATATCTCTTTTCCCGGAAAGCCCGGAGCATATCCTTTAACGTTTTATGACATTATCTAAAAGCTGGCTAAGAATGGGTTCCCGCGGGCACCGAGTGAGTACCATTCTAATTAGTCTATATATATATACAAAAGTGTGTGTCCATTACTTTCCATTAAATCCTTACTCAAGCAACATCTTTAATAGCGAGAAATATTTTGTGACCATTTCATTGCATCCTAACTCTACCACAACTTACAACTCATAACTGCCAAACGACCCGGACCGGAACGACCCTAAGAGCTACCTTTTCTAGATGTCCAACACTACGGAAGCGCCGGGACAGCTCACCCAAGAGCAAGTGGATACACTGAGGGAAGGATGTCACAGTTTGATCAAGGGGATCAATACTTCCTATGACTATGTCCCGACCTTGGGTGCTGGAATTGCATTCTGTGCTCTCTTCGGCTTGAGTCTTCTTGGCCACTTTGTCCAATTCACTAGAAAACGTCAATGGACATCATGTGCTTTTGCAGTCGGAGCTCTAGGTATACCAAATTCCCTTTCCAAGATCGCACACGCAATACCAAGAAGAGTATGCACCTTGCTAATACCTATTAAATTAGTTGAAACCATTGGTTGGGCTGGTCGCACGTGGTCAAGCGAATGTCCATACAACAACGACGCCTTTTTAATGCAGATTACAACCCTCATCATCGCCCCGACCTTCATTACGGCAGGACTATACGTTATCCTCGGTGCTCTCATCAATCGTCTTGGTCGTCAATCGTCTGTGCTTGGCCCTAGGATGTATGCAATCGTCTTTTTGACATGCGACGTCATCGCTCTCATCATACAAGCTGTCGGAGGAGCCATGGCCTCCACTGAGTCAGACAAGATTAACGGTAATACAAAACCGGGAACAAACATCATGGTAAGCTCCACAGTCCTTTGTTGTTGTGTGTGGAAAGGAAATGCGGTTATTAAACGCCAGTAACTAATACTGAATGATGTAATAGGTCGCTGGTATTGTGTTCCAGATGGCAGCCATGGTGGTTTTCACTGTCCTAGTAATTGACTTTCTAAGGAGAGTGTTTCTAAAAAAGTCTTTCTTACAGATGAGCAAGCATGGCCTACCTGATGGTAATGATTTGCCTAAGGCTTATACTTGGCTCTTAGTTGCAGTCTTTGTGTCCTTGACCATGATATTCATCCGAAGTATCTACCGAACTGTTGAGCTCCTGCAAGGCTGGAGCGGCTACCTGATTACCCATGAAGGATACTTCATTGGTTTAGATGGTGCCATTATGGTTGTAGCTATAGGGATTTTTAATTTCCTGGATCCTGTCTATCTATTATGGGGCCAGGACGATAGACTGACACCATCTTTTGAACAGAATGAGCTAAGGGGGATGGGAGATGTTAGTATTGAGCGCTGGGATGATTCTACTATAGTAACTGACTAAGCGGGAAAATAGATACCTCTAATATATATAAAGGAAAATAAAAGTACTTAAATAGTTCATAAAGTATAATAATTTATTATATTATTATTATTTATCTTAAGCGTTATTTTACTATTTATTTCATTGCTCTGTCTTATGTCTTAGCGAGGCGTACCGCATTGCCTCCGCTATAGCTGCCATTCGGAAATGTCAATAACGGCCAGTCCTTTCTACATACATAACTTGATCAAACGGTTGGCATAACCGCCACTATCGTCTGTGTTCCATCTATCATATTGGAGTGGAATATTAATAAATTATCCGACTGGTGGAACAAGATGGAGCTCCAAAGCCCAACTGATCTACAGACTTTCCAGGGAGGTAGACGACAGTGGAAGTCACTCAAGTCGGAGGAGCCGATTCGATGGTGCTGAGGAGGAGGAACCCAGTCTGACCAGGAATAGCTTCGTCAGACTAGTAACTCTAGCTTAGGATACCGATTCTTCGCCGTTGTCAGATCTAACCTGCTAGCTTAACCATTCTCGAACATGCTGAAGAGACGTCACGAAATTAAAGAGCGCACGTTTTACTTGGCTTTATGCCCGTAAATATATTAATCTAAGAAATTATCTAATAGAATGTAATAGGTGCAGGTAATAGGTGCATGTACTATGCAGCGTATATCTCCAAACCGTCATATACTCGTTGCTCCATGTGAGCAGTCAAATTATTTACAGGAAGAAGGCGACAAAACCAGCCGCAAAGAGAGCAGCTCCGACGCTACCTCCGACACGTCCAGCACCGGCAGTGACCTGGGTGGGAGTGGTAGCAGGAGGAGCAGGGTATGTCTCAGCAGGAGTGCTGGGAGCAGGGACAACAGGAGCAGTCTCGGCGGGCTTGCTGGGAGCAGGAGGCTGAGGTTGCTCAGGGACGGGGTAGGTAGGGTGAGACTCCTTAGGAGGCTGAGGAGCGGGAGGCTGGGCAGGCTGAGTCTCCTTGGGAGGAGTGACACCGGGCTGGGTCTCCTTGGGGGGTTGAGGAGCAGGAGGTTGAGCGGGATGGGTCTCCTTGGGAGGAGTGACACCAGGCTGAGTCTCCTTAGGGGGAGCGGGGTAGGTCTCCTTGGGAGGTTGAGGAGCAGGAGGCTGAGCAGGGTGAGTCTCCTTGGGGGGCTGAGGAGCAGGAGGCTGAGGGTGCTCGGGCTTGCCAGGGACGGGGTAAGTCTCCTTAGGAGGCTGAGGCTTGGGAGGAGTCCAGGTTCCGTTACCGGGGTGAGGAGGAGGAACAACGATGGGCTGAGTCTCCTTGGGAGGAACAGGGACAACGTGGGTCTCAGTCACAGGGCAGACGGTGGTAGAGACAGCGTAGGTCTCAGTGGTGACATGAGGCTTCTCAGGGCAGTTGGGAACCTCAGGAGGACACTTGGTGACAGTGTGGACCTTGGTGGTGTAGACAGTTGAGGTTGTCAGCTTGGTGGTTGTCTCGTGAGCAGGAGGAGGAGCGACGTGAGTCTCGGTCACGGGGCAGACTGTGGTAGAGATGGGGATGGTCTCAGTGGTGACGTGAGGCTTCTCAGGGCAGTCAGTGACCTCGGGAGGGCACTTGGTGACAGTGTGAACCTTGGTAGTGTAGATGGTCGAGGTGGTCCAAGGAGTGCTGGTCTGCTCATGAGGAGGAGGGTAGACAGAAGAGGGGTGCTCCTCAGTCACAGGGCAGATGGTGGTCGAGATGGGAATAGTCACGGTGGTGACATGAGGACCCTCGGGGCAGTTGGTAACCTCAGGAGGGCACTTGGTGACGGTCTGAACCTGAGTGGTGTAGATGGTTGAGGTAGTCCACTTAGAGGTCTCGGGGTAGCCAGGCTTGGTGTACGAAGGCTTGGTGTAGGTTGGCTTAGTGTAGGAAGGCTTCGTGTAAGTGGGAGGCAGGTAACCAGTCTCGGTTGAGCTCTCCTCAGCAGGGAGAGTGTCAGTAGGAGGCTGGTAAGGAGTCTCGGTTGAGCTGTGCTCCTCAGGCTTGGTCTCGGAAGGAGGAGGGTAGACATCAGTGGTCTCCTCGGGGGGAGGGTAGACGTCGGTGGTCTCCTCAGGAGGAGGGTAGACATCGGTGGTGGTCTCCTCAGGAGGGTACTCAGAGGTCTTGGTCTCCTCGGGAGGGGGGTACTCTCCAGTAGGCTTGGTGTGCTCGGGAGGAGGATACTCGCCAGTGGGCTTGGTGTGCTCAGGAGGAGGGTACTCGCCGGTAGGCTTGGTCTCCTCAGGAGGGGGATACTCTCCAGTGGGCTTGGTCTCTTCAGGAGGAGTAGGCTTAGTCTCCTCGGGAGGAGGGTATTCACCAGTGGGCTTGGTCTCCTCAGGAGGGGTAGGCTTGGTCTCCTCGGGGGGAGGATACTCTCCAGTAGGCTGAGTCTCCTCAGGGGGAGTAGGCTGGGTGTGCTCAGGAGGAGGGTACTCGCCAGTAGGCTTGGTGTTCACCGGAGGGGGAGGATAGGCACCACCGTTGCTAGGCTCAGTAGCCTTGGGAGGAGGGTACTCGTTGCTGGGCTTGGAAGGCTGCTCGACGGCGGGAGGAGGGTAGGCACCTCCGTTTCCGGGCGCCGGGGGAGTATACTCGGTATCAGGGACAGCAGGATACTCTTCCTGGCCGGGGACAGGGTAATGCCTCTTGGGCACCTCGACAGCGGCAGCATTAGCCAGGCCAACGGCCGCACTGAGAATAACGAGACCTCGCATTTTGATGGATAGTTTAACGAATGCAATAAACGAGTGAAGCGTTTGTTAAACGAAAGGTGGGTGAAGAAGCCGGAAACAATTTCTGGGGGGAAACACTCAAGACTCTTATACTCGATGCATGGTCTTTCCCCCCCTCACACCCCCAGGATCTTATCATCTTTGCTTGGCTCCCTCGTGTCCTATCGGCCCAACTGTCCGTGTAGGTAAAATACGGGCTTTCTCCATAGTTCATCCCGGTAACGTGATGTAATATGAGCAGAAAGGTTGGGTAAACATGCAGCCTGTGTACGGTGGACCTTTGCGGGCGGCTCACAAGGATCCATAAAAAATCCATGCTCCAGATCACGATGTTGGCTGCGACCGTATGTATGTACTGTACAGTTCGGATGTGACGGAATCTTGCTACTGTGCAATCTCTCGGCCATCGTGTTCGTCTATTACGGTTGGCTTAGCTTGTGCACGGTGCAGAAACGTTGGAGGTTGTTGAGCCGCTCGTGGTCCGATAGGCTAGCAGAGCGTTTCGCCGTTTTTTTTTTAGATAGAGTTAATCAAAACACGCCGCTTGGTTGCTACCTTTCAGGCACAGGAACCGTATTACCCGTAAATTTCTGTGTCACTGGAGTCAACCTGCGGGGTAACGTTGACCACACCTGCGTTAGCTTTCTACTTAGCCATTTATGATCTGACACGGCCTGTACTGTTGTCTCAGTGGCCTGTTGTGCTCTATTCAGTACCTATGAATTTGCTGATGGAGGGGAACTTTTTGTGATCTGCAGCCCCTGTCATGTTGCCTGGCCAAGTGTCTTCTGGTTGATTCGTGGGGCTCTTGGGTGGTCCGCTCGTATAAAGTGTTGCCCTTGGCTCGCTACTTGGCGTGCTTTACGCACCTACATACACGAGGAAAATTCCCTGTAGATCGCTGCTTATCTCTCCACTTTGCACTAAAATCTCGCACAGAATCTCGAGGTTGGCCAGCAGAACACGTTGGATTATGAAGGATTGTTGCATAAGATACAGTGGAGAAATCAACTGTTTAGATGTATGTCAGCCAAACAATATCTTTTGTTGATGTTGATGTTGGTGTTGGTGATGGGTAGTATCAGGCAATCCACTCTGGATGATCAAGGTAGCATTTCGAGGCGAGTTCCGTTTAATCCTTGTTTGGTAATCATAGTCGGTTGATGACAAGACGATGCCGAGAGAATGGCGGGAAAGCTGCGATTACTATCCCTGCTTGAATACGGAGTATAGTTGTTGGGAACTCCTTTTCCAAGTAAGCATGTCGACACTCATCTCACCGTCCAATACGGTATTTTCTTATTACCGACAAAAGCCCATTGGAGTCTGTGCATCCCTGTTCCTGCATTCATGGGTCTTCATGTACTGTATCACTCGGCTGGCGCTTGCATACAAGTGAGGTGAGTTGTTCAATTGTGAATGTCAATCTCTACGTACATAAACGCCGGTAATCATTGGCGTAGAACCTTGAGTGAGAAATTATTCCAGTTTGGTTTGGCGCAAATGCAACCATTCGGCAGATTAATTCTGTCTGCTTCTAGCGGGCGGCATTTCGAATAACGCCATCATTAAACTCCAATTTCTACAGCTAAAATCTCAACTTCAGGGTAGTAATGTCAACATCGTATCATGGCCAAGAAGGCTCAGGCCTTGTCCCTGTCAAGGTTCGGAGTTGTTGCCGAAGACAACTTTAGCAGTGAATGGCAGTCTTGGCTCCACGCGACAGCGGAGCCGTTGGCCTGGCCGACAGGAATGCGGGAATCGAATATAATCGATCGGGTATATCCTCAGTTTTTAGCAGTAAAATCAAGGATAAAAATGGACCGTTTTATAATGGTCAAAGCGGCTTAAAAACCAAGATGTTTATCATCTGTTGGTTCCAAGATCTTGGATATTCGTCGTTGAGGCTTTTTATCTAATCGTTGACGTCAAGTTGCTTGATTTTATGCAACTAATTCATAAATACGAAGTCTTGAGTCTAAGGCTAAATGAGGGCTGCAGACTGCAGTGAAGATCTTTGTGTGATCGAGTATATCGGCAATACGGAGTACGGAAAAAGGAGACACGAATTGAATTTTCAGATAACTTACCGTGTTTTTTGCCGTCAGCTGTCGGCAAGGTAAGGCTGTCGAGGTCCATTGTCCAAGCTTGAGCTGTCAATGCCAGCTCGTAACCTTCTTGTATTTAATCTGGCTATTTTTATACAGGCGAAATTACAGTAAAACAATGGGATTCGTCCAGCCGTATAGCAATAACTTTGATCTCAATTGAACCCTAAAACCGTATTCCTTAAAGTGACCATGTCTCGTTGGCCATGGATGTTGATGTGACATTCCCAATTGAGTTGCCAAGTCTCCACCTCCTTTTTCTTTTGCTCAACACCATCTCCCCCGTATTGCAGAAGTTCCTGCATTTCGTCATTTCACCAGAGCCACTACAATCCGAGGAGAATCAAATGTTCTCTCGACTCTCCAGAACCAACGAGAACTGCGATCGACAGGGGGTGGTTTCATGTGCGTGGTCCACCGTAGAGTGACGAATGGGGCTTGACTTTACTGAGGTTAGCGCTCGTATTTATTCTCCTCACCACCTCCAATGCGGATAGGCGGAATAAGAGAAGCCGAGGCTCCATCCGATAACTCGGCCGAACCATAAATATGGCTATACGAGCCAGCTTTTGGTCTTTGAAATACTTGGTTTCTTTGCTCATCACTCGAGGCTATGACGTGAGGTTTTATAAACCAAGTTCCAGTTCAAGCTCGGTCGTGGTGATTGATTTGAGTTGCGTTGTCTTCAGTGAGGCTTGGTGTTGAGATGAGTGATGATTAAATTGCTTTGTCACATTCTTCTCCAGCAAACTGATTAAAATTTTTACAGAAGCTCTCTTTTAAACTTAACTGGAATATTGCGGAACTATTCTTAATGAGATGATATAAATTGAACTCAAGTCAAACTTAACTGAGTCAACAGATTAGGAATTAACTCAGTCCCATTAGGCACTATAATTAGGTGAGCTGCAGGGTGCAGAACCACCAAGCAATTCCATGCGAATCTATCATCCATCACGTATTATGTTTTTCAACTCACTTGGCCAAATAATTTTCATGGTCTAGTGACCCTTGGCAAGTATCTAAGCAACACTGGACTCAGAGCTCTGTTATGTCTTTATTAACCGAGACTTGACTGTGAGATGAAGTGTTGTAATATGCATTAATTTAAGTGTTAATAGACTTTCATACTATAACTTGTTCCTAAAAGAATTCTTTGATGTAAGACATGTTGGCTTAGGTTTTCTAAGATATTGAAACCGAAAGAGACATTCTCAAACCATATCTATGTGCTTTGGCCTCGACATCTCAGACTCGGAGCATGCTGCTATTCCGTCTCCATTATTCGAGCCTGATGTCATTGACAAATCGATAATTACTTCGTTTTTGTTAGAAGCTTTGGGCATTAGATCAGATGACAAGCCAGTCGATCCGGTCCCGGGTAGTCTTGAGCAGATTTACTGATCATGTGTTCACAAACTTGATCCTCAAGACGACGACAACATAAATGTTTAGGCCAATAAATGATACTTCAATGACCACGAGCATGGCATTTCCTGTCTCTCAAATATCATGAATCGCCAGCTTTGTCCCATCATAGCAGTCTAACGGCCCGCTTTGTGCCTCTTCATTCAATAGCATCTTAAGTGAGAGCAAGTAGCCACCAACTGACTAAATCTGAAACGAACTGACAGTTCGTGTACCGAGAAGCCGCTCGGGATCCAAGGGAGAACACGCGGGGGAACACGTCTTGTTAACATTTTAAGGTCATAAGCACATGAATTAGAGTAGCAGACTCCTTCAAATGCTCGGCATCAACCAACCAATTATCGGCGTGGATCTGGCTAAAAGTCTGGAACGGTAGAATCTGTGCCAATCCGATCATTCCTGGTGGCTTCTTGCCACATTGTCTAATAATGATGATGTGTGCCTGCATCACCAGGGGGCGTGATTCCCCCGGATTGCGTTTCTTATTTGAGTCTGGGCATCTCAAGCCCCGAGCAAGTGCTACTAGCCAATCACCAAAACCCGGACTTGTCGGGACCGATGGTCAAGCTATGAGGTAGCTTCGGGGCTGCCTCTCTATACAATTGGTCTTGTCACCTTCGTGATGTTGCCTCATGCGCCGTGGCGTTGACAATAGGTATTGGTTGCATGGCACAGGGTCTTCAACCATCTCGCGTAGGCACGCGACTGAGACTGAATCCATTCCAGAGCCGCACAAGGCTGTTAGGTTGGAAACAATGTGAAACTGAGAATGGGCTGTGGCAAACAGTGGCTGAGCACAAGATCAATATAACTCTCTATAGGGAATGCGGGTAGGATCTCTGAAGAAATGATTCCTTAGGGAGATTAGCTTTTAAGTTTCAGATCCATTCCGAATTCCAGTTTCGCTTTGGCTTCCTTTCCGTCGTACTGGGAACCAATCATATACCAATGATCATCCCCAGGATAGTCCGTGGGTTGGTTACACTAGGTAGGACAAGCCTCGAGACTTGTTTCTTAGCTCCGTGAGGCTAAATCTCGTCACTTTTCACGATTCGGAAGGAATATGACGAGATCTCAAAGAAGCACCTAATGCAAGTACGCTTTACTGCTACCAACTTATAGAGAAATGATGATCAGCGGCAAAGCTAAGGACCCTTCTGCCATGAGTGCCCCCAGGTCGAATCTGAGAATTGAGGCGCTCAGGAATGCAACCCATTCCCAACTTCAGCCCTGGCGTGAGGCTTCTACCAACTAACCACTTCGGCATCTTAGCATAATGGAAGCCAACCAGGTATTCGGCAAGTTCCATATCGGAATCTCCGTATCTGCTCCAGGCCCAACAGAATGGATGGTTGTACTTGTGATACGCTTCACAGCGCCAGATGAATGCAGGGGTTTGGTCAGCCTGATCAAATCTGCAGCCACTGCCGAAGTGCCACAAAGTATCTTAGATTTGATCTCGATTAAAATGCTGTGCAACCCTCCCCTGTCCCTTTTTCTCCTTTTTGACTGCGACGTGCATTTCACCATGACGCTCAACGGGCGGTTTCTTCTTCTGGGGACGTTATGCCTGCTATACGATACAGCAGCCGCCCAGACCTTCGGCTCTGTTCTCACAAGTGCGCCAAAATGTGCTGTCAGTAGCATAAACGCGCAACCCGACAAATAGATCGCTGATGGTGCTTAGGTCGACTGCCTAATCGGGCTTATAAGCCAGAAGGAATATGCAGAGATGGGACAAGACGCGATTTGCCATAGCAAGCCGTTTGCGAATGCGATTGGGGATTGCTTGATAGCGGAGTGCTCGATGAGACAGACCATGGGTGAGTTGTTCGGGCTTGTACAGTTGGGGAAGCTGACATGTGGGAAAAAAGACTTCATCAAAGAGTCATCGTCAGTATGCGGGACGCCGCCGATCAATCTGACGCGGGAATACCGATTGAGCAGTAGTATCATATTTGCTATTGCTCTTGTATTCTTCGCTTTACGAATTGGCACCCAAGTCAAATTGGGACTGATATGGGGAATGGATGATACCCTAACCACTCTATCGGTTGTAAGTCATCAGCTTGACCCTTTAACTGCGGTGATTCAACAATAACTTACACTGGCAGGCCTTCTTGATTCCTTTTTACGTCGTATTACAGATCAGTTAGTACCATGCCTCATCAACACTGAAACACATTGCTGACGTAGGTTGTTAGTGATTTCGCTGGGGTTGGGCCTTGATATGTGGTTTCTCACTGATAGGCAGATCATAATGACTTTCAAGGTAGGCAACTACATCTTGACTCTAGTTTTTGGTAGCAAGCTAATATTACCTGTCAGTGTTTCATAGTTATCGAGATCCTCTACTTGACTGCATTAGTCCTCGTCAAAGCAGCAATATTATGCTTCTTTCTCCGGATCTTTCCGGACAACAAGTTCAGGATAATGGTCAAATGCACCATGGTCTTCAACGTCTTAGTCGGAGTCGCCTTTTTCATCTATGTGTTCTTCCAGACACAGCCATTCTCGCTATTCTGGGAGGGTTGGCAGCAGAAGAAAGGCGATCTCATCATGGCTGGAATAACTCATTTTACTCTACCACACGCGGGACTGAATCTGTTGCTGGATATATGGATGCTTATCTTGCCGATGACACAATTGTGGGAGCTGGGATTGAAGCTTAGAAAGAAGCTTGGTGTCATCAGCATGTTTAGTGTTGGGATATTGTGAGTGCTTCAAAATCGTATCCCGATTTGTTGGCTAACAGTCTAGTCTCACCATTGTCGCTGCGATAAGAGTTCGCGAACTTGTAATTTTTCTACGCTCTGCAGATTTAACAGGTAGATACTTCAGACAACTTTTCAGGCTACAAGCTAACGGTTGCAGTCGTGAATGCACAATCAGCGGTCATCTGGTCTGTCGTGGAGATATCCGTTGGTGTCATGGTTGCCTGCATGCCTCATATTCGCCATCTCGTGAGCCATATAATGTCACGAAAAAGAGCAAGGAAGGGCACAGAAGCAAAACACAAGAACCGAAAAATCTTTGTCGATCGATCGCTTGCAGCTATCGATGTGGGGGACTCGCAGGCCATTGAACTGCACGATGAAGGTGGACTTTTAAAGGGAAATACGACAGCTCCATCAACGACAAGAGTTGGGACAAAAGACAGCAGAACCCATGGGTCAGTCAGCTTTGCAAGCGATGCAGATACTCAAGTGTAGGGTTTCATGATAATGACTCGAAAATAGACATAGAATAGAGCATTGACATGAATCGCGATGCAGTCATCGAGATGACAGTCATGATCGACTAGACTAGCAGGCATCGTGAAGTGTCAAGTGGGTTTTGCTGCTCGGTGAATTTTCTAGCGCCATCTGATAAGGCCATTACTCGCTACTGCAAGCACATGCACACCAGGAACAGATCCACAGTGGATTGATGATTGTGTCATTATATTTTTATTTACTTTATTTGTTTGGTATCGTCGAGTTCATTAAGAGAGCCATTTATCGGCAAGTGTATCCACCGTCAATGACAAGGTCAGAGCCAGTAGTGTATGTGCTAGCATCAGACAAGAAGTAGACATAAGCAGCCTTGAGCTCCTTAGCATCACCGTTGCGGCCCATGGGGATCATGCTCCTCCAGAGCTCCTGGGTCTCAGCGTCGATGAAGTCAGAGAGACCAGTGTCGATATAACCGGGGGAGATGCTGTTGACACGGGCGAAGTCGCGCCACTCGTTGGCGAGAGATCGGGCCATGTGGATGCAGCCCGCCTTGGCGACGTTGTACGAGGTCTGCTCTTGAGGGTAGTTGGCGATGTGGCCGGACATGGAGGCGGTGATGACGAAGGAGCCGTGGCCCTGCTTCTTGAAGAGAGCGCCGACGGCCTTGGCGCAGTAGGCGGTGCCGTTGAGATCGATCTGGATAACGTGGTCCCAGTCGGCAGCTGAGCCGTCGATGACACCAGCGTTGGCGGTAGCACCGGCGCTGCGATTGTTAGCACAAGTTCAATTGACTCAATTGGTGTACAGGGGAGACCTACTTGGCGACGAAACCGTCAATCTTGCCAAAGTCCTTGACAACCTCTCCAACAAATCGCTCAACATCATTGTAGTCGGCAGCGTTGAGCTTGTAGGCCTTGGCCTTGACGCCGTACTCCTTGGTGAGCTCCTCGACGTTCTTGTCGGCGCCCTCCTTGCGGGAAGCGTAGGTGATGGCGACGTCGGCGCCCATCTCAGCTGCACCGCGAGCAGCCTCGATACCCATGCCGCGGGGTCCGGAAGCGCCGGTAACGACGACGACCTTGCCCTTGAGGCTGAGGAGGTCGAGGATGTGGTTGGCCTTGGGGATTTGTTGAACCATTGTGAAGTTGTTTTGGGGTATTAAAAAAGAAGAAGATCGATGGAGGGGTAGAGAATGAAGAGGGGAGATGGAAGGGCAGATGCTAGACTATTTGTACGATTGTGTCTCTCAGATCATGGCGTGGTCCAAAATAAAAGCAGCAAGCCCAAAGAGCTGTAATGGAGGGATGGGTCCAGTGATGTCATGGAAGCAGAGAGACATCCAATGCTCCTTTGAGCTAAAACACCAAGGCGAGCGAAAAACGAGGGGCATCGGCGATTACAAAGAGAAGAGTATCCACTATCAGTCTCTCAATGGGTTGTCTGGAGCTCCGGATTTCCAGGGATCAATGCTGCAAGCCCCCCCATTTCGCTGTAACCGTGTTGAAAGACGCGTCGAGGGGTAGAAAGTCTGTTGGGTGAGTACAAGTCTCGGTGGGACGCATGAACCCATGTGAACTAACGCTTTCATGTCTTGTCTGGTAATTTTTTGAACCAATTGGCTTTGTATTTAATAGACTTTTGAGTGGTGAGACGTGTACATACATACACAACGAGAACGAGGCGGGGTGATAGCTTCTGCTTCTGCATGGGCCAACCCCTCTATCAGTCTACATCAATTGCAACAGCAACTGAATTGGTAAATGGATTCTGTCTTTGGTATTTCATCATTGATCCATAATTGAATCTTATATCTTGTCAAATACCACCGAGAATAGAGTCGGATGGAGTTTGGAGTGGATAAATCGAGCGTCATTCTCCCGTCTCGAGCTCTTCCTCTTCCTTGCTTAGAGCGCATCACGACCCCGCAGAACGGCCGGCTTCACCGCTCCCCATTTAGTTTAGTTTGCTGTGAGCAGCAACCTTGTTGGATTGGCTGGAGACCGCGGGATCAAGGCACCGGTGAAAATTAACGCGTCAACGTGTTCCGTGTCAGACGATAAATTGCCTTATCCCGGTCCGACAGAGCTACCCTAGATGAAATCGCTGATGATGAGTTATCATCACCAATGCTGACTGGACTACGACAAAAGTCCAGATAATACTGAGTAATGCTTATCGCGTATCATTAATACCAGAGTCATCAATTCTTGCAGGTGTAATTGTTCATGTAATGCTTATCACACAGACCGAGACAGAAAAGGAAAATGTTGTAAAAGAGGGGTTGCAGAACGGTCAAGGCACATCAAGCCACTTGTTGAGAAGATCACCCAAACAACATTCAATTGGACATGGAGAGCATCATAAAGCTTGTCTTATTTACGAGAGGTCTAATACAACCCTTGATGCATGCATGCACGCCCAGAACTAGACGTTGCCGCTTTAAATAAGGTATCGGAAATCCCGCTTCATCCTCAAAGCCTCGTCGGGGCTGTCCATGACCTCGACGGCCGCCGTATGCGCAGCCACATCCTGGCGCGTCTCCCAAGCATTGGCCTCTCCCCTCTCGAGCTTTTTGTTGAGGTCAATGAGCACCAAACGGAAGATGTAGCATCCAACAACTGTGACGCCAAACATGGACAGGACAATTCCGTAGCTCTTGCGGTACCCGTTCTCTTTGAGGTCCCAGACGTAGGAGCCCGCGACGTTGCCGAGCTGGCTGAAGGCGTTGATCATTGCGATGGCAACGGCGCGCTTGGCGGGTGGACGGGGGAATGAGGAGCTGATCCACGAGTAGAAGACGATGAAGCCAGCGTAGGAAGCTGCTTGGAGGAAGAGGGCCAGGTAGCGCGCTGCGACGTTTTCAGTCGCCATGCTGATGATGAAGCCAGTCGTGCCGATACCAATTGGGCCGACAATGTGCCAGAACTATTTACTGTTAGTACAATTGCGCGACATGACAGATAATTGAACTGACCTTTTCTTGGGTTCTATCAGAGTGCCAAGCGTTGATGACCGAGACAATACAAGAGAACACCCACGGAGGAGCGCTCATCAAAAGAGTAGGCACGTAACCGAAGCCAAGAGTCCCTGTCAAACTGGGCTGTTCAATTGTTAGCGATGCGCATGCGATTGACATCAATTGACTTACGAAGAACGCGTTGAACGAAAGACCAACGACATAAGCAGTAAAGGTCAACATCATGATGTAAATCTTGAGATCCTTGACCGCAAGCTTAAGACCGTAGAATGCGCTCTCCTCAGCAGAATCCTCATCAGCCTCTCCAACATCCTCAATCATACGAAGCTGTGCGACCTGTCGCTCTTCCTCCGTAAAGCCTCGGGAGTTATGAGGTAAATCGGGAAGAATAAACGCAGCGGAAATGGCAATGCTCATTGTAATAGCGCCTTCAATCCAGAACAGCCATCGCCATGCTGCGTGGCCGAGAACGCCCTGCATGTTGGACAAGACGCCTGCGCCGACAAGCGCGGAGAAGGCGTTGGAGATGAGGTTTCCGCAGAACAAAATGGCGTTGCGCTTAGTCAATTCGCGTCGCGTGTACCATTTCGACAGAATCAGAAGAGCACCAGGCAAGAAAGCAGCTTCCACGAATCCCAAGAAGAATCGAATGCAGACCATGCCAGCGAAGTTATGAACACTACCCGACAACGTCGAGATAAGACCCCACAGCAACATCGCCGCAGAAATATACAGCGACGGCCGCTGGATGCGATTGATGAACATATTCGAGGGTACCTGCATGAGGATATATCCCACGTACAAGATACTCAAGCAAGTCGCGTACTGGTTATAGCTCAGGTTCAGATCCTCTTGAAGACCTTTGAGACGTGCGGCAGCCATGTTATTGCGGTCGAGGTAGTTCATGATGTAGATGAGCACGAACAGGGCGCATCGCGTGTCGAGCTTGCGCTTCATTCGCTTCTCGACGACTTGCCGGTGGACAGAGTCCATTGCGAAGGTGTTTGCGGCGCGGGATTCGGGGTGCGATTCGACGCTGAGTTTGGCCGAGGCGACATGGTCGTCTGGCTTTGCTTGATCCGCCATGATGGTGATTGATCAAGACTTGGTAGGTGAACTAGAGAAATAAACACCGTGAGCTACCAGTCTCACGCAAACAAACAACACCTGGAGAAACAAACCTCAGGCGGGCATATTGAACCCTTTTAAGAATGCACAGGCGCTGGTAAAATACCGGCTGTGTGCAACGGTGTTACATCATCGAGCAGCAATTATGGTGTAGCGCGGAGAAAGACAGTCGCCAGAGTATGGAGAATATGGGGAAGAGAGAAAGGGGGCAAGGGTTTATCCGCGTTGCTTAAACCTGATTAGGCGACTATCACGGGTTCCCCAGAGGTTGACAGTCACCCTCGCTTGAGGCAAGATTTTCTGAGCCGGTTGTTGCAGAATGCAAATTTGAGTGTCACACTTATGGTGTGCAAGGACCTATGGTTATGATGGTGGAGTGGTGGTGTAGATCTTTACTTTTTGGAGAGGGGGATGGAAATGGGACAGAAAAATGAGATAGAGGCTGAGATTAGGGAGGCTGCGCTAAATCTACACAAAATGTAAATACTACAGAAAAGATAGAGGAGATTTAATAGTATAGTGATTAACAGTACAGTCAGTATAAAAGACACAGGAACTGATGGGGCCAAATTGTGACTGCTCCAACAAACACAGCCCATCTCACAATTCTGTCCTCCACACGCCTCCAAACATTGCAACGTTGGAGAGAATGCGGAGACTCCGCAAAAAACAAGAGTCAAGTGAGGGGAACTGAAGAGCGAAAGCCCGTGCAAACCCCGACTACCAGTAAAAAAAAGGCCCGAATGCTTTTCCACGGTAGACATGTCCGGAATTACTGCTTTCAGAGCCGAAAATCGACTGACTCGCAAGGCAGCAGCATTAAATTCCTGCCCGTGGGGAAATGCGTGGGGGTCTTGTCATTGGGGAATAGCGTCTGGAGTAAGGGGTTCCGAGGCAGAGATTTCTAGTGTTATTAATTTTGACGGGGTTGGATGGGGCTCAACAACGGGAATTATCGGTGTGAGAGAGAGTCGGGTAATGATAAACCCAATTCCAGGGACATGGCCGTGGAACTCGGCAATAAGAGGGTGACAGTTACCCCCATGGTCGGTAATTGACGTTGGAGGTGTTGATGATCGTTGGTCTTGGTGTTGGAGATGGTGATGCCAAGATTGATGGAACGGTAAGCGGAAGACAATTCTACGGCCTTGGCGCATGGAATTTTTCTAGAAGAAATTGAGATCACCTTAGAATGGAGGTTCTTCACGGTGGATGTTCATTGAACGGTGCTCTCATTGGCGCCGAAGTTGCTGGTGTTCACCTGATTGCAGACATCAAACGCGACGCGCAAGGTACAGTGAATGTTCATAAATTGTATTTGTTCAAAGAAATGCCATGCGCATATCGCGCTCATCTATCGCTATGCTCTATAATCACTCAAAAACACATCTCACCCATTACTCCAACCGTCCAGCCTCACTAGTCTCATCCCTCGACTGCTTCAAAAACGGCACAAGCGTCGTGCCCCCGGTCCCCGTTAAATCCTCCCCATTCTTTTTGGACGAACTACTCGCCAGATTCTGCGGTCCATCCTTCCTGCCACTCCTCGCCGGCAGAATAATGTACCGCGTCACAATCTGAATGTGCTTGTTCCTAAATACAGTGAGCGCCTCAGTAGCAGCTGTAAAGGCATTCTGCAGACGTTCTTGTGCAGCCGTGCTGGGTGTTTGCATCGCTAGTTCGCGAATACTGCCCTTGCGAGCAACGTGTGTGAGGAACCGGCGGTGAGGACCTGGCATGTAGTCCTTTACTATGTCGTGATAGCTTCGCTCGCCTTGCTTTTCGGTGTTGTTGCCGCTGGTTATGTGCTCTACACCGAGTACGACGTCGAAGAATTGAATCAGGGAGCTTTGGCCGTTACTTCCGCCGCGGAGATGGCGCCATTCGCCTTTTCCATTGCCTTCATCGTAGAAAACACCTTTTGGTAGACCAGCTGCTTCCATGTTTTTACTCCCAGCCAAGAACGGTCGGATCTTGTAGTAGAACGTCATGGGATCGCACTTCTCGTACATGCGTTCTAGTAAAACACCGACACTATCGATACAAGCCTTGAGTTGTTCGAGAGCAGAGATAATAACGTCGTAGTCTCTTGTCTTGACAGCTTCAAGAGCTTCCATCATTTTGGGAATGATGGTTCCGGCTCTGGCCTCCATGGCTACGCTGATGAGGAGGAACCATTTTTCTGACTCTGTTCCGGTAAAGGTATGTAGGGTATCAAGTTGGTCAAGATCAGTGAAATCGTCGCCTGAACAGGAAAAGTTCCATAGGTTTGCAGCGGCGTATGAGAGAACGGGAGGGAGTTCGAGATGTTTTGAGACGGCGAGGAAAGGGACGGTGATTTGCGGGGGCAGAATCTGACACTGTTAACATCCACAACACATTAAAGTATGGAGTTTTAAGCTTACCTGTGCAGGCTTCTCTCCACCCCAAACATAAGCATGCGTCAAGAAAGCCAAGATGGAATACGCCCTCCTCCACTCCGCCTCAGACCTCAATCTCTCCGTCGACAGAACAGGAAGTGTATCAACAGCGCGTCTTATATCAAAGTACTTGATTAGAGCAGGAAGATGCTGAATAACAAGCTCCCAAGGCTCATAGTAAGAATCAGGTAATTGTTTCAGAGGGCTGTGCTCGGGGAGGAAAGCGTTGCTCGTTACGGCGAACTCTTTTAGTTCGGCTGTGAGCTTGATGCGCGGAAGTTGGTACGTAACAGCGTGTGGCGACATTTTTGAGTTCAATTCTTTAAAAATAGACAATGCAAAGAAGCTTGATGGAATTGGTAAAGAAGATGTATAGTATCAATTGTTTAGAAAAGCATCAGTCTAAAATACAATTGCTCAAACCATGGGGACAATTTCTTGTTTCCTCACTTCCGTCTTCCGTGTACTTGATCTCCGTCTCCGGCCTCCGTAAAGCTTCTCATCCGATCCGTGTTGTGCCCGCGTGACCAATCGCTGTTTTTCACTATATCTAAAATGGATAATGACGTCCACCATGCGGATGTCGGGATGCGGATGTGCGGATGGACCAACCAACTTCCGTGCTTCCGCTAAAATTCTGGTGGAGGCTTCACGGAACATAAAGTGATTTCGCAATCCCATCATACGAGTTCAATCAGCCTCTGCTACAATCAGTTCATTACATCACGTTTGCTTACAATTTGCATTACATACAATGGAGCTTTCCGGTTTTGTCGAGCGTTTGCGTAGCGGTGCTGCTGCCAAGTTTCCCAGTGATGCTAATTCTTTGGACTTTGCCCGCCATTTGGATTCGCAGGATAAGCTAAGCCATCTTCGGGATGAGTTTGTTCTGCCTACCAAGAAGTCCCTCAAGAAGAAAGCTCTCGATGGATCACTTCCTTGTGAGTACGCCCTTCTCCCAGAGAATATTTTGACTAATTGTTTTAGCTGGTGCAGTCAATGGCACAAATGGTCACAGTAACGGCCATAGTAACGGCTCAACAGCTGATGATCAACAATGCCTCTACTTCGTCGGCAACTCTCTCGGCGCTCAACCAAAAGCCGTCAGAGAATATCTCAACGCTCAACTCGAGACATGGGCTTCAATCGGTGTAAACGGTCACTTCAGCGCCCTCGGCAACTCGCCACTTCCAGCATGGCAAGATCTCGCAGAGGACTGCGCCATCAAATCCTCAGACCTTGTCGGTGCTTCTCCTCACGAGATTGTCATCATGAACACCCTCACAGCAAACCTCCACCTTCTTATGGCGAGCTTTTACAAACCGAATGAGAAGAGACACAAGGTTATTCTGGAGTGGAAGCCTTTTCCTAGTGATCATTATGCTATTGAGAGTCAGGTTGTTTGGCACGGTCTTGATCCGGAGAAGAGCATGGTTAAGATTCATCCTAATGAGGATCATATCATCACTACGGATTTGATCCTGTCGACGATTGATGAGCATGCTGAGGATACTGCTCTTTTGTTACTCCCTGGTATTCAGTACTACTCTGGTCAATTGTTCGACATTCCCCGTATTACAGCGTACGCTCAAGCCAAGGGCATTGTCGTCGGTTGGGATCTCGCTCACGCAGCTGGAAACGTTGAGCTGAAGCTTCACGACTGGAACGTTGACTTTGCATGCTGGTGCACATACAAGTACATCAACGCAGGCCCCGGTTCCATCGCAGGTGCTTACGTCCACGAGCGTCACGGCAAAGTTGAGTTCAAAGACGATTCCGGCAAAGCTACATACCGCCCCCGTCTAATGGGCTGGTACGGCGGCGACAAGAGCGTCCGCTTCAACATGGACAACAACTTCATCCCCACAGCCGGCGCAGGCGGCTTCCAGCTCTCCAACCCCTCCGCCATCGATCTCGCCAGCTTATCCGGCGCCCTATCCGTGTTCAACAAAACAACCATGCACGATCTGCGCTCCAAGGCTCTCGTGCTGACAGCCTACGCTGAGTATCTACTCGACCAGATCCTCGCTGAGTCATCAGATTCTGAGCTTTTCCGCATCATCACACCGAGAGATCCTCTGCAGCGAGGAACGCAGCTTAGTGTGTTGTTGAAGGATGGGCTTCTGGATAATGTTAGTGCGGCGTTGGAGGAGAATGCTGTGATTTGTGATAAGAGGAAGCCGGGTGTTATTCGGGTGGCGCCTGTGCCGCTGTACACGAGGTTTGAGGATGTTTGGAAGTTTATGCAGATTTTGAGGACGGCTTTGCCTTAGATGAGAAGAGATAGATAATGATTGTTTAATGAAGCCTGATTAATTTGGTTACGTTTTGAGAATCTAGTGATGCCTATTGAAGAGGTTGTTGCGCCAGTTGATGCGCAATCATCCATTGCTGGAAGTTATCTCCGCATCATATCTTGATGCCCTTTCCCATGCACCGAACGACTGAACGGCACTGAAATCGCATGACACTGGCTTCTTTTCCTGGCATTGAGCCATATGATCTATCACATTACTTTTCCGCATATCATCGTCTTACTCGGCTAGACATGGCATTCCATAACCGAGGACCAACCATCTTATCTTCTGACGCGCAATCCTCATCGGATCTGATATCAAGAACATACCCGCCTGATCTGACAACTCCGAACTTCCGTACCTCCAGTAACTTCACCGATTCGTCGGTTTTATCACTGACGTTTCACAGATGATGCGTCAGATCAATACCACCTCCCGCATCCAACAACGCAAACAAGTTCAAAGCCGACCCCGAATCAGCCTCATTCCCCATCGGCCCGCCCCAGTAACTCGGATCAGGCGTCTGCATCATACTCTCACTCAACCCCAAAAACGCCGAATCCAAATCCCCAAACAGCGGCGATCCGACATTCTGTAACCCATTATGCTGTAAAAACGTCCTGTCTAGTGACTCACGCCCTCTAGAGGACGGGGTAGCGATTGAGTGGCCGGTAAAGGTGGGTGATGAGTCCATTGTGTCGGAGGGTATGAGACCGAAGAGTTGGCTGGAGTTTTCGGTACGGCGCTGACGTTCGGCGAGTTCGCGCTTTTCGAGATATTCGAGGGCAGTTGTTAGGAGGGATTGGGCTATGAGGGAGTATTGTCCTGCGTGGGTGTCGTGCTTGGAGCAGTGGTCTAGGGCGTGGATTGCCATGCGGGTGTATTTTTCGAGGACTCGGCCGAAACCACCGAGGAGGCCGACTCCTAGTACAAGAGAGCTAGCAAATAGCCATGATCTGTGACAGTTAGAACAAAGCGTGATCCATATGTTGAGGGGACTTACACAAGAATGGGAACATGCCCAACAAGAACCCCCTTCTGAATGAGATCCAATATCGGATCAACCATGAGACTCGCTGCATCAATACAAGCATCAGCTAACTTTGACTTCCCACTCGTCAAAGCAGATCGCCCATTCGAGTTGACCGAACCATCAGATAGTCGCCGACAAAGTTCGTACATGAGAAATGGTCTCGACACAAGCATGACGGCGTAATAATACGTAGCCAATATCTGACAAGCACCACTCGCTTGGGCTCTATCCTGAACTTCTGGGTTCGCGACTATATCTTTAAGCTGTTTTAACCACCGCGATGACCAATCTCGTAGTTGAAGTGATATTCCTTCCGTAAGTTGAAGCGACACTTTTCGTCTTGAGTAAATCTCCGTGACGACGCCCTCAAGCACCAAGAATATCTGCACGGATGCATTGAGTAGATCAACAGGTTCCTCGAGGTTTTCATCCGGGCTTTGATATGGAACCGTGCAATCAACGTCTGAAGTAGCAGGCGGTCGACCCATGGAAGAACTTAAAAAAAGATCAACGACACGTATACTCTTCCAAAGACGATCTCGCTGTCGGTGAATATCCGGTCCAAAACGCGCGTTGACTTCTGTTCTGTGAATGCCGATCGAGTAAGCTGCGCGTACAGCTGTTCCGAAGAAGAGAAATGCTCCGTTGATCTGGCATGAACAGAGCATGTATAGCGTGATCAGCGTGAACATCTGAACAGTTGAGACGCTAAGATTGCCGGTGAGGTTGGAGTATGCTTTATCGCGCGCATACTCAAAGTAATCCTGCGATCGCTCCTCATCGTTGATCTTCATCCCGATAGCCAAGACTAGAAAATTGACAACGGTCGTAGCATCATCTTGCTTCTGGTCCATATTCGCCCAGAGGATAAGATCATCTTGAAGTCGTCGATTATCAAACAGATCCACGAGTCCAGTCGCAATAGACAAGTAATTCGAGACCGCTAGAGGAACATCGTCTGGATGAACAATGGGTGTGCGGTTATCACCCGGTATCCGTCTCGATTGATGCGCCGTCGCATTTTCAAGAACCGAATATCGACTCGACTGCGGCGCAAAAGCATTCTGTCCAACTCTCGTGGTAACAAGTTGTCTCACGCTCTGAAAAAACGAAAGAGGCGCACAATCACCCACAAAGATTAACTTTCCCTGCGCATCGCATACCAACCTCGCCTCCCTCGGAACCTCGGTCTCATCCTCCGCATCAATCTGCGTTCCATTATCCCGCTCTCTCACAGGTTCAGCAGCAGGCGTAGAAGGACTAGTATGTCTCGTAGACTGCGCCCTCTCCGACCCCTGCGGTGATCTCACAGAGTGCGCTTTTCTCCGCCGCTGGGGAGAATAGTGACAGTCGTGGGGCTTTTGACGACGCGTGCAGTAGCTGCATGGTAATTTACCGTCGCATTTCACTTTGCGGGATTTGCATCCGTCGCAGGCGTTGGCGATGCGGCTGCGGATGTAGCGTTCTGGTTCTGAGGGTTGCATGCTATGCTATCAAGCGGTGTTATTTTTCGGTGAAGGGAGCGGAATCGGATGTGAGATTGTGAGGGAGGGCGGAAAACAACGGATGTTCGGACTTAATAATTGTTAGTGTAATCTCGGCCCGGCTTGAGATTCCGAGTCTTGGCTTCAGGTTGAGAAATGGGGAATAATATGAAACTCGACTCTTATCTCAAATGTGATTGATATGAGTTATTGTAAAGTTTGTTAGAGACGTATCGCTTCCAAAGGTTTGGCAAGGTGGTATTCGGTCTAAGTGATAAACCAATCGCGTGTGCATTTTGTGCATGTTCACATCCGACAAGACGGCACAGCGGCTATGTTCAACGGATCAGCACTACCATCCACTGGAACTGGCTCTCACTCACAACACGTCTAATTGGCCAGCCTCAACAGCTCTACTTCACTCAAAGGGAAAACAGCAACATATCACTAATGTTTTTCATTCATTCTTCTAAACTCAGCGACTTTTCTTCTTTTGAGTTCTCTGCTAAGGGCTATTGTGAAGTTCCCAGTCGCCATCGCATACAATTGTCTCAATTCCTTAGATGAGTACCGTCCAAAATCGCATCCAGCCTTTTCCACTGAGCCAATCTAAGCAGCACTGGTCCTCTGCCTCTTCGCGCCACCCTCACCATCTTCGCTAGCCTTGCGCTTCACACCAACCTGAGCGCCTGTCTCGTACATTTTGGCTCTGGCTTCAACACCACGCTGTAGCACTTCTCGTCGCTCAGAGGCCTGTTCATCATTGAGCGCTGCCCGTGCGTTTTTCATCCCCTTGAACATCGGGAGTAGCGACTTTCTCATCTCTTTGGGTGTAAGTCTCAAATGGTCTTCAAGATAATCCGACTTATCGAATGCATCCCTGAAATGAAAACACAACTCTATAAGGATAGGCATGCTCTCGACCCAGAACTCTTTGTCCCTGGGATGGTGAAGCATCAGCTTCGCCACAATCGAGAAGACATTGCCAGGTTGACGCCATTCAGGGTCGTGATACTTGAAGTCGTGGCCTTTGAGATCGTATGTGACTACCCAGGCATAGCGATTGAAACGCTGATGCCAAGTGCAGATCTCGCGGACGACACCAGTCATCCATTCCGGGTGTTCAATCTTTCCTGAAAGCTGCATCGCCCACCTAGTGCAACAGACCCTCTCGATGACATCGTGATAGGTATCGGCGACCTTGAGCATGTGAAAGGTGGACGGCTTCTTCTGGTTGGTGCTGACCATGTTGTTGATGATCTTGAGCATGCGCTCTGGTTCAAGAGTCCAGTTCAACAGCAGTCCCTTTGTACAGCTTGTATGCATGTTGACGTACCTGATCTTGGTGTCCACGTTGGCAACGAGGATCTCCGAGCGGGAGGCTTTGTTCTTCCATTGGTTCATGATCTTGAATTGCTCCTCGGTAGTGTCTGAGGAGCGGATAGTGCCAACGTTGAAACCGGCTACGACGAACAAGGCCACAGCGATACTTTAAAAAGGTTAGCAATCTTGAAGCATTTGCATCATTCCAAGCAGGACTGCCCGAAACAAGGGAAACATGTGTGCTTACCACTGAATCCATGGATCTTCGACATAGACAACAAGACGTTCCTTGTCCTCCCTGCAGTACTTATATGCCAACTCAAGGGCTCGAGTCATGATCGGATTATAATAGCAAACCCAGCGAATGCAGTCAATCCTCTCAGTTGGCGCATGCCTGGTCTCGTCATCTGTGGTCTAGTTGTAGAGTAAACGTAAGCCACAGCTCTGGTCATCGAGAAGCAGTTTATACGTGTCAACAAGGTGGGCCACTTCAGAACTCCCACGTTCCTTGATCCAATCTTCTTCAATTTCCGGATTGAGAAGCTGCTTCATGACAGCCTTTGCCGTAGCAACAGTAGCCAGAAAGGGGGGTTCCTCAAGTTCGAGAACTATCTTGTTCCGCCAGTCGAACGAAATCAAGACCGCCTTACGGTGTTCCGGCAAGTTCGAATTCGGACGACTTTCATGTCCTGGTGATTGCCCGTAACCCAAATCGACGAGGATCTTGCGTGATGACTGGTTAACCTCTGAGTTTGCTGAGACTATGATGGGTTAGTGTTCAGGTAGAAGGCTAAGGAATAATTCCAAGCAGGTTTGCGTGGGAGGATCATCAAGAAGAAAGCCCCTTACATCCGAATGGACATTTGATCAGATGCTTCATGTCCAATATTGCAAGATCGAAAGGGACTTGTGTCTCGTGCTTCGTGGATGTGGAGAGTAAAGACTCAAATTCGGGCTGCATATGATGTTCAAGGAGGAAATGAAGCTCTTTCCGGAGCTTATCGAACGAGATCGGAGGTGATTCGGGTTCGCCCGAGCCCCGGAGGCGCTGTGAGAGACTTTCCGATGGACGTGTAGTTATAAAAGATTCCAACAACAAGGTGTTGATCCTGATTGTACTGAGTCCCTCAATGGTTTCCGTTTCATCGACACTTTCAGGTGCGTCTGCATCTTCATCTTCATCTTCATCGGACTCATCGGATTCGTTGTTGTCCGTCACAACGTCAACTCCATTGACTGGTGCATGCTCATTCGGCACAGCAGGTGCAGTTTCGATCCTGGGAGTAGGAGGTCCATCATCTTCAGCGTCAGGGCCAGAATGCCCTGAAAAGCCCGCGTTCAGGTTGTTTGGGGCGTTGCCAATCCAAACCGAGCTTCCATCTCGTCGTTTGATCAGATAGTAGAACAGTAGAATTGCCCGACGAACGTTCTTCGTACAGAGCCGATCGCAAACATCTCCGTCCGGATCATAACCGAAACCAAGGGTGTTGCAAAAGGGAAATCGATGGGGGTATTTATGGTCTCTGGAGTATTCACATTTTGGATCCCACTTTTGAGCGGCAAAAAGCATGATTTGAATGGCATGTGACGGGACGAACGCCTCTGGGCATATTTTGTTACCTTGTCTCTTCGAGACAGGCTTTGAGATATGCTTATTTAGAGCCGGGATAAAGGTAGGGCTGGTGCAAAGGCATGCAATTTCGTTGACAAATCTCCGGATCCTTGGGTTGTTTTCGTAGGCCGCGAGGATAGTAGCTGGGCTGGGCATGTCTGTTTTGTTGACATTGCCTTTATAGCGCTCAATTGCGGTCTTGAGATCAGTATAATAGCCCCGCATCCGGCTTTCAAACTTGAACTCCTGCATCGTAGGTTGAACCCCGGCTTTCGAAGCCCCTGAGGATAACTTGTTGATGTCATCAGCCACGATTGAAGGCTGAAAGCAATTAAAGGCAACCAGAGCTGCAGTTTGAACAATATCCGGAACTAGATTCGCGCACATTAGTAAAATTTCTGTGCAGGTTTGCAGGAGTTACGGACTCACTGATGATGTCAACGTAAGAGTTCAAATCCTTTTCGCTCCCAAAAGAGCAATATCGAGACAAGGAAGCAGGGGAATCCATGACAGACGGCCGCTCATGGTCGACCAAGGAATCAGGGATATCTGCAACTAGTCCACTAATTCGTGCAGCATTCTCATGGTGAACGTCGTCATAGTTCATATGTTGATCAATCCAGGCGGGGGTTCCGGGAAAAGTCAGAATGGGATGCTGTTTATTGACGTCCAAGATACGCATCAAACTCTTGAAGTTGCGATGATGCTTGGAAATCCTTTCCACTTTTGCGGGGTCAAATAGCGGGACTAACATTGCTCTCTGTAGCTGGTGCCATCGTATTAGGGAATAAAGGGGTCCCCTAGAAAGAGGATGTTTGGATTGCCACGATTCCAAGCAGGGCTGCTCAAGTTTGCGAATTCTGTCAACAATAAGAGTCCTGTAGTGCCGACGTCGATAATTCTGCTCAGAGCTGCTTGGAATTGGGTATTCGTGGTCTGAAAAGTCAGCGAGGACGAAGCTACCGAGGACTTTGAGTGCGACGTCTGAGTGTCGCGAATCTGAAAAGAAACCCCGGAGTCAATGAAATTGATGAATCCGAGCACGACTGCCCGGAATTATGTATGCTGAGCCCTAGCTCAAGTGCAAAGTCGTATTCGTTGCCGGAGCCGCCGAAAGTCGCCAAAGTTAACGATCCCAAGAAGACTTGCTTGAAAAGGGGGCCGCTGGTCACAACTCCGAACAGGTGTGTCTGAATAGAGTGCTAAAGTAGCCCAAGAGGGGTGATGAAAGGGAAAGAAGAAAGGAAAGAGAAGTCGAAAGCGAAGAAGAGATTATATACCCAGGGCTCGGGTCAGGTGAGCTCGGGGCTTTGGCATGTCGAAAGAGTGAAGATATCACCATTCGTTGTTGAAAGGGAAGTCTCCGAAGCTTGGTGTTGAGCAGAACACAGAACCTAGATATGCCCAAGCGTGCAGTTTAATGTCGTAATCGCTCAACAAACATATTTTGTGAAATTTCGTGCTACTGAATTACTTTGCCTAAGTCAGTATCTCTATAATGTTAACAGCAATGGTAATGGACTGTTGGAAGGAAGGTTAAGCTCCATTTAAGTCTGAGTGGACTCCCAAGGGTCCTATCGCTTCTGAACCGAGAGGAAAAGCAATTAAATTGATCGGAGTCTTTTCTTATTATCTAGCGAATATATGTTGCTGTTAGGTTGTACATCACAATCTGCCACGTCATTCAGCATAATCAGGGTCTATGAACAAATCATATTTACCAATAGTTGGAGGAAAAATGAACCGCACAAGACGTTGCTATCTTATCTAGTGCCTTGCCTGAGATGGTCAATTATCCGATACCAATACACCCGAATAAGAAAGACAACAAGGGCTAAAGGGAAAGTAGTCACAACGAATATCTAGGTCTTAGGAGATGATTGAAAGTACCCTTCGTCTGAGAGGTTGAAACAATTCATATCACAGAAGCTTGACGTAGCCGTCGCTGGATGTAAGACCATGGTCAGTACCGCGATGATCTTCATACTGGCACTGTCGTCCTTTGTGTCGAGAGCAATGTTAATGTGAGTCTCACTGTCTTGTTGAGTGACGGGCTTGAAGGCAAGGTCCATGGCGATGTCCTTCTGCGATTTGTAGCTCTGAAGCCGGCACTTTTGGGAATCAAGTGAGTGATTGGACTAGGTAATCAATGGCATAGCCGGCGTTACTATCTCTGAAGCCTGAAAGCTTTTGACTGAAGGACAACTCTTCACCGTTAACCTTTGGAGCACTCTCGACCTGACTGTCGTCTTGCTTTGGTGACTCTGCTACTGTTAACCCGTAGATCGTTATGGGCAAGTTTCCCGGGTCTGGTAGACTAGCCACATCTTGCATTACTAATGACGTCTTCTCGGGATTAGATTGCTTGTGTGACTTATCTCGTTCTTTTAATACTTAACTTAAATAAATATTAAGAAGCTATTATATTAAACTAGACTTCTGTTATAATAGCCTGCTATAGAGGGTTTTTTTATTTAAATTATTAATAAAAAAGCTAAAAAGCTAAATAGCCTTTTTTAAGGTTAAAAGTAAAAAAAGAAAAAATTAATTTAAGTTTTTATTATAATTAATATATATTAGGCTAGCTTTAGTAAAAAGGAAAAAGTTAAAAAGTTAATTTTAAGACTTAAAATAAGGGACTTAATTTATTAAAGTCCTTTTTTATAGAAATTTATTTAAAAAGTAAATTTTATTATTAAATAATAAATTTTATATAAATTTATAAAGGCTTAATAAGTTATAAGATAATAAAAAAATTAAAAAGATTTATAAATAAAAAGTAAAGAAATTATTTAATATATCTTTATTACTTATTTTATAATATTAATTAATATTTATTATATAACTATTTCTAAGTTTAATTAATTTATAAATAAAAGAGGGCTAAAACTAAGTTATTAGCTTATTTACTATTATTTCTTATAATATATTTAATTATTAAAACTTAAGATTTATACTATATAAAGGCTTATATATTATTTTATTATAAAATAAAATATTATAAAAGTATTAAATTATATTATTTAAAGGCCTAAGAATATATTTATATACCTAGAGTTATTATAATTAATTTAAAGTTAAGAGTAAAAAAATATAAAAAGTTAAAGCTATAATACTTTTTAAGATAAGGGGCAGAATTTATAATTTATAAATAATTAACAATTTAATAAATTAATACCTTTTAAAGTTATATTACTTTAAGGTTATATCTATTTATTAAAACTGTTATGCCGCTTTATTAATTCCTAAATATAAATATCTTTAAGTAACCCTTCCCTTAATAGTCGAGATATGGTTAAGTTTACCTTATTTACACAGATCGTCATGCAGGTGCTAAGTGATGGAAACTCAAGAATTTGGAAGTGCATTCTTAAACAAATACAATAGGGCACGAGAAATATAGATACATAGAGTAACCATGTACAAGAACGTAATACAACAAGGAATGAGCCGTCAATGCCAGTTGGACAAGCCTAATATCAGAACAGCACCACGCATACCCACGTTACCAGCAATCGTGGCCTCCCTCTTCAAACTATCCAGCTTCGCAGTCTTCTCATCCCTTCTCCGAGTCTTCCCAAGTCAAATATGGCTTAGTAAACAGTGGGCCAGCCATTGACATAACGGATCTGGTTAATGCCAAGCTGGGCGATACCAGCGGCATTGTAATAATGGTAGACCAACACATCGCCATCCTTATCGGTGAAAACAGCGGGGTGGCCGGGTCCGTGGATATTGCCATGACTAGCGAGAAGTTGGTTTCCGCCGCCTTGCATCATAGGCTTTCCAGTGCTGTCGGCATAGGGGCCTGTGACCTTTGAAGCGCGGCCAACCATGGTACGATAAGTACTCGCGGTTCCCTTGCAACAGCTGTCGAAAGCCGCCCAGAGATAATAAAAGTTGCCATGCTTGGTAATAAAAGGGGCCTCAATAGCTCCACCATTCTGAGGACGAGCGGCGATAGACATGAGGTTATTCTTGTTGATGGGCTTTCCAGTCTTAGGGTTCAACTCAGTAAGCTTGATACCAGACCAGAAGGAGCCAAATGTAAGCCACCACTTTCCGTCCGAATCGACAAAGAGGTTAGGATCGATAGCGTTGAAGTTGCTGTTATCGAAGGATTCCATAACAAGACCCTGGTTGGTCCATGAGCCAGATGCACCAGTTTTACTCGTGGCGAGGAAGACAGCTGATCGAGATGTACCAAAGCTGGAAGCTGAGTAATACATGTAGTATTGGCCATTGTGATAGGACAGATCTGGCGCCCACAAGTTCCTGTCGCCCTTCGTGTAAGGGATAGTCCAAGAAGCACCGTTAGGGAATGCAGCGCCGACATCGCGCCATGTAGTGCGGTCAGAAGACACCTTGAGGCCAACACCGTTGGACGTGAAAGCAGCGAGATAGGTGCCGTCGGGCTTCTTGACTACCGTAGGGTCATGAATAAAGGTATCGCCTCTGACTGGATCTGGGTTGACATCCGCCCTTGCGAAGATTGAGTTTGCCATTGCGCCGAAGGCGAGCATGCTGCCAACGGCAAAGGTGCGTAGGGATACCATGTCGGGATTTGGATTTCGAAGTCTGCCTAAAAGGATGTTGGGGAAGAATTGCCGCTGGGTTAAACTGGATTGTCTTGATGTCAGGCTCTGCAGCGTATTTATCACATTTTGCATATTCGCCCCCCTCCGCCCTCTCCCTGTCGAGTTCTGTCCAGGCTACGACGGCTCACCCTGCTTTGACCGCTTAATACTCCCGTCGGTCCTTAGGAAATGAGTTTCTCCGCTCTGCCTCAGTTCAAAATGCCTTTTGGGGGGTGGCTCTAGTTCCTTGCTGACTTATCCAGGTCCTTAATATATCGACTTTAAGACTAGGGGTTGGCGGAGAAACTTTACCCTTGACAATGTTGCTACTCGCTACTAAGCAATATTAACATGTTACATTCGGCCTCGTGTTGCCGGAAGCGCCCCAATAAAGTTAAATACGATGCCTCAAGATCAGGTGACCAACCCAAAGAAACATGTCCAATACCCCGAGTGCAAGTATAAAGATGTCTGACTATTATAGATAAATAGCTGTAAATTGGGAATATTTACTTTTTCTGTTTAGTCTTTTCAAAAATCGCTCCTTCTGAAATCCCCAATTCTTAACAATGAAGATATCAAATCTCATCAGCGCAAGCCTCGTGGCTCTGCTGTCTAGTATCAGTTATGTTCAAGCAGCAACTTACTCCAACCCATTGGAACCCAGAAATGGTGGCGATCCCAGTATCGTCTGGCACGCAGGCTGGTATTACATGACATCGACCACTTGGGGCGATGTCCGTCTTAGAAGGGCAAAAACCCTGAACGGTCTCAAGACTGGAGAGTCAAAGATCATTTATCAGAGCAATGAGCCCAGCAGATGCTGCAATGTTTGGGCTCCCGAATTGCACAATGTTGGCGGAACGTAAGTTTTACATTACAGTCCATGTGCGGGTAGCTGTACTAACCATTACTATTCAGATGGCATGTGTATTTCTCTGCTGGAACCCGAGCCAATACCAACAATCAGCGCTCCCAAGTCCTCAAAGGTATGTCCATTCTATTACTACCATCCGTGGCTGCGGCATGAAGCTGACTACTCATACCAGGTGGCACCAACCCATGGGATGAATTCAGCTTTGCCGGCACACTCAACACGCCAAACTGGGCCATTGACGGCACCCGGCTCACAATCGACAACAAAAACTATTTCGTCTACTCGTGTTGGAGATCTGATACTGGAACCAACCTTCAAAGTCTTTGTATTTCATTAATGTCCTCACCTACGACTCTCACCGGCGGAGAGTTCCTCCTTTCATCTCCCACCGCCGACTGGGAGAGGTTCGGAGACTTCCCAGTGAATGAGGGGCCATTTGCTCTCTACCACGGAGGAAAGACGTTCATTTCATTCTCCGCGTCCTTTTGTGGATCTCCGCAATACAGTCTCGGATATCTCACGTACAGAGGCAGCGGTGACCCTCGTCAGAAATCCAACTGGAAGAAGTCAGGTCGTCAATTCACTGCTGCCAACGGAAACTTTGGAACAGGTCATAACTCGTAAGTAATCACTGATGATTTCGACTCGTCATCTTCGGGGGTAGTTCAAGGCTGACAATTTCCAACTTCAAACAGATTCTTCATTTCGCCCGACGGAAACGAGACTTGGATGGCCTACCACTCCACTCCCAACGCAGCTGGAAGCTGTGGCGACCGCTTCGCCAATGCAAAGAAGATTGACTGGAACCCAGATGGCTCTCCCAAGCTCGGGTCAGCTCCTGCCGCTAACCAGAACCTTGCAGGTCCTCGCGGTGAGTGAGCCTGCATAGATTATGTTTCTGGAAACCTCCTTCGTCTTCGGCTCGCCGAAAGAATATGTGCATCTGCTAGCTCTAGAGGGACTTGGTAGGGAGTTACAGGAGTGAATTTCTTGATATGGCAGACTGATGCTTTCAACAAGCTGAGGTAAAACTTTTATTTCTAGTCGTTCAACACTCCTGGAGCTTCTATTTACATTATTCTGCATTAAGTATAAGTTATATACTTTGAAATTTATATTATTATGCATCAACTATATATACCTTGATATGTCTGCGCATGTGATTAAAGCAATACATTTTTATATAGGTATCTAAAATACTGGCGCTTTATCAGACCAAGAGCCAACGACACTGGCTAAGATTGAGTTTCGATATCTAAAAAATCTTCTGCATCCATCAAGATGACCTCACGCTGATCTTGTCTCGATTGTGGCATACTAATGCTTGCTACCGATCGACCCGTTTCAGCTCCGATGCCGATTATAGAACGTCTTTTCCGACCCAATAACAGGTTTAACAAGTTCTAAAGCACCTATGGAGCTCGAATAAACTTTGCTGCACTTGCGTTTCTGCCCTGGTATTCCCCGCCGGAATGATAGTAATCCTTCCGCTCTAACAAGCATTCACGATGGAGAAAAGGGAGTCAGTCTGGAGAATAGTACTTGTTGATAATTGAGTTTTAAATAAGGTTAAGGAATAGAATCAAGAAATTACAAGGTAAAAAAAATCCAATCTGGCCAGACATGCATAAACACTGATCGCAGATAGTATTTTCCCCAAGGCCGATGCCAACCTTCCCACTTCCGTACATAGCAGCGGCATATCATTCTTCTCCCTCCTGTGCTGGCCGTGTCATGTTGCTTAGGGGTACTTAGCCTGAAGTCTGTTGTATTCAGCTTGGGTGAGGGGAGTAACAACACCATGCTTCAAACCACGAGGGAAACCAGCAGCATTGGATTGCGCAAAAATGCCTGGTTTGAGGATGTTGGTGGTTTGGAAAGGAAGGTATTGGACGTAATCATCCATCCAGAGATGGTATAAGTCGGGGTTATTGTTATCTCGGAACGATAAAGGACCTTCACGGGGAGACTCATTTCGGACAAATCCAGGGTTGCGGGTCCAGGTTCCAAATAGACCACCCGTGGTTCGCTCTTGAAACACTTGGTTAGTTCTCTCGTCCTTGATGTAACGAACAAAATGACCAGGGGTCCCAAGGTACTGGAATTCTTGGTCGATCACTGGAATGCCAGGGGCGTAATAGTCTTTGGGTGCACTGAAAGTAGCAAAGTCCTTGGTTGTTGCGTAGCGAATCTTATCGAGTCCCGCAAAACCAACATGGCCAGGATCGTTGGATGCGTAGTGTCGAGAGGCCCAGAAGACGTAGTACTGGCTAGTGGCATCGTCCCAAACGGCAGAGGGGGCCCAAGTCATACCAGCCGTGCTGGCTTCAACCGTGCGTAGTTTGGGGCCGGACCAGTTGACGAGATCCTTTGACTGCCAGATAACGAGACCGCGGCTACCATGACGGGTGGCTTTGTCCCAGCTAAAGCCAGGAGCGTTGATGTCAAGGTCGGGAGGCGAGTTAGTCCTGATGATAACAATTATGAAATGCCGGGTGAGATAAACATACCAGTAGCAATAATAAAGTATTCGGAGCGAGCACTGTTAGTGACAAGATAAATGTCTCTAACGGCCCGTTCGCCAACAGTGGAGGCAAGAATGGGATTCCCGTTGTTTAGCTTTCTGTAGCTGAGGGGGTTGTTGCCGTTGGAAAGATACTGCTGGACTTTGGGTACCGGATCGGAGAACGTTGTAATGAGATAGCCAACGAACTTCTGCTGACGAGGTAACACTGCATTGGCAGAGGCAGTGAGTGCCAAAGCCGCGGTTGCGACGACTTGAAGTAAGTTCCAACGCATCTTGCAAGTTTCGGGGTGCAAGTATAGGAACTAAAAGTGAGACTTGTATAGTAAGATACAGTTTCTTTTTTTTTTCAAGCAAAAATTGTGGCTTGATATCTGTTCTTGAATCTCCGTATTGTTATATTTCAGTACCTAGACCAACGTTTCAATATGTTCCGCGCTTGTTGTATTGGGTCGGTTGGAAGGTGTAAGTCGTCAATGCTCATGCGATGCGCTAATTGACGGTAAAATCCATTTTGAGCCAGTGCCACTTTGTAGCACAGATGAACTCAGGTTATCTCGCAGCTCGCATGAAAAACATCATGACGTCCTTGCACGAGTAGGTTGCGTATGGTACCCCTGCTTACCATGTACCCCATGTATGTGCCGCAGCCATGGAATCGGGCGGAGGGTGTTTCTCCGTTCACGATCTGGGGAATAACCACGGATATAGGGAGTAGGGACGGGGGTGAGTGCTGTCAGCCCATGGTTTCAGAAATGGTTCTACTAGTTCCTTAAGGGTATGTCATAGGCATATCCCTGTTATATAATAGACAATTTATGGTAGTCCAAAGCCAGGTGGGGTCGAAATATTAAGGCCGATAAGCGAGCACATAACGCCAATTAGAGTAATTCCCGGCGAAATGACTCCTGTACTATGATTCTTTGAGTCTAGTCCAGAGTCACATTGGAGCACATATTGCCAAGTTCCGGCGAAGTACCTAACCTAGACATCGGTCGTTATCATTGAATCAATAAACGCTCTACTGTGTAAACTGTTAAAGCCCTGAACGATGATCATCTCTCCACGGGTTAAGGTCTTGCCGGATACTGTCGACAATACAGTTGGGGAATTCGAGTCTTCCAAACCAAACCAGGAGGCAACACTCAATTTTACGCCAGCTCTTAGTGGCAAAGAATCCTCTGACGCCGGCGAGTTCACAAAACCTCCGCAGACCGGTTCTTAACCCTTGCCACGGACATCTCCTGGGCAAAAAATAGAACTGATATCTTCTCAGTAGCAACCTTGCTAGTTAAAATTACAACATACACAAGCGACTGGCCCATGGCACGCTTATTTCGAACATACGTACTTGACGAAGGCGAACTGTATTTGTCACTCCTTCAGGGGCAATAATTCAGTCTTCGTCTAGTTTGTTGTCTTGGCTCGGCGTACGGAGTAACATTCCAGAAAAATAAAATGAGTTGAACATACGAGAATCCCTGGCGCTATCGTCTGTCTCATCTAGAGAAGTGATCTATTTTCCCGCCTATGGTGTTGTAGACCACCTCGTCTGTAGTCTGTGTGGTGGGTGGATCCTCGCCATCATCACCAGGATTAGCCATAGATTCTCTTACAAGCACGTCTCTAGGATCATATAGAAATAGAAAAACCACCCCGGGTGTACCGCGAATGAGGGGCAGTGTGTGGCACAGTCCCATCTGTTTGCTTGCGGTCCGTTGACCTCCGTCCCTTGTGTGCTTTCCCCAATTCATCTAGCAGCAGGTCTTGCATAAACCTCTCACGAACTCGCCAACTACAAGCCCGAGGAGACCGCTGCCAAATCTGGATCAACCCGGAGCACGCTCCCGTTGAGGAGTGCAAGGCAAGACATCCTTTGCAGAGCATAGCCGTACGGACAGTTAATATAGATAGAGAATCCTGTTCTTCCGAGTGCCGGAGAAACTCTATTAGCAACGACCCAAAAGCCATCAAGACTATTAAAGATGCAAAGGACTCAATTCACAGTCCCGGTCTCAGGCCCCATTGCTTCCCCTAGTCGTGGAACCTGGCGGCGGCTGTGCCAACTCTCGGGGTGTCTACGTAGCTGATAAGTTGGATAATTATCCTGTGCACCTTCGCTACGAAGCAGCTAATTGTTGAGTCTTCTATACCTAGAGGATGTTTTACGATGTGACCGAGCTGTGGCGAAGGGCAGCGGATATTACTTGGGGGAATGGGACTTGTGTTAAAGGGCTAACGACTAGTCGAAATGATTACATTGTAAATGAGACGGTCAAGTTCAGCCCTGATGTTAAAAGTCAAGTACCAGTCATCAAGGGTCCTGGATCTTTAGAATATTACCTTGGGTGAGATATTAAAACATGTACCCTACGTTCATACTAGAGCTTTCTCGCTTCTAATGGATAGGTCTATAAATTCATTACAATATAAATAATCAGGAGTAATAAAGGTAGTAGACATACCTATACCCTTTGTGATACTAAGGATATTTCCTAAATGCATTAAGAGAAAATAAAGCGCCGAGAGTGGATATGTGGGGTAGAAACTACGTAATTGACTTGATAACTTGCTAATGGGGAAGAAAGACTTATAAAAAAGGGGCAACTTTCTTGTTTACCCTGTACTTGTAAATAATTGCCTTCTCTCTACGTTTGTGATCACAGAGCAGTATTCGAGACAGCATAGTATTATCATAATGACAAATAGGCAACCAGTATCCGCCTCGATGAAAGCTCTAAGGCTAGTTGAGGTATGTGTGAAATGTGTTGAAGAGATAACAGAAAGCTGATTTCGAAAATTATAGTTCAACAAGAATTATCAGCTCCGAGACGATGTCCCTGTGCCATCGCCTGGACCGGGTGAATTGCTAGTGCGAGTTGCGGCTGCATCATTCTGCCACACCGACTATCAAGTCTATCAGGGCACTTATGGCACCCAGCTCCCATTCACAGGGTCGCATGAGGCGGCAGGCACTGTAGCAGCTCTTGGTCCAGACGTCGATGGTAGCATCTGGCATGTTGGTGATCGCGTAGGCGTGCTAAACTTTCGCAAGCCATGTGGCACGTGTGGGGGTTGTAGATGGCGCAAACAAGCATACGACTCTCTAGATGCCCGTTATTGCGCAAACAAAACCATGAATGGCATCTCACGTTCCGATGGAGGCTTTGCTGAGTACATGTTGGCGTCGCAGGAGGCTTTGGTACACCTCCCCGATGGTCTCTCGTTCGAGCAGGCAGCTCCTCTTACGTGTGCGGGAGCAACTGTTTGGAATGCCATTGAGCAGGCTGGGCTGACCGAGGGCCAAGCTTTGGGTATCGTGGGCATTGGTGGTCTCGGTGTGTTGGGTATTCAGATGGCTAAGGCGCGCGGTCTCCGCGTTGTGGCTCTCGACAAACACGACGCAGGGTTGAATCTAGCCACCCAAGTTCCAGAGCATTTGAGACCTGATCTCGTTGTCAACATCTCAGACGAGTCTTCAAAGGACAAAATCGCCGAGTTTACCGACGGCATTGGGCTGGCAGGCGCAGTGACATGCACCGACGACGTTGGTGCAACTGACTGGATCTTGCATCGTCTTCAGCCGCAAGGTGTCTGTGTCGTGCTTGGGCTTCCTGACGATGGGTTCAAATTCAACGCCTTTAATCTAGTTTTCCGCGAAATTGTAGTCAAGGGATCTCTGCACTGCAGTGTCGACGATGTCAAGGCTATGGTGGATGCTGTGGCCAAGCACGGAATCACTAGCCATCTCACAATTATCCAGCTACACGAGGGTGAGGATATTCCTCAAAGAGCTCACGATAGATCCTTTACAGGTCGACTTGTGGTCAGGATCTAACTAGTTAATGGAAAAGAATAGTTTGAAACCTTTCAATCGTCCAGCGTACCCACCTTGTAGCAGTTAAAATAACACTCCAAAAGAACCCGAACGCTGCCCTATGTTACAGGCTAAGGCCGTGATAGTTTCAATATTAAGTACTATTTTTTTCCCCCTTGCCTTCAGCCTTGTATAAGGCTATCGAGCTTTTTAGCTTTTCTATTAATAGTTTAAATAGTAAGACCCTTATAGCAGGCTATTATTATAGAAGTTAGAATTAGATAAGGTTTATCTGCTTTAATAATGTAATTACTGCCTTAATTAAGCAGTACTAATACCAGTTATATCTTAGCAGCTAGATTAACCTTCTTCCTTTAACCTATCTAAAGGACTAAGATACTATAGGTTAGCTTCTAGTATAATAGCAAAAGAGAGGAATTGCATACCTATACCTTAGTTAACCTTTATAATATATTATACCTGATTTATCTATCGCACTTCTACTTAAAGGTTAGTTAGAGCCTGGCTAAGTAAGAGATCGAGCTGTAAACTTATAAGTATATTATCTAACCTAACTTTCCCTTTTAACCCTTCTTGCTAATAGTATAATAGCTATACCGCCTTAATACCTATATAAAATAGCCTGTAGCTATATAATTATACCTATTATATAACTAGCTATAATCTTAATCTAGCTATTAGGCCTGCCCTAGAAGTAGCTAATAAAAAAGAACTTTATATAAGATATTATAATAGTTATAGCAAGCATTTTAGGGTAAGAGGTCTAAGCTTTATTAGTAGAGTTAGATAAATATCTATAGTAATAGATATAAAGGGATAGATTCCCTAAAGGACTTTAGTTAAGTATATTTCTTTTTATATATAATTTTTACTTTTTTTTTATATTTAATATTATTAAACTAATTATTTAATTCTTTATTTTATAATAAAGACTTTATTTTAATTAAACTTAATTAATTATTTATATTTAATTTATAATTAAAAGTATTAAAAGACATTATTTTATATAGGTTTTTCTTTAATATTACTTTTTACCTTTAAATTAGTCCTTAAAGCCTAGAAAATTTACTTTATTAATATAATTAGTTTTTAAAAAGACTTTAAAATAACTTAATTATTTAAAAAGGAGGCACTTTTATATTACCTAAAGTATAAATTATAATAATTAAAGAAAAAAAAAGAAAATATATTTAAGAAAAAATAAGTAAGAAGCTAAGATAAATATTAAAAACTACTTATAAAAGTAATAAAAAGTAATAAATCTCTTAATTATTAAGCTAAAAGTAGTAAAACTAAATAACTTATATATATAAAAAGTAATATTAAAACTATAAAATTAATATTACTTTATAATAGTTCTTTATATTAAAGTAATATTAAAATCTGCCTTATAAAAAAATCTAGCCTTAACTTAATAAGAAAATACTAAAATTATATTATATATTATAAATTATAATAAACCTAATATAGCCTAGAATTAATAAAACTTAAAAACTAATATTAAGGCCCTTATTATACTACTTAGGTATAAGTTATTTAAAAAGGTTACTTTTATAATAATTAAATCTATTAATACCTTAATAAAATAATCTAAACTTTTATAAAATTAATTAATTAATTAGATTTTAAAAACTTTAATATAAAATATTCTTATATTTATTATATTTTAAACTCTTATAAGAAATTTAATAGTAATAATAATAGCTAATATAATTATCTTATTTCCTTATTTATATTAATAGTATATTAATATTATAACTAATTTACTTATTTAATTATATAGCCTATCTTATAACTTATTTAATCCTCTTTTTATTATTAATATTAAATTTATAACTTTAAACTTTTAACTTTAAATAACCTATACTTATATAAAACTTAATATATTTCTTTTATAAAACTTTATAATTACCTTACTTTTATTTTAAATATTATAATATACTATCCCCCTTATCTTTATACTTTTATAATTTAAAACTATAATTAGCTTATTACTAATTATTAAATAGCTTTATTTTTTTAATTTATTTTTTTTAAGTTTATAAGTTAGCCTTAAAAGGTATATTTAAATATCTCTAAAGTCTAATATAGTTTATATATTTATTACCTATATAGCTAGTAAAGCTTTATTAAGTTAAATTATTATAATTAGCTACCTTAATTATAGCCTAAACCTAGCTATATATATACTAGCTAAAAAGCCTTACCTACTTATTAGCTGGCCCTGACCTTCTTCCTATAACCTATATAAAAGGTCTTTCATTAACCTCTGCTATATACTATGCAGTAAGTTATCTAACCCAACTTCTAACTGCAACTGCTAACAGCATTATAGCTATACTATTATAATATCTATTTAAAAAAGCCTATAACTACTTAATAAGGCCTTTTATATTAAAATACCTAACCTAATCCCTTACTTTATAATAACTCTTAAAGATTATAAATATAAAAATAAGCTTTATATTATAATAATAAAGATTAAAAAGGCTTAAAATAAAGAAAATAATATTATTTTTATTAAGTAAGCTATTTTAAATTATAAAACCCTTTTACTTATATATTATTATTATAAAAAGCTAATAATCTTTAAAAGCTATTTTAAAAAGGAGATTAAGTTATTATAAAAGCTAAAGTAATTCCTTATAATAAAAAGACTTATAAAGGTAAGTAATAAGAAATTTATTAAAAACTTTAAATTAAAAATTATTAAGAACTTATATAAATAATAGCTTAATAATATAAAGAAATAGTTAGTAAAGCTAATAAAGGCTATAAAGCTAATTAATAGCTAGTAATAAGCTAGTTATAGTTTTAGACTATAAAAGTGTAATTAAGATAAGAGGGATAGTATATTGCAATGTAGATAGAAGCGGGGTAATTATAGGGTTTATAAGAAATATATTAAGTTTTATATAAGTTTAAGTTACCTAAAGTTAAAGACTTAAAGTTATAAATTTAATATTAATAATAAAAAGAAAATTAAATAAATTATAAAATAGGCTATATAATTAAATAAGTAAATAAGTTATAATATTAATATATTATTAATATAAATAAGGAAATCTTTATTATTATAATATAAAGCTTATTTTTATATTTATAATCTTTAAGAGCTATTATAAAATAAAAAATTAAGTTAGGTATTTTAATATAAAAAGCTTTATTAAATAGTTATAAGCTTTTTTAAATAATAAATATTATAATAATATAGCTATAATACTATTAATAGTTATAATTAAAAGAAGAAAACTTAAGTTAAATAACTTATTATATAATAAATAATTAAAGTATAATATCCTTTTAGGTAAGTTATAAAAAGAAGGTTAAGGCTAGCTAATAAATAAGGCTTTTTAATTAATATATATATAGCTAGGTTTAAGCTATAATTAAAATAGCTAATTATAATAATTTAACTTAATAAAGCTTTATTAACTATAAAGGTAATAAATATTTAAACTTTTTTTTTTAAGTTTATAAGTTAGCCTTAAAAGGTATATTTAAGTATCTTTAAAGTCTAATATAGTTTAAATATTTATTACCCCTATAGCTAGTAAAGCTTTATTAAGTCAAATTATTATAATTAGCTACCTTAATTGCAGCCTAAACCTAGCTGCATATATGCCAGCTAAAAAGCCCTGCTTATTAGCTAGCCCTAACCTTCTTCCTATAGCCCACCTAAAAGGATACCATGCTTTAATTATCTATCACGCAGTAAGTCATCTAACCTGACTTTCCCTCTTCTGGCCGCAACCGCTAATAGCATTATAGCTGCCCTGTTATAATGCCTATCTAAAGAAGCCTGCAGGCACCTAGGCCTAATAAGCCTTATCTAACTAAAGGCTATAATATAATCCTTAAGATTAAAGAAGCTCTTAAGTAAAATAAAAATAAGGGTAATATATTATATATAATAATTATAAATATTAAAAAGGCCTAATTTAATAAAGATAATATTAATTATATTAAGATAATAATTTTTAATTATAAAATCTTCTTATTTATATAATTTATTTATAAAAACCTTTTAATTAATATAAACTTCTTTAAATATAAAAAGTAAAAGTTTAAGGATTTAAAAAAGAAATTATATAAAAAGATATAGCTAAGTAAAAAGAAAAGGGGGCTCTTTAAGGCCCTTAATAATAGCTTATATAATAAGTAGCTTAAGGATATTTAGTAATAGGCTAAGGAGGTATTAAAGAAGATAAAAACCTATAAAGATTAGGCTAGTTATAGTCTTAGACTATAAGAGCGCAAGGGGGGATATTATATTATAATATCTAGGATAAAAGCGGGGTAATTGCAGGGTTTAGGAAAATAAAAGAAATATATTAAGTTTTATATAAGTTTAGTTACCTAAAGTTAAAGACCTAAAGTTATAATTAAATTTAATATTAGTAATAAAAAGAAAATTAAATAAGTTATAAAATAGGCTATATAACTAAATAAGCAAATTAGCTATAATATTAATATATTATTAATATAAATAGAAAAATAATATATTAATATTATAGCTAATATACTTATTTAGTTATATAATTTATTTTATAACTTATTTAATCCTCTCTTTACTACTAATACTAAATTTAGTTATAACTTTAAGTCTTTAACTTTAGGTAACTAAACTTATATAAAACTTAATATATATCTTCTAAACCCCGCGATTACCCCGCTTCTATCTCAGTCGCGCTCTTATAGTTTAAGACTATAACTAGCCTGGTCTTTACTAGCTATTAATTAGCTTTATAGCTTTTATTAGCTCTATTAACTATTTCTTTATATTATTAAGCTAATATCTATATAGGTTTTTAATAGTCCTTAGTTTAAGATCTTTAATAAATCCCTTATTACTTACCTTTATAAGCCTTTTTATTATAAAGAATTACTTTAGCTTTTATAATAACTTAATCTCCTCTTTAAAGTAGCCTTTAGAAATTATTAGCTCTTTATAATAATAATATATAAATAAAAAGACCTTATAGCCTAAAATAGCTTATTTAATAAAGGTAATATTATTTTCCTTATTTTAAGTCTTTTTAATCTTTATTATTATAATATAAAGCTTATTTTTATATTTATAGGTTTTAAGAGCTATTATAAAATAAAGAATTAAGTTAGGTATTTTAATATAAAAGGCCTTATTAAGTAGTTATAGGCTTTTTTAAATAGTAGGTATTATAATAATATAGCTATAATGCTATTAGTAATTATAGTTAAAAAAGGGAAAGTTAAGTTAAATAACTTATTATATAATAGGTAATTAAAGTATAATATATAATAAAGGTTAATAAAAGACCTTTTAGGTAAGTTATAAGAAAAAGGTTAGGGCTAGCTAATAAGTAGGGCTTTTTAGCTAGTATATATATAGCTAGGTTTAAGCTATAATTAAGGCAGCTAATTATAATAATTTAACTTAATAAAGCTTTACTAGCTATAAGGGTAATAAATATTTAAACTATATTAAATTTTAGAGATATTTAAATATACCTTTTAAGGCTAACTTATAAACTTAAAAAAAAAAAAAAAAAAAAAAAGAAAGAATATTTAATAAGCTAATAATTTAATTAACCTAGCCTTAAGAAGTAATAATAGCCTTAAATATAATAGCTAGCTAACTTTAAGATTTTATTATAGTTATTTATAAGTATAAGCCTTATATTATAATTAACTAATTAACTTTATATATAGCTATCTTTAATATTAAAAATATTTTAAAATATCTTTATTTTTTTTAAATATTATATAAATAATATTAATATACTTAAAGGAAAGTATATTATAATACTTAAGATGCCATGGCATAGAGCTCATCCTTGCGTTCATGGTCTTCAAGAGCTGCCGTAAAATAAGGGATCAGGTCAGGCATTTTGGTACGAAAGGCCTCATCGGGTGGCTGCAGGCTTCTTCGGACAGGCATCGTGACGGTGCAGCTGTGATGCTGTTAGCGGTTGCGGTCAGAAGTCGGGTCGGATGACTTACTGCGTGATGGATGATTGAAGCGTGGTATTGTCTTAGCCTTTCAGGTGGGTTGTAGGAAGAAGGTTGGGGCCAGCTGATGAGCAGGTAAGGCTTTTCAGCTGGCATATGTGCAGCTAGGTTCAGGCTGCAATTGAGGCAGCTAACTATGATGATTTGACTTAATGAAGCTTTGCCGGCTATAGGGGCAATAAATGTTTAAATAATATTAGATTCTAGAGATGCTTGGATATACCTTTTAAGGCTAACTTACAAACTTAAAAAAAATAATACTTAAGATATATACTATCTTAGCCCTTATAAAAGATATTTATTAAGCTTATAAAGGATATAATTAAAAAGAAGTTAAGAAAAACCTTAAGGAAATTTTTATTATTAAAAATAATACTATCTCTAATAGCCTTAAAGCTAGGCTTAAGAGGTTTAATTAAAAATAACTCCTTAAAGATTACCTTTAAATAATTAAATAATTAACTTAATATTAATTTAAGTTTAAAAAGCTAGATAATAATTATAAGAAATAAACTACTTAATTAAAAAATATCTTTAATATTATTTATTAAAAAGTCTTAAATAAGATTACTTTATAAAATAAAAAAACTTAAAATAAAATAAAAGTAATACCTTATAAGGATATTATTTAAATAATTAAATTAATTACTAATAATAAAATTACTAAAGCTAAGAATTATTATTATCTTAAGGAAATTAAAAATACTTTTAAAAATTAAAAGCTTAAACTTATTAAAAACCTTTTTAAAGCTATCTTTAAAAAAGACCTTAACCTAGCTAGAAAACTTAATATTAATAACCTTATTAAGATAATATAAAAGCTATAAGTTAACTTAGTAAATACTATTAAGAACTTAATTAAGGGTTATATTAAAATACTTAATACTTAAATAAATATAAAAATAATAAAATAAATAATATTTTTTTCTTAATACTTAAGAATTTAAATTTATTTTATAATTATTACTTTAAATAATTAGTTAAAAAAGCAATTTAATATAAATATTAATACTTAATATATTAACTAAAGGTAGTAGTATTAATATTAATATTATATTAAAAAAGGCTATTTTTTAAAGACTTATTATAACTTAAAGTATAATAAGAAATATAACTTAGCTAGTTATAATATATTAAGTAATATAGCTTAAATAGGTATTTAAAAAACCCTTATTTTAAATACCCTTATTAATAAAGTTAAAAATAACTTTAAGGTTAAAAGACTTATTTATATTTAAATTAAAAGGTTTTTTAATTTTTATTTATTTTTTTATTTTTTTTAAGTTTATAAGTTAGCCTTAAAAGATATATTTAAGTATCTTTAGAATTTAATATAATTTAAATATTTATTACCCTTATAACTAGTAAAGCTTTATTAAGTTAAATTATTATAGTTAGCTGCCTTAATTACAGCCTAAACCTAGCTATATATATACTAGCTAAAAGGCCTTACTTATTAGCTAGCCTTAACCTTCTTTCTTTAACTTACTTTAAAGGATACTATACTTTAATTAATAAAACTTAATATATTTATTTTATAAAACCTTATAATTACCTTACTTTTATCTTAAATATTATAATATACTATCCCTTTTATTTTTATATTTTTATAATTTAAAATTATAATTAACTTAATTTTTACTAATTGTTAATTAACTTTATAGCCTTTATTAGCTTTATTAATTATTTTTTTATATTATTAAGCTATTATTTATATAAGTTTTTAATTAAAGTTTTTAATTTAAAATCTTTAATAAATCCCTAATTACTTACCTTTATAAGCCCTTTTTTATAAGGGATTATTTTAGCTTTTATAATAGCTTAATCTACTTTTTAAAGTAGCCTTTAAAGATTATTAGCTTTTTATAATAATAATATATAAATAAGAGAACTTTATAGTTTAAAATAACTAACTTAATAAAGGTAATATTATTTTCCTTATTTTAAACCTTTTTAATTTTTATTATTATAATATAAAGCTTATTTTTATATTTATAATCTTTAAGAGCTATTATAAAATAAAAAATTAAGTTAAGTATTTTAATATAAAAGGCCTTATTAGGTATACCTTTTAAGGCTAATTTATAAATTTTTTTAAAAAAATAACTCCTTAATATTATTATTTTTAGCTTATTAAAGTAATATTATTATTAAGATATAGTAAAAATAAAGACTTATAAAGTAATTTTAAAAAGAGAAATAGAAGTCTTTATAAGGCTATAAAAGTAGCTTTAAAGAAAGCATTTAATTAGAGGAATATTTAATAAGGATTTTAAGCTATTAAAATTTACTTTATTAATACTAACTAGGCTATTATAAAGTTAAAGCTTAAAGAGTATTATAAACTAACTTTTTAGCCCCTTATAATATTATAAATTTAAATTAAAAAAGGTACTAATATTTTTATTATACCTTTAATAAGTTATAAAAATTTAAAAATAAATACTTTAAAGGGTTAATTAGTAATTATTAAATACCTAAAGGGATATTAAAATAATTTTATAAAACTATAATAAGTCTTTAAATAAAAATAATAATAGCTATAGCATTTTAAAAAAATAAAATTATAATTTAAAAAACTAAAATAATATTATTTAAATTATTAGGTTAATTTATAATTAATTTTAACCTTAATAAGGCATTTCCTAATATTTAAGACCTAATTATATATTATAATTATGCTAAGCTTAATATATAGAAGCTAAATAACTAACTAGCTATAAAAAATTATTTAGATAAAAAGAGAAAAAGGTTATAGAAAAACAGGCGCTTTTTAATAAGTATCCAAGACTTAAAAGAAATTAAAGCTATATGCATTACATAATAATTAAGTTACTCCTTTAAACTAAATATCATGAGATGGTTGTAAATGGGGCGGATTGGTGGTAAGATACGTTAAGATATCTTACTCTTAGTAACACAGATAATTTGAATTTAATACACTCTAAAGGCTCTTTAGTTAATACCACCCAAACACTGATATTATAGACTATAGGTTGATAGAGATCAGAAATTGCATGATTTCTATCCAGGTACTATATGTGAAGGCCCTCTAAGGTTTCAGCAAAACCTTGTGGACTTTCCTCTGGCTGAACACTTCGTAAGCCTGCGCAGCGTCCTCCAGGCTAACAGTGTATGCGCAAAGAAATGAAACCTTATCCTGTACGTCGGCCAAACAAGATAGAGCATCTTCAAAGATTCCTCGAACAGGACATCTACCCCAAGCTATTGTCACGTTCTTCCCATACAAGGTGGGCCCGTCCAACGGGAGAGTCTGCGTCTGCAGACCAACACTGCTGATCTCGCCAAAAGGCCGCACCATATCCAGGCACAACTGGAGAGAATCCACCGTGCCAACAACTTCCAGGGCGATGTCTACACCTCTACCCTCAGTGGCCTTCTTGACCGCAGCAACAGGGTCTTCGGTGATAAGAAGAGGTTTGGCACCGAGTTTCTCTGCTTCGGCAAGGCGCTCTGGGACGAGATCGAGAGCGTAGACTGTGTCAGACATGGTCAAGGCAGTGGCAATGGCACATATACCAACAGGTCCGCAGCCAACCACAGCGACAACGCTGCTCTTCGCTTCCTCCTTGGACATATGCTTGAGAAAGCGGGTAGCACAAAAGTAGCCCGTTGGGAAGATATCACCCATGAGGACTAGGAGGTGTTCGGGAATTTGAGGGGGAGCCTTAATCAAAGTTGAGTCGGCTTGAGGAACCCTGACAAACTCGGCCTGTCCACCGTCAATGCTGTTAATACCAGCGCTATTACCTGCCGGTTGAGAGAGCATGGGTTAGTAAGCCGAGCCTTTGAGCATGAGGGAGCTACTTCCCTCGGGTGGATATGATAAGACTCACCAAACAAGAAGTTGTTAGAACAGCGACTAGTCTGTTTCTTTAGACAGTAGAAGCACTGCCCGCATTGCGTTGAGAAGGTAGCCTGGTGTTGCCTTGTTAGCCAAGTTCCCTAGATACTCCTGTTGTATGAGTCTGACGGCTTACCACCACGACATCGCCAATGTCGACGGTGTTGACTTGGCTTCCCTTCTCACTAACGACACCAATAAATTCATGGCCAGGAATAAAGCCTGTAGGAATTGTCTGATGGCCGCGATACCAGTGAAGATCGCTGCCACACAAGGCTGAAACTTTAACCTTGAGTATGACATCGGTCGGATGAACGACCTCGGGCTTGGGACGGTCCTCAACCGCCACCTGCCCAACACCTTTGAAGACTACTGCGCGCATCTTCGCTAGCAGGGTAGAGAGTATAGAGTGAGTGTGGAGAACGGGAAGCAGCAGGGAAGGGTGATGCTCTCTACCAAAGGCTATCGAAATTCAAGCTTTCTTTATTGCCATTTGCAATGTCTGATGAAGGTTAGCGACTCCCCAGGAATGTTTTTGTCTCCAACTTGGAGAAGAATCATGTCGAGTGCCAGATTGCAGGGGCTGTAAATGCTAGCGCATGTACGGCCTCGAAAGCGGATTCCAGTAGAGACCTCGGGTACACTGGCACCCTTGACTAAACATTTCTTAACCCTCAGGCTCGTATAGGTACAAGGAGATACAAGTCTCAAATCTGCTACGGCCATTACCCCCGCAAATTAGCCCACAAGCCACATCGTCATGTCCGACCGAATGCGGGGCTCGGTGAAAGCAACTCATGAAACCGACAAATTCTAATACGTTTTGGTAATTCGTCTTGATTAAAGCTACGAAGACGGGAGTGGATTGCATTTAAGGGCTAAGGTCACTTTCCATTGACTTGGGCATAATGCACCGCAATTGATGGAATCCGTTTTAAACATTTGTCTTACTATGTTTCTCTTCAATCGTGAATTAGACTTAATCTATCCTTTGTTGTTAAATGTGCCGGGACGATAGTTCGCTTTGCCCAGTTCAGATAGCCGTCCCTCTTGTCGTTGTTTCTCCATTTGCTGTCAACTGTGTAAGTAATCTTCATCGCCTAGACAGGGCATACAATGTTGGGACTTACTACCACCAGTGCTCATCACCTGGTTGCTCCTTGTAGAGCGCATCTGCTTGCCCACTCTGGATTTTCTCAACATAGTCAGGGTTGTAGAGAAGCGGTCTGCCAATAACTGCAGCATCCATATACCCCTTTCCGATCCACTCATCAGCCTCCTCTGGCGTAAAAGCTGTGTTACCAAAGAGCAGCGTGTTGGATAGGATCGGCCTGAGCGCTGCAATAGGATCCCACTGAACACCTCGAGGCTTGCCATCAACCATCAAATCATAAGACGCCCACCACCGCATTACCTGAACATACGCAAGGCCAAGCTTGTTAAGCTCTGTGCAAAACCCGGCGTAGGTTTCAAGGGCGACTTCGGGTGAGGGGTTTCCTTGGGCGTCTAGCTCACCCATATCGTTGTAGCCACCGCAAGGAGCGATCTTGACTCCAATTCTGTTATAGGAAAAGTGCTCATTCATCTTGGCCAGACAAGCAAGCGAAAAGCGCATCCTGTTCTCCAAAGAACCCCCCCACTCGTCTGTGCGACGGTTGCTGTGAGATTCCAGGAATTGCATAGGAAGGTACCCGTTGGCGTTGTGAATTTCCACACCATCAAAACCAGCTTCCTTTGCTAGGCGTGAGGCATTGCTGTACAACTCTATGATGGCCCAGGGATCCTCAATTGCAGTAGGCATAACGTAGCCAGGGGCTCCAGGAACGTTGCGAAATTTGCCACCTCTGGCAGCAACTGCAGATGGGCCTGGCACAGGTTTCCCAGACTCGCGTTGAACTCGAGTTCCAGGATGTGCCACTCGGCCCACGTGGTGTAATTGACAGAAAATGAGTCCGCCTTTGGCATGCACGGCGTCTGTAACCCTCTTCCAGCCTTCAACGTGTTCTTGAGAATAGATGCCTGGCATGAAAGTCCACTCAACACCTTGTGGACAAATCAATGCTGCCTCAGAGAGCTAGCCAGAATGTGAGCATACTTCGATTTGATATTAGGTGTAAGACTTACGATCAGGCCGGTACCCGCTCTCTCAGAATAGTATGGAACATGAAGGTTTTCTCGGGGGACGCTGTCTCTGTTTCGTGTCAGAGATGCCATGACAACCCGATTCTTCAGTTGCAGATCACCCATCTGAAGGGGCTTCAGCAGATGCTGGAATTGTTCAGACATTTTGATAGTATGGTGTAACAAGAGATCGTGATCAAGCGTATGAGTGCTAGGATGTGTTCACTTCTTTGGCTACATGGTGACACAAATATGCGTCTGAATCCCGAGCTGCGAACTAGGCGTTTCAGAATAAACTCTCCAATTATCCACCACGCCATGTGCTTTGTCAGCGCTGGGAATACCTTCTCCAGCCCCTGTTTAGTACTGTGGGTGGTGAGTGGAGGCGAAAAAAAAAAGGTTCATGGCGCTTGCTGCGACATTATCTAAATCGGCCGAGATTCGCAAAGAAATCATTACTTCCTCTCAAGTGCATTAGAAGATAGTATTCACCATGCTATCGCTAAGTTATCAATCGCTAGACGACTTCACTGGTCTTTCTGCCGTCAGGGAAGCAGTTGCCCGTGGTGACACGGGGCTCCTGATCCATGATCTCCCTCCCTTGATACGAGAGCTACCTTTCAAGGACATTGTAGGTCTACAGGGATGGTAAAAATCAGTACTTGGCTGACATAGCTTGGTAATTCTATAGCCTCAAGGTTACAAAGCACAAAAGAACGATGATGCCAATGCGGCGGCCGTCGTCTTGATGAAAACATTGCATGGATTCTCGCATTCTGTCTTCAAGACACTCAGCCACGTGGCCGAGTTGCCATGGGAAAAATATCTTGGTGAGATGCATGAATTCCTGGCTCCGGGTAAAGATGAACTTCGAATTGTCTCACCTGATCAGCCCGTGGCGAATGAGTGGTCGACCTTGGTATGTGGTATAAGCTTGACCGTCTAGACTCTAGCTGACATACGCACCAGAGCATCACATTAAATACGTCTTGTCCAGAGAAAGCTTTGGTTACTTTCGGGACTGCTTTGTCCGTTTTTACTCAAGGAATGACACCAGAGCCTCCTGGATCGTCTATTGATCTTATGGAGCTGTCTAATTCAAGCGCTTGGCCCCAGGGAGATTGGGTTGTTTACTATGTGCGACCCAACAATGGTGTGTTTTATACTCGAACAGCTGGTGCCCTTATGACGCCATTGAGTACAGAAGATTATGATCAGAGGAAGAGGGTTCAGGATTTGAAGCTGGTGTAACAAAAGAGAGCCTTTGAGTATACGACAGTAGATATCCGGTATGTTCCGAATGTACCTAGACGCTGTCTACGCTTACCGGTAGTAATGTATTGAATTGCCGTTTGAGGCTTGTGTCGTTGTTCTGTAACAGCGGATTAGCTAGTCAGTAGGACTAAAATATGGGTAGGCAGTGCTGTAAACGATATTTTTTCTTAATCGCTTGAGCATGTCTCATCTGGAGAATCCACGCACAAGAACAAAAGTGTTTGAGAGTAACTGGGCGACAACAGGAATTTTCACCTCCATTACCCCAGACCCGAAGAATAGGAGACTGGGAGTTTTACCGAACTCCAATTGTGGAAGTGCCCCGGACTAGGTTTAGAGTGAGGGGAAACGGAGAAGTATAAATGCCCAGCAAGACACCCGCCATACGCATTAGTCTTTGGCTTGTGATCAACCGACACTACACATAAGCTGTATAGGGTATCATGGGTGACATCAAATCAGAAAAGGCCCCGACCTTGGAGCTGCCATCGTCCTCCAAGACGGTTCGCGTCAAGGCTATCGACACCACAACACGCATGTCCTGTGACGCCAACGCGTTCGTGCAGCCACAGATCAAGAACCATGAGACGCTGAATTTTAAGACATTGTGTTTCTTATTGGAGCACGACGGGGAGTTTATCCTCTTTGATTGCGGTTCTCGCAAAGACTTTTGGAATTCGTCGCCGCAAACATCAAAGATGATTGGTAGCCACGTCCCCGGCCTTGAGATTAAATCTGGGGTAGATGAGATCCTTGTCAACCAAGGGTTCGATCTGGACAACCTAAGTATGACAAGCTTTCCTTGATTTCCGTATGTGTTCGTGCTGATGCTGGATAGAGGCCATTGTCTGGAGTCATTGGCACTGGGACCATGTCGGCGACGGTTCCAAGTTCTCAGCGTCAACGGATATTGTTGTTGGGCCTGGCTTCACTCAAAACTTTGTACCTGGGTGGCCAGAGAACCCCGAGAGTCCTGTGCTAGCAAGAGACCTAGAGTAAGTCAACTCGCAGGAACGGCCGATCAAAATTGCTGAAAACTTTGTGCAGAGGCCATCGGATTCATGAGCCGGATTTCACAATGAATGTTGCTGGGTTCCCAGCTTTTGATTATTTTGGTGACGGCTCTTTTTACCTCCTTGACGTCCCAGGTGTAAGTCGCACCACAATGGCCATTGTTGGTATAGATTAGATACTGACTCCCCTGATCAGCACGCAATAGGACACATTTGCGGTCTGGCGCGTACCACCCCACAAACATTTGTCTTTATGGGGGGTGATTGCTGCCACTACGCTGGCGCATTACGCCCGACGAGATATATGCCCCTGCCACAGCAGGTTTCTACAGAGGTTCTGGACGAATATTATCCATCTCCTTGCCCCTGTTCAGTTTTTACGCAGCACCACCCAAAGGCTACGGGCATGGATGCACGTATTGAACCATTCTATGACGTCTCTCGCGCTCCTGGAAGTGCCTATAGCTTCCCCGATCTTGCGCAGAAGAGCATAAATAGTCTTCAGGATTTAGACGCACAGCCCAACATCTTTATCTGTCTAGCACACGATGAAGTACTGTTTCAAGTTCTGCCTCTATTTAACGAAGATAAAACGGAGGACATCAATGACTGGCAGAAGCGGGGACTCAAAGAGTACTGTCGATGGGGGTTCCTCAATGACCTGCCCAAGGGGGGGGAACCTGGCCGCAAACCTCTGGTTGTTGGGCAATGGAGGGATGGGAGGCAGATAACGTGGAAGGGTGAGGAGAAGGGCTTTGTCAATATTATAGATGAGGTCAGGCCCTGAACCATGTGACGCAAATCGACGTGCTTGGCTAGGGTAGATATGGACCTCTGATGTCCAGCGTTTAGCACACAACAACTTTGGGTTGAATCACATGAAAGAAAGGCTACTCTGGAAAACTGCGACGGAGATAACGATATCTAGGTTTAGAGGCTAGACTGGTTCCCCGCTTAATGGATGGCTGCTTGATTAGTAAGGCTCCAAAACAAGAAGACAAAATCTTCTCCAACCCCAAGACCCCGCTACTTTAACTTACTCCATCTCCGTCTCGGTCCCCACAGACTCCAGCAATCTTGGGGCGAAATCCAACATCGAGCACTCAGACGTCAAACCCAGCAGAGCAAAATTCGATGCGAAGGGGTCGTCCCCGCCTGCGTGTTGCCCCATGCAAGTTCTGCCACAAGCAGTTCAAGCGCTCGGAGCATTTGCAGCGGCATGAGAGAATCCGTATGTGGTACAGTCCTGGCCAATGTCTAGACGGACTCTATTGCTAAAGTGTTTGTGCTTCTAGATACCCAAGAGAAGCCATTCGTCTGTCGTTGTGGGCAGAGCTTTTCGAGACGGTGAGTCCCAGCACTTGCTCGACATGCCCAACCTCTGACAACTTATCATGTCAATAGGGACCTTCTCACCCGTCATCACCGACAATCTCATCAGCAGGATGAGAATCAAGATGGGGTTATCCAATGTGCAGAAGAAGACTCGCCCAGCCAGATGACTCTGTCAACCTACATGCCTCCTTCTGGAGAAGCATCCAGACCGCATACTCCTCTCCCGGTGCTGCAAGAAGAAGAAGCCGTCGATGTAATGGACAGTATTCCCGAACAGCGCATTGAGATGGAAGATAGGCCAGAAGTTAACTCCGAGAGACCTCCTACCCCGGCCGAAACGACAGCTGGACTAGAGCTCGAATCCTCCGACTTGTCAGCTACCCCCAGCTTCCTCCTTGGCGCAGCAGACGGTCTACAGGCATTTGAGTTCATATGGAATGACTTTCCCATCGACGATCAACCACTTCCGACTACCTTTCTCAATACTGATCTATCTCTCGTCGACATTTCGCAGCAGCATGTTCCCTTGCCCTCTCCTCCACCACCGCCACCGCCACCGCCACCTCATCCTCCTGCATTCCCTCAAGCAGACCGTCAATTGGATATTGGTTCCTCTAGAGAAATCCCGACGGATCCGAATCTCAACATACCCATCAACATAAACCTACCTCAAGAGACATCACAGACCCGTCCTGTGGTGTCAAGACTGCCGTCTCTTGAGCCCTCATCCACTTCGAGATTGAATGCTTTGGAGCCGACTGCGAGCTACCAGCAATATTTGGCTCCAGGACAGATATCGTCTTCCTGTCCTTGGCGGATATTGCCGGAAGAATACCAAGCTCTTGCACAGCGAGTAGCATCATTGACAAGCACCATCCCTCACCCCTTTAACTTTCCATCGAGGCACACGCTATCTCGGTATCTCGAGGGGTACTTCCGTGGCTTTCATGCTCACATGCCTATGCTTCACGCGGCAACTCTTACGCTGGAAAGGCTGGGTCCAGAACTCACACTAGCCCTCGCTGCTGTTGGAGCGCTATATCGCTTTGAGCATGCAAAAGGCATTGAGCTGTATCGTGTTGCCAAGGTGCTCATCAATCGGCGGTTGGACCAGTTCTACGAAGGAACTGTCTCGCGCCTTACCGGCAGTTCTCCAGGATTTACGGGGTTCTCCTCCATCCCCAACGAGTCACAGCATGATCAGCCATCTCCGATCCTGTCCCAAGGTCAACGTGGTCTACGCCTATTACAGGGACTACTCGTCCTCATGGCCATGACATCTTGGGGCGAGAAAGCACTGGTGCGGGATGCTTTGTCCATGGCCAGTCAGGTTGCAACCCTTGTGCGCGAGTTTGGCATCGGTGAGCATGAGGATACTGTCATGAGGGACATGTCTTGGGAGGAATGGATTCTTGCCGAAGAGAAACGCCGCACTCTCTTTGTGGCCTACGTACTCTTCAGTCTGCAGTGTGCTGCCTTCAACGTTCCCCCAATGATTTTGAACCAGGAAGTCGGTCTCAATCTGCCTTCCTGTGATTCTGAATGGAAGGCTCAGACGGCGCTTGAGTGGTCCGATCTTCACAACAGCATTACATGCCAGCCTCGGTCATTCCAACACACTGTCGAGAAACTACTCCAGGGGATATCAGTTCATTACGAGGATGGCATCTCGGCCTTTGGCAACTATGTGCTCATCCACGGCATATTTCTCCAAATATTCTATGCCCGTAACGCCTTGGGCCCAGTGTCAGACCCAGGGAGCTCGCTCAGTGAAGAGTTCATAAAGAAGATGGAGGCAGCTCTCCGTGCGTGGCAAGAATCCTGGGAAGCAACACACGAGTCGACTCTAGATCCATCGTCTCCAAAGGGACCAATGGGTTTCAACTCAACTGCTCTATTACGCCTTGTTTATATCCGTTTAAATGCAAATACTGGACCGTATCGGCAACTCTTCACACGAGACCCTACCGTGATTGCACGTGCTTTTACAGATGGTAAGATCAGAGTCTGCAATAGGTCGCCGCATCTCGATAGGGCTATTTTGCAGTGTATACACGCATTGAGCATCCCGGTGCGCGTGGGCATCGCGTTTGTTGCTCGTACTCTCACGCTTAATTGGAGTTTCCAACACGCCCTTTCTAATCTTGAGTGTGCTTTTCTGATGACTTACTGGTTGCGTTCGCTCGCTCTTTGTGTCGAGTCGTCAGGATTGAGTGCCTTGAGGCCGGATGAGCAGAAATTACTCGATATGGTTGTGGCTCTGATTCGAGAGACAGAGCTTGCGGACTTATTAGATAGTGCCAGGGATCATGCAAGTCAGATACGGAGATTGGCAGCCTGCGTTGCTCGTCTCTGGGCAGAGACGTTTAAAGGGTTCCAGGTTTTTGAGATTGTGTATATTGTCGGACAAAGCCTTTCTGTTGTAGCGGATGCTCTTCAGCAAGAATAAGGGCGGCGGCAGAGGTGCATATCAAGGTCACATGAAGCTTTATTGCATGGTTTAATAGTCGCATGCTGCAAGTTTATTACGATGTGCCGTCTGTGGAGCACTCAAGTTCGGCTCCGCTGGCGACGATCTAGCCACAGAAAGAACGTCACAACATAGCTTCAATGGATTGTTTCCATCAAGGTGGTTAAACTTTTAGGCAAGGCCGGCAGCTGGGCATTTTTCCTCCAGGCAGCTCGGGGTAACAATTCTTGGGCAGTGCAGGCAATGCCGCTGTTGCGAATGCCAAAATTCTTGGGGTAGATACATCATTAATCAACCGAGGCATGTGCTCGTTCAATTCCTAAAAAGGTCAATTTCATTCAGCTTACCCATACGAATACTTAAGACGGATAGTGGCAAATTGGAACATTATTCTTTCTGGTCTTGTACTTGTTCAAAGCCCTTATTCAAAATGTCTTTTGTCTCTGTCCATGCCCTCTCAGCAGGGTATCTAACATTGCCCGAGCGATTTTTTGTTACCCCCCTAGAAGATGTTTCGGTCCGAAAGACAGTCCCCTCTCTTTCCTTTCTGATCCAACACAAAGACAGGGACTCTGGCAGGATCATGAGGATCGTCTTTGATCTTGGAATTCGACGGAAACTCCAAGACTATGCCCCGCCTATATACAAGCACGCTCAAACCCGACAGCCGCTCTCCGGTGACCATGACACTGTTAAATCACTGGCGAACGGTGGTCTAGGTCCTGATGATATTGACGTAATTATGTTCAGTCATCTTCACTGGGATCACGTTGGAACACCATCCGATTACCCAAATTCTACCTACGTCGTAGGACCTGGAGCAGCGAAACTTATCAATGGCAAGCGAGAGCCTGCCGCTGGGAGTCACAATCACTTCGAAGAGGGCATGCTAGATATGAAGAGGACCATAGAACTGCCGCCCGTAGGCCTTCCTCTTACGCCACCGCCGCTGGAAGAACAGACGAGTTTGTCGACCCAAACGCAGCGTTTGACCGGATACTTTTCCCAGCCATGGCACCGCAAGGGCCGCTTTGAAGCTGTTCTAGATGTCTTTGGTGATGGAAGTCTGCACGTCGTGTCAGCACCTGGACACATCGACGGTCATATCAACCTCCTATGTCGCTTAGAAGATGGGAAGCACGTTTACCTAGCTGGAGACTCGTGCCATGATGGACGGCTGTTGACAAGAGAGAAGGACATTGCAACGTGGACAGATGAGGCATACCCAGGAGTGACTTGTTGCATTCATCAAGATAAAGCCCAAGCAGAGAAGACGCTGAGTATTATTCGGGACACCATCAGAGATCCTGGTGAGCTGAAGGAAGTTGAGGTCGTTTTTGCACATGATGGAGTGTGGGAGAAACAAGCTGAGGATGAAGGACGCTTCTTTCCGGGTGCGCTCTAACAAGACTATGCCAATTTAGATGTGAGACGTTTGTGAGACAGAACATTACAGAGATTACCATATACAAGGAAGGTTTATGTTTATTAGGCTACAGTAATATATGAAAGTCAATACAGTATATAGTGAGCATCTGAGCTTGAACATGAAGGGCTGATAGAAGCTGCTCTGTCAAAACTGAATTCTTACTAAATTCTATTAATTTCGACTAACTCTATTTAAGGAACTGGTTGCGTCTCCATCAAAAGTCTTATCCTCGCTAAGGCTGCCGGTGTCGTAACCATCATCACTTCCTCGTCCGACAACAAGCTCGAAGACGTCAAGAAGACTTACGGAGTCGACCACGTCATCAACTACAAGAAGACAACCAATTAGGACGATGAAGTCCGCAAGATCACCAACGGAAACGGCGTCGACTACATCCTGGAGACTGGCGGTACAGGCACGGTTGCCCAAAGCCTCAGCACCGTACCCATAGTGGTCATCTCTGTTATCGAACTTCTGGCTCCCTGCGAGCAGAAGGGTATGCCTGATGTCGCTCTTCTGGCTTTTTTGAAGGCTTCAGTTGTGCGAGGTATCATCATTGGATCTAGGCGGCAGCTAGAAGAGGTGACGCGATTCATGTCAGCTCGCGACTTGGAAGTGCCTGTGGAGAAGGAATTCGGCTTTAGCAAGGATCAGGTTGTCGAAGCCTACAAGTACCTACGATTAGGCCAGCGTACTAACAAGGTTTGTATCAATGTCGGTTAAGGATACGGTTTAGTTATAAATTGATAAAACGAGGTGTAATATCTATTGAGCTGTGTTATTCGTGAGTATGGAAACAGCGCGCCTTCTCATTTTTCACAGCAATCACTCTATTGGTTACTTCAGGACATAAGGTTCAAGATTGAACAGTGATAGACAATGTATGATGATAATTTGAGTTATAGTAGCCGTGCATAAAGAAATGAGGCTTTTTTTATCTATCTAGCTCTCTCAAGAATCATATCAATAACTAGCTTTCCACCCTCTGCTTGGTGCTCAGGCCCTCTAAGTTCATTCAATTGATCAAATGCAAACGTCTTGACCTGAACTTCCACCTTGTTCTGCACAACAAAGTCCAGCATCTCTCTCAGCTGATGGTTTCTTCCCACTAGGCTGCCAACTACCGCAATGTCCCGAAATACAAGATCATGCGCGCTGACTCGAAGCTTATCGCTTGGAAAGCTCACAACAACCATTGTTCCGTGGTTTCTAAGGAGCTTCATTCCCGCATCAAATGCCTTTTGCGACTCGGGAAGAAGGATGACTGCGTCAAGACCGACTTCGGAAGGTGGCGCGTCGCTAGCTGGCTGAATCATTGCTTTCAAGACATCTGAATCCTCTTTGCGGGCGTCAGAGATGTATACCCTTTTTCCAGCCTCACCGAGATTGTTCTTGACTTTGTTTATCAGGCCAATTGCCTGGTCTGTGGCATCGATAGCCAAAACATCCTTGCCAAGATGAGCTGCAAACTGCACTCCGATATGACCCAGTCCACCTCCAGCACCTATAATTCCAACTCGCTGAGCTTTCTGCACTTTTTCGTGTTGAAGTGCACTCCAAATCGTAAGTCCAGCACACATCAACGGTGCTGCTTGTGTTGGTGACAAACTCTCAGGCAGGACCGCAACTTGTCGGCTGTCCACGAGGCAATATTCTTGGAAGCCACCATCCCTGGTCAATCCCAAGTTTCCAGAGCGAGGACAGTAAGGAGAGTATCCCATGCTATCCTGGCCGGGGTGGGTACACTCATAACAAGTCCCACAGGGATGGTATGCCCTGCCTGGAACTCCGACCCTGGTGCCCACAGCAACCCCGCGGTGAATTGAGACATCTGGCCCGAGCGCAATCACCTCTCCAGCAAACTCATGGCATCCAATGCGAGGGAGGTCCTGCGACAGAAGGCCGGCGGCGAAAATGGCGTCTGTGTGGCAGTATGAAGCAGCGAGGACCTTTATGAGGATATCTTTGCCTTCGGGTTCTGTAGGGCGTGGGATCTGCTTGAACGTGTATGGCTTGCCGAACTGCTCAACCACAGCGGCGGTCTGTACTTGAGACATGGTAATCTGGAGGACGATGAAGTAATGGGTGAGATAACCTTGATGTGCGGTTGCAGGGGAATATTGACCTAGATCTTATTTGCGACGCCAGTCTTCTCGTGTGCCAGTTGAGTGGAGCTGAGTCTTGCAGCATGGACAAAAATCGGAACGGAGTTGGGGTAATAACGATGGAAGGGTGTGGGGGAAGATTGGAGTACATCAGTCTCCACTCAAAAAACATGCTCCCGAAGGTAAGAAAAGTTATGGTCAATAATCAAGGACTAAATGTAATGAAATACTCTAGAATTTTCTTTTACTTGGGCCAATTCTCGATTAACTGAATACTATAAATATTAATGCAGACTAACCACTCAATTAGAATACAGGTCCAGTCTGGCAACTTCTATATTTGATATGATAAAAGCCCCATTCGACAACTTGTGACATGATAGTTGGCTTTGATGTATTGGAGACTCAGGCTCCTGTAACTTGTTGGGAGTTGAAGCTTTTCTCGTTGTTGGCCACTTCGCTACCACCGCTAATCTCCTCTTGTACGACAGAGGCTTGAGCCGACTTTTCGCTAGGGCCGTTCTCATTGACAGCCGCCTCATCGCCAAACAAGACGGCAATATCCTCAAGAGAGAGCCCGGCAGTCTCCGGAAAGTATTTCTGCATGACGAATGCACCAATCCAGGGAATTATAATAAAAACCAGATAATACTTCCAACCTACGTTCTCAAATGCAGTAGGAGCAGTCTGAGTATAGATCAGGGTCATCATGAATAGACCAGCCACGCTGAAACCAACGCCTTGGGCTCGGATCGAGGTTGGGAAGATCTCGGCGCAATAGACATAGGAGGAAGCATCCATCGTGCCTCCGTAGAAGAAAACAAAGAGGTAGAGAAAGAAGACGCCAAATCCATTGCCCACTTTGTTAGATGTGCCCACAAACTCAGCAACCATGGCAGTGAAGCCACATAGAGACAGGGAGCATCCGATGAGGCCAACAACCATAATGCGGATTCTCCCGAAGCGGTCCAGGATCAAACTGTTGACCCAGTTCATGAATGCGGCGAGAGAGTTATAGCAGGCGTAGAGCATGAGGGCCACAGAGCCTCGTAGGCCGAGACCATCGTAAAGAAGAATTTGATAGTTGTTGACGACGAGCACACCAGTCGATTGCGCAACGCATCTTCATGAAGGTTAGCATTGGTATTATTTAAATGGGTAAAAGGCACTTACTGAACAAAGAATCCATACAAAAGTCTCTTGCGATACGAGGGCCTTGAGAAAGTCTCCCTCCATCCTGTCGCAGTGTTTTCTCGCTTTTCAATCTCCAGCTGGTTGTGAATCTGGTGGAGCTCATGCTCAGCGAAAGAGTGTCCCTCTGGATGCCTCTCTGAGCTAGGGTGCAGTTTCTCAAGTACTCTCAGCGCTTCGGTAGCTCTGTCAACTTTGCACAGCCATCGCGGAGATTCAGGCATCCAGGGGGATCCGACTCCAAGCAGGAGAGGAGCGATGATCTGGAACGCAAGGCAAAGACGCCACTGAAGAGCCTGATTGGTAATGAAGAAGCATCCGTAGCCAACCCATCCAGCCATGGCCTAAGAGAAGGTTAACCGACAGACCTTGTAAAGTCCTGGGATACAACTTACATAGCCGCAGACCACCAAAAATCCATGAGAGCCGACCATTCGACCTCTGACAGTTGCGGGAGAAATCTCAGACTGGTAAATTGGTACAGCCACATCGATCATGCCAACCCCGATGCCATTGATGAAGCGACCGATGAGCAACATGGCGGTATGGACGGAAGCGGCTTGTATGACGGCTGAGATGATGCAGATAACGCAGGTGGTTTGGATGGCAAGACGTCGACCACAACGGTCCAACAACCAAGGGACGATCATGCATCCGATGACACCGCCA